TGGCACCGGGCTGGCCCTCTGAGTACTTGTTGGACATGGGGGATCCAAGAGCATCGAAGACGGCACGGGAGGTGACGTTCTCGGAGGCAATGAGAATGATGGACTCGCGCTGGCGCTTGATCTCGTCCTTCATGATCTCGGCGACCTCAGGGTCGGAGTCAATGAGAGACTTCTCCAACATCTATCGGTGAGTCAGTATACAGCTCTGTTAAGGATGGCGGGGCAAAAAAGAGTAGACGTACCTCCTTGTGGGAGACGGGGAGGGAGTAGGAACCAGTAGCAGCCATTGTGATGTGTGGTGTTACGAAGGATCGTAGATGTGAAGTTGAAGAAGAGAAGAGAAAGATTCTCGCAAGCAATGGCAAGAAGAGAAGTAGATGTAGGAAAAGAAGAGGAAGAGAGGGAGGCCAGCAAGGTTATGAAGGGATGGGAAAAAAAGCTTGAGAAAATTTGGCAGAACATCGGAGGGAGCAAAATGTGAATCGAATGCTGAAGCGGTGGGGGTTGGCGGGGTGTGATTGGCGGGGTCGAGCTGTAAGTACTTCGTAGTCGTACGCAGTACGCGGTGGAATTGGAGAAAAAAACTGTGGCGGCCCCTCGATAGTCGACTGATGGCTTGACAATGTACCTACAGGCACAGGTACGAAGTACTAGTATACTTACCTTTCCTTAAGGTATCTAAGGCATGGCAGGGAACAATTCGGAGGCATTTGGTTCGCTAAATTGGGATCGCTCGACAGTTTGCGACCGCAAGCTTGGAGCATTTTGGGCCTTTGGTGGGCTCCCTGTGGTTCCCGGTGTGGCTCACCACTTTGTAAGTGGTTCCCGGTTGGAACGCTAAAACGGCCCCTCCCTGACGTTTCCCTGAACTCACATCCTGTGGCGGGTCCGTTCGACTCCGATTCTGGAACGGTTCCACGAGTCATCGAGGAAACGGACCCCATTTCACGACGACGGGGATGTGGTTGGGCCGTTTAGTGTAGCTGCTCGTAGTGTACCTCCCCGCCTCAACCGTCTCACGACTCCCGACTTTAGAGCTTTAGTCAGGAAGGCTTCGGGTGAGCCGGGACAATTAGGAGCGGGCCACTTGTGGCAATAGAACTGTGACTCAACAACAGGCTGATAGCTGTTCTTCGAAAAGAACGGCAACTTGCACGAATTCTATGGGTTGATGTGCATCGTGGGTGAGTTCCCAGCCACCTCGTTCTCGACAAATTGGGGGAAACTGGGGGGCATCGCGTCGAGAAAACCACCCGAGAAGGAAGAGCCATTCTTGAAACAGACAGCGATGATCCGTCTCAGCGCTTAGCTATAGCTTCGATCGTAGAAACTCTGTGCTTGAAACAATGTAGTCGGCGAGGCAAGTCTACATTCATCGCAACGTTGATGCACTTGGACTACACGAAAGACCCCAAGATGGAACAGTTGCGATGTCGGCGAAATATGAGTGTCAAGACAGTTGCATTTCTCCTAGCTCATTTCAAGAGCATCTGTGATTGGCCAGTGTCTGAACGGCAACTCTAGATAATTCAAGACTTTTCACATCAAACTCTATGCGGCTTTGACATGAACCATGAGATTCCAGCTTTGAGTTGAGGCAGTTGCAAAGTGTGAGTTGGGCCAACACTGAGGCAATTGCGACTACCTGCGTGCAGTTTAGTCCATCTACAGAGCGCATTTGGCGCGAGCGAACCTGGAAGGCCTCGATACCTTAGCTCAACAACATGGGTCACGCTCTGCTCCTGAGAGCTGCTGACTCATCTAGGCCGCATCCACATTGGCCCCGAGCTCCGAGACAGCCTAGTGGAGGATCTATGCAATGGCCTCAGGTACCAAGGCGTCCGTCCGGATGCAGGCACCTGGGCTTTCAGGCACGCGGTACGCTTCGGATGTTGGAGCAATAAGGTAAGCAAGCCAAGCTTGACCCACGGATACCCGAGTGAGAGGGAGAGAAAGAGAGGGTCAGGGAATCGGTTACCGAAGGCGAGCTGAGCTATCTTCCTTATCTCATCAATCCACCTCGTTGCGTGATGGCAAGGTCCCCGTCGCAATGTTAGCCCGTTGCTTACCTTGCACTCCAGCGCGTTCAACAGTGCTGCAGCGCATCTCTCCCCAGCGCAGGATCAACTGAGTGGCATCGAGGTGTAGAAGGCTGCAGGGACACGCGATCAGACACGCAAGCTCCGTAGTGGCAGCCGCATCACCCTGCGAGTGTGAGAGATGGAGACGGGAGCAGTATGAGTGTCAGTGTCACCGAGTGTGTGAGAGCTGCCAGGAGCTCTGTCTCGGGCTTCTAACTCGCTGCGTGCCTTGGGCGAGTTGGGGCAGCTCCGCGCCGTCTTAGGTTCCATGGTTGCTCCCCCAGCCAACTAAAGTGGATCTATCGAGCCAACCCCAGCTTTTGATAGGCAGATAAGATACCTGCACCTATCGGGTGCTGCGTCATGGTCCTTCGTGCCTTGCGGAGGCGAGTGGGCAGGTTGTCACGGGGGCGCAGTTGCTAAGGTAAGTCTGGGTAGCCTGCCACACTTGCCTGCCACAGCAAAGGTACCTACCTACTTAATAGGTACAGGCGCCGCCCCAGCTTCCGCATCTTCCCCCCGTCAACACATCATCATCCCCCCCATCCGTTTCAACCGCCATCTCCTCAGTATCACCAGCACGAAGACGCAGGGCGCCAAACACCATCGTAATCTGGGTAATCGAGGTTGACAGCCACGATGAAGAGCACTCTCCTCACCGCGGCCGTGCTGTTGGGCGCGGCCCAGGCCGAAGTCCACAAGCTGAAGCTGAAGAAGGTCCCCATCGAGGAGCAGCTTGTATGTTTAACCCATCGCCTTGCATCTCCGCAACAATGTTTACTGACTGCTGGCATCTTAGAACTCTGTTCCCATCGAGCACCAAGTCAGACAGCTCGGCCAGAAGTACATGGGCGCTCGCCCTGACAGCCATGCCGATGCCATGTTCAACCAGAAGCCCTTCACAAGCACTGGCGAGCACCCCGTGCCCGTGAGCAACTTCATGAACGCTCAGTGTATGTCTCATCCATTCCTCTATTGGTTACCATCAGCCAGCTAACTTTCGCACTCTAGACTTCTCCGAGATCGAGATCGGTACTCCTCCCCAGACCTTCAAGGTTGTCCTGGACACTGGTAGCTCCAACCTGTGGGTTCCTTCCCAGCAGTGCGGCAGCATCGCATGCTACCTGCACTCCAAGTACGACTCTTCGTCGTCTTCCACCTACAAGTCCAACGGCTCCGAGTTCGAGATCCACTACGGCTCTGGCAGCTTGACTGGTTTCGTCTCTCAGGATGACGTCTCCATTGGCGACCTCAAGATCAAGAAGCAGGACTTTGCCGAGGCTACTAGCGAGCCTGGCCTTGCTTTTGCCTTCGGCCGCTTCGACGGTATCCTTGGTCTTGGTTACGACACCATTTCCGTCAACAAGATTGTTCCCCCCTTCTACAACCTTGTTAACCAGAAGGCTATCGACGAGCCTGTCTTCGCCTTCTACCTCGGCGACACCAACGAGGAGGGCGACGAGAGCGAGGCTACTTTCGGTGGTCTCGATGACTCTCACTACGAGGGCAAGATCACCTACATTCCTCTCCGCCGCAAGGCCTACTGGGAGGTTGACCTCGACGCCATTACCCTTGGCGACGAGACCGCTGACCTTGAGGGACACGGTGCCATCCTCGATACCGGTACTTCCCTGAACGTCCTCCCCTCTGCTCTTGCTGAGCTGCTCAACAAGGAGATCGGTGCCAAGAAGGGTTACAACGGCCAGTACTCTGTTGAGTGCTCCAAGCGTGACGAGCTTCCCGACATCACCTTCACTCTCTCTGGTTACAACTTCAGCATTTCCGCTTACGACTACGTCCTGGAGGTCTCTGGCAGCTGCATCTCCACCTTCCAGGGCATGGACTTCCCCGAGCCGGTTGGCCCCCTGGTCATCTTGGGAGATGCCTTCCTGCGCCGGTGGTACTCCGTTTACGACCTCGGCAAGAACGCCGTTGGTCTGGCCAAGGCTAAGAAATAAACGCCTATTCATAAACCCATTTCCTTGAGAATACGTCGATTACTCGGTCAATCAGATTCAGGGTGCGGCTGTAATGTAACTACGATAGGTAGCTAGTCTGGACACCGTTGTGAGAATACCAATAGTAGCATTTTTCTTTGAGAATCTGTATCAATGTGTGTTTTCTATTTGAAATGAGCATTTTCGGGAGTCCTAACTGCACTGCTGTGATCCTGAAAGTCACAAGTTCTATCCAGCGCAACGATGCTGTGAACATCTCATAGAACATGAAGCAGATAAAGCCAATACTTTTGCAATATTAAGCAAGAAGCTTCAACAAGCTACCATCTGTGCATAAACTTTTAATCGCGATGTTTAGCGTAATTACCAGCTCTAAAGGTGCTTACTTCACCTGAATCAAGTAGCAGTACCCATGGTCACCAAGGTGTAAGCGTAACGTGGAGCCCACTCTTCTCTCTGCACGGGCCAGATCATCACGTGGGTAGAAGACCCGCTTATTCGGATCGGCAGGCCAATGGCTGCTGACCTCAGCTCAGTGCCTTTTCGCCAGCAACCAACAAGGACCCGTGGTTCTGTCCAATTTTCCAGTATAGCCTCCCGACAGTCACGCAGGGGAATTGCTCCAGGAGCATTTGCAAGGCGAAAAAAATCCAAAAACGGCGACTTTGATGGACCCCATTCATTTTCCGAGTACCGTTGCTTGTCTTTGAGTGTGTTCTTGGATGAAAAGGTTCCCCAACACGCCTGGCCTCGCGACGCTTGACGAAAAAAGGTTTTGGAGTTCCACCAAGACGAGCGACCGACGAACCTCGCGCGTCGCGACAATCCCGCCCTCCACTGGGCTACCTACCACCCCCGTCGTCCCGCGTGATATCGACAGAACGAACCGCCCGAAACGCCCTGGCATCGCGACAATTCCCACCGATAGCCACAACCACGATTCACGACGACGATTTTCACAATGGCGCAGCCGGATTCGGTCCAGGCAAACGGCATCCCTGGACCGGACCATGCTGAGTCCCCCCAGCCCGTCGTCCCTGTGAAGAGGAAGCGCGACACCGAGGATGAGGGCGACGAGGTCAACGGCCATGGACCGGAGAAGATGGAAGTCGATGCTGAAGTCCCAAAGGAGGATCATAAACCCCTCATCAAGAACTATTTTGCTGTTCTTAGCAGGTACGAATGCCGCGCCGCCCTTTGCGCCCTTGGCTGCGCGCCCATCCCCCTTCATCAGCCCCGAGGCCGCATTGTACTGACATGCAGTCCAAAGCTTCGATGCAAACCCGTCAATTCTGAAGCGTCGCCTTCCCGAACCCGATGCAGAGCAGCCCGACGCGAAACGCCAAAAGTCCGCCGATAGCCCAGCCACCATCGCCGACAAGGTCAGCCACGACTCGTACTCGCATGTCGACGAACTCGCGGCCGATGTCGTCGAAGCCGTCAAAGATCAACTTCAGGAACTTCAATCGGCCAAGGTTGAGAAGGACAAGGACGTTATTGATGGCGGCGCTGTGGTGCAGACCAAGGAGTTTCAGCAGAAGGCCATGGACCTCCTTCGAAGGGAGATATCGTACCCACGCAGCGCTGTGAACGTCAGCAACATCAAACCAGCCCCAGAACTCACCCCAGGCAACGCTGTCTTGACGGTTGTTGGCCCTGGCCCTCATGGCAAGCAACTCTTCTCAAGTTTGCCCAAGAAAGTCCCAGGACAGGAGAGCTTGGCTGCAAAGGCATCGTCCTTGGAACTTCCCTTGGGCGTATCGAAAACCTACATTGTTCCTTCTCGCCAGAGCGAAAGATCAGCTACTCTTGGAGAGCTCTTCTCCTCGAGCAGACCTCTCCCTCCACTGCAACCGCCTAAGCAACCCAAGCAGCTGGTCAAGGGAAACGTCCTCGGTTTCTACCATCCCGAGCCGGCGCAAAAGTCCAAGTATTACAACGAATCTTACTCTAGCAAAAAGGTCGCAGTCGGTTGCTACTTGGACTACACCAATGCGGCACCCTCGTCTAAGAGCAAGACTAGACAGCGCGAACGTGCTCAAAGTCTTGCAGGTCACCGACCTTCGTCTACCGAAATCGAGGTTAACGAAATGGAGTCCTTGTTTCGCAGCGCATTCTCCAGCTTCGCGCCCGTCAGAGATGATTCCGGCTCTGTCATTCCGTCCAGTCACGCTGGTCGCATGTACTGGCAGCTTACTGGACAGCGCAACTTCAACCGCCTCATCGAGTCCGAGTTGCAGGAATTCGATGATGATGACACGCTCGAGAACCACGTTGGTGAGAAGGCCGAGATCGAGAACGTGGACGAAGAGTTCATCACTGAGGCGATTGAGAAGTGGGATGAATGGCTGGTGGATCCGGCGCTGGAAGACATGAACGAGGTCCTGTCGAAACCCAAGGATAAGGACCCCGCCGACAAGGAGGTTGACGAATTCCTCGATGAAGTCACCGACATGATTGAGACCTTGCTGTCGTATCAGCGCATCCGCAACCTCACATTGCCATCATCACAGAATCGTTACGCAGGCGATCCCGTCAATGGCGACTTGCTTTCTCATGGTGCTGTCTCGGCACCAACGGAAGAAGAGACTATGACGTACGAAGCACTGAGGGCTCAGTTGAGTCTGATTGTCGGCACTCTCCCTCCCTACGCAGTGGCTAAACTCAATGGTAACCAACTTGAGGAGCTTCTCATCAGCACCAAGCTCGAGGTCCGCAAAGATCAATACAAGGGCGTGATGGAGGACGATGCTGCAACGCAAGCCCGGATGCGTCAACAGCAGAGCGCCGCCGCTTCTGCTCCGTCGAACCGGCCTGCCCCTCACCGAACCCCTAGTGCATCCACCCCCTACAGCAACCAGTACGCGGCGGCACAGTACGGAACCCCCACACGAACACCCTCAATCGCGCCGTCCAGCTATTACCGGTCGGGGCAACAGCCTACCATGCCCCCACAGCAAGGCTCCGTTCCTCGTCCGGGCGGTGCCCCCACCAGATGCCTCATGCGCAGCAGCCCCGTCCCGGTCAGCCGGGCAATTACCGGAACACCAATGGATACACCAACTATGCGCAGCACGTCGGAAAGGCACAAACACCGTATGGCCACCAGGGTGTTCAGTATGGGTCTCAACAGCGACCTCCACAATACTCTGGTTACGCAGGCACGCCTTCACACGGCACGCCCAATGCTCGCTTCCAGCAGCCCTACCAACAGTCTTTCCCGCAACAGCCGAGCACGCCTTCCCAGGGCTACGCAGGCTACTACGCTAATGGTGCTAATAACATGCAATCGCGGAACATGTCGCCCCAAGTACCAGCTGGTCAATACAATTCGCCAACTCCACACCAACAGCAGCAACGGTACTACGGATCGACTCCCCACCAGAACGTGCCTGGCACCCCTCCGATCAACCGTCAGCATTATCCGAATGGTAGCCACCTCCCTCAACAACCTATGAATTCTCTAACTGGATACAATACAGCCGTTGCAAGGACAGACCAGCAGCGCCTCCACGCCGAGCAAGCGAGATACAGAGCCGCTGCACAGCAAACGAGCGCGGCTTTCGGGACAAAGATACAGGGTACACATGAAGGAAACAACATGACCCCAGTACCCGCCGACGACCAGAACGGCCAAGGATCTCCCTACAATGCCAACATGCGAGCGCGCATGGCCGCAGGTGGTACCCCGAAGCCGCAGAGCCCTGTCGGTAGTGTAGGAAAGCCGAACGGAACTCCACCAATCCCGCACAAAGTGACGCCGGTGCCCATTCCGGTTATACCTCAACAGCAGCCGTACAGGAAGCCAAACTAGCAATATGGCAATCCTTACCTGCCGCCACAGGAATTATATCCACGGATGCCTATTCCAGTGTCCAGCAGACTTTTGGCAGAGGCCGCAGCACGGAACAGTGGTCAGAAGACGACACCATCTGCCAAGCCTCCGCCTCAAACGGTGCAATCTTCACCGCGGCCCGGCTCGGCAAAAAAATGATGCCTACGATCTCCGTCTTTGTCGGCCGTGGTGTATCTTGCGTCAACAAAATGCCGATTTCCATTTACTCTACGGTGTCTGAATAGCCAGGGAAGCGATGTCCTTTCGGAGTTGGTGTGAGAGAGAGGGACCTTTTTTTTCTACAAATCTCGCCTGCGACTCGGGACAGCGGGTTTCGCTGTACTGAGCGACGCAGAAGTGGTGGTCTGATTGATGATGGATGGATGGATGGGTACATGGGGAAGCAGTTGCATGAGGGAAACCTCTCGATTCGACCAGCAACCCCATGACTCTTGGCGTTCTGGCCCTTGTGTTATTAGAAAGTTTTCGGAGGAGAGTTGACAAAACTCGGTAGATGATCGCCAGCAAGGGCGACTGTTCTTTTCTCAGTTTTACGGAGGGTGTGTCGACATGGAAGTGGTTTGTGCCACATCGGCACAACAGGAAGGAAGGTTTTTGCTTTTCCTCCTTTCTTCTGTTTTCCATGAAATCAAACGCACAACGTGGGGAAGGGGAAATGGAATCATGGTCTTTTTTATCATCTTGGCTCGGGAAACGGTGGAAAGGGGATAGGGGGGGTTGGCTCCGTGTGTATAGAGTGATTCGAGTAGCCGACACTTTGTATCCTAATCAAAAACTAGTGGCACCTGCGTCTGACCTTTTTGTGCCTTTGTGTCTTTGTGTATGTGTTTATGTGCGTGAGAGAGAAAGCTATGTCACTACAAAGGAACGGAGTGCGTCGAGTGTATTGCCGGATGGCAGCATGGCTCTAAACCCGTCTGAACTCCTTTCTACCCAGTCGCCGACCATAGTGAGGAGTTGGGTTTGAGACGAGTTAATTGTGGGACTAAGTTGTTAATAGCAGAGTTTTGGCCTCATCGGAGCTTACAGCTTGGACAAGCTTTATACAAATATTCTATTATCAAATTAGTTTGGTTCACTTCAATATCTCATTGAGCGTTATCAATCTGTGGTGTTGGAGAAATCAGGGAACACATATGTCCCTCGGCAATGCCAACAGTTCCAGCCTTCTAACATCAGAACTCAAGTATCGTCACTCGGCTCGACTCCGCTCTATGTATAACTTTGTATTTCCTGAAATCAAAACCAACTAGATAAACTCGTCATAGTGCTAACCCCTTTGATAGACTTTGGGGCTTGGGGAAGTATCGTCTGAACCCAGCCGACTATCTAAGATCCTAAAACCTAATGATCAGCAGCTCGAAGAAGGACAGAAGCCATTCCGAGTGGTCAAGAGCCAACTTACTTGCATCCGCTAGCTGTAGATTTCAATCTTGGTGCGTGACTGCGACTTGCCTTTGAAAATCATCACCCAAAGCAGGAAAAGATTTGCCATGGCATATCCCACACTCCAGTGTTGAGCACCAAAGTTCGATTGCTTTCCGGCCCGAGTGTGATAGCTGCCACAAGCGGAGTGTTGTAGCGCCTTAGGAGGCGGTGAATCCAAGAGTCAGACAGTTACCAGTTCAGAAAGGCGCAAGTCTCTGGCAGACTACGTACCTAACAAAAGTGAACAACTCCGCTCTGCCATGTTCTACCCCATGGTATACCGGAACCAGCAGACATCACTTGGTCTCATAGCATGGCTACCTGAAGAAAATGGCTACCTAGAGTGAGACGTGTGGACGACTAAAGAAGCCCTCGATAGTTGTGTGAACTTGCGGGGTTTGCCTCAGCCAGCCACAGCTGAAGGAAGCAACGTCAATCACCACACTAGAATTCCGAACCCCACAATCCCATTATTACGATGCAGCACAATTCTGAGGTAGTCTTTATGCAAAATATGATGGTCAAGTCAATAACAAGATTGTGTGGAGTGCGGAAGTTGTCAACAGTCCTCGTCGCCTCTGCGGCAGCTCGTACTCCGCTCGGTTTCACGATTGAGGAAAGAGGTAGAGATCCATCTGCCTACGTTTTTAGACCTGATTGCAAGTTTTCGAGACGAAATGATGATATTCGGGGCCCTTTTGCAGTTTATGTCGAAAGTGGGCGATGTGGGTAGTGATGTGAGTCTCACTGCAAGCCACGCTGGATAAGTACGCAATACAATCAACTGTGATGGCTCTTTTGGGAACTCTTCTGATTCGATCACTGCAGTGATCTGTGACTGTGGCAAACTGAGCGTTTCCGTCATTCCACTATCACAAACTGCTGATCTACTTGTTATACCTATGCCACCTAAACATCTTCCAGGCCCCCTTTGGATCGAGACTATGATGAGCCAGACAGCCTAACGAAGGCTGAGGAGCTCATTGAGGCCACGAAGATGATAACTGACCGGAAGGAGAGTATATGCGGTTCTTGATCTAGAACTCAGCCATGGGTCTCACGACGAACCATGGCTGGCTCAACCTCCCTAGCAGTGTCCTTGGGCAGTATTCGAGACCGGTCTATATGTGACGGAAAGTCGATCGCCTGGAAACGATCAGCTCATGTTGGAGAGCTGAGTTCTGCAAGCATTGTGAGCTGAAATACGACCAGAGTCCAAGAACAATGCTCGAGAGTATGAAGGGGACTTGTGGCATTTCTGGAAACGGCAGATGATACGATGTCTGCATTTGTGGAAGGATTTCCACGTCATACATGAAATGAGGCTACCTGATGTTGTGAGGGCGGTGCGGAGATGGAAATCCAGAGTTTACGAAGGTACGAAGCAGAGGCAATGAGCCAGTGGACAGCTCGTATGGAAGCCGAGGGAGGAAGAACCAAGATCTTTCCCACTGTTACGTACTTGGAATCGCATGTAAAATTTTCATCTCAGGGAGAAGGAGGGGGAAAAAGATATTGGTCCCAGTAAACCGGTTTCATGGCGATGGAAAATTATAAAAGCCAAGAGGCCACCCTACAGTCCATGAGTTATTTCCTGTAACAGTCATCGAACACCTGTCTACCTTTTACAACACATTCTTCATCTCACCACTAGCCAATTCCCGCACATCATATCAAAATGGGCGTTGTTGAGAAGGGCAACAAGATCTTCGTCTCGGCCAGCGAGATCGACAAGAACAAGGTCACTGTTGAGTGGCAGCAGAACTTCAAGCAACGCTCGCAGGAGTATTACACTGTTCCCTTCATCAATAAGAGCCAGGGTTTGTTGACACCGATTGTACGTGGAAGATTGATCTCGAACTGACTGCTGCTATCTACAGGGGACCAGGAGAGCGTCCTCTTCATCCAGACCAACTATCTTGACGCTTTCAAGAAGAAGCAGGTTGCAGGCGAACCGGAATTCACTGTCATCGTTGACACCTCCTTCCAGTACGGTCAGAATGACGAGAAAACCTCGCGTTGGCTTGTCTATCATGACAAGAGCATGAACGCCTTCCAGGTATGCAAAATAAGTTCCAGAACATATTATGGTGTGGCCTAGAGGCTGACCCCGAGATTACAGTGGCGATTCGTTGCGAGCGTCAAGTCTAAGCTGGGAAATCAGCTGGGCTCATTCGGTGGTGGCATCTTCAAGAGCTTCATTGGAGTCGACATTGGGAACTTGGCTGCGCTCATCGGTCACCCTCTTCGGGACTTCTAAGATGCTCAGATTTGGAAGCCAAGCTAGCAGTAACAGCCTTACGCTTCGCACTGATTCATTGCTGTGGGATCAGATTCATGCCCGCCACTCTGCCGCACGATGACTGAGGTCAACATCGCGCTTTTGACAACGCACCTTACTTAACATTCGAAACACTCTTTTAAATCCCGGGTTTTATAATAGCTTGATTACTGAAGTAGAGGAATGATGAATTTAATCTATTCTTCAAAAATCAAAAGACTTTTGCTCCCTCATAACGATGGGTAACGATTGACCCTGACGACCGACTGGTCTGGTTCCAGTGTAGACCAGCTAGGAGGGTTCAGTGGTTCTGGGATATTACTTTCCACACCCATACCAGACCCTTGGACTTGTGATCATATAAGATACCCAATGATCTGGACTTAAGGAATATAATTCAAGTGGATCTGTCGGCGCATAGGTGTAAGGGGGTAAGAGACGCGGCAGACAGAGACTCCATGTCCAGGCAAGCAATACTTGTCAGCCATGCATATTCACTCGAATATACGCACCACAAAGTCACAAAAGTTCTGTTCCAAATACAAGTAGGCCAGAAGAAATGTAAGGACCGAAAGACAGGCTTTGCTCCTTCCTCTTCTAAGTTCCACCCAACCGTCAGACTCTTCATCCCGCTGCCCCTTTATCCGAATGCCACGGGCCTACATACCTACTATCTACCGCAATGAAGGTTCTTCTTTACATTCTCATACTATAGGTTCATACTCAGCTTCTTTGCAGATAACCTTGATTTCGTTGCTGGCCAATGTTCAAAGACATGTTCGACATCTGTCGACCTTTTATCCCTGAATCCTCTATCTTCTTGATTTCTTTCATTCATTTTCCCCTTCATCGACATTCTGTGAAAAAGGAAGTCGCTGGACGACTCGAAGGCCCTTCGACCTAATCTCCTCAACTCCGTACAACTCTTTCGTTCCTATTCTCGCAAGCATGGACGACCTGGACCTCTCCCAGCTGCTAGAATCGGGCGAATACAGCGATCTTAGGCTCGTCACCACCAATACTGATGATGGATTTGAGACCGAGCACCCCATTCACCGCAACATTGTCTTCAGCTAATGTCCGAGATTGAGAGACGTGGTGGCCTCCATTAGACCTCTGGTAAGCCATTCACCTGGGACTCTTTGGATCTCTTTCAACAGCCTGCCTTACAGAACCAAGTCAACGGAAATGACATTGCCCATCTCAACTATAATAGCAAAGCCCTCGGCACTATGTTGCGGTATTTGTACTCAGGAAAGTACGAGGTACAATACGAGGTGGCGATCCGGCGAGCGAGCGAGGCTGGTGGCGATGACCGGCCCCACTCAATGTACTGGTCCATCCATGCCATGCAGCTGGCACATGAAGTAGATCTCTTCGGTCTCTATATGAAAGCGGCATGGGCGTTGTGTAAGGCAGCAAAACAGCTCACGAACCACGTCGACTTCCCTGACATGGTCGACGAGCTCTACGAGACGTGTGGCCAGCATCCAGGTTTCCCCATCCATCTCGCAAGTATTGCAAGAACCATTGCATATAACTGTCTGATCAGCAGTCGGCTTTGAGATCGACTAAAACCCACCATGCTCAAATACCCGCAGCTTGCTCTCGACGTGATGGAAGCAAGCTTGGACGCTCTGTCTGAGACCCAAAAAGATCTCGTCGAGGCACAGGAGAAGATCTCTGATCTTCGAGCTCAAGGATGCAGAGCTGATTAGTTTTGGGTCGAGGATGAGCGTGATGTAGAGCGTGATAGGAAGAGAGAAAGAGAGCGAGACTGGGAGAGAAGAGAGGCAGAGGTGGGCAGAGGTGGTTCGCGACGACAGCTTTGAGTTCAAAATTGTTCATGGGAGCAAGAAACGGAGTCACTCCTCTTCTCATAGCGCTGTAAAATACCCTGCGCTAGAAGGGGAGATCTAATTTTGCTTGAGGACCTGGAAAGGAAGGGAGGGGGGTTGATACAGGAGTTTAGCGGCAGGAACGTTAGGATACTCGCCGGCGAGGAAAGAGCTGGACTCTATGACTGGAACTTGTGATTTCGATTGTTTTACGATATCCGCGAGCTATGTCGCGAAAGGAATTAACATGGAAGAATGAATCTCCTCAACCACTATATTGCTTCTGAGTTTCTGTGGGAATCGATTTACAAAGTGACTACAGAAAGAAAGAGCAACCTACTGCCTCTCTCTCTGAGGGTAAGGGGATCAGGAAGAGACTTCTCGTCAATATAAAGCCCTCCTCTCTTCAATTCTTCTATTCCTCCTTCTTCTTCCTCCTCCTCTCACCTCAACCTTATCTCTCACTTGACCAAACAAATAAACGAGGAGAGACTGGATAGATCGATCAGAGCCACATTCTTTCCATTCATCTCACTTCAATTTGGTTACCCTTCCAAACATCATACCGAATAGAACCATCGCTCGCTCAAGCATACTTCCAACGCTTTACGCAACATACACTGAAAATTCGAGATGGCGGGTGTTGATCTTAGCAGCCTATTCAACTCCAGCAAGTGGAGCGACCTGACGATCGAGGCGTCCGGGAAGGTCTTTCGCGGTCACCGGTGTGTTGTGTTTAGCCAGTGCGATGAATGGCGAAAGTTGCCTCTGGTCGTAAGTTGAAACTAATCTAGCTATATAAAGCACTTAAGTAAGGTGTCTTTTCTAACAAAACGCCTATAGAACGGACGTCTCGTCCTCACTGGAGGATACACCACCATGGCGATTCTCAAGTACATGTACACCGGTGCCTACAAGCCCTTCAGCATTCCCTGCGTCAACACAAAAATACCAGAGAGACTCCAGGTAAACGCGGAAGGTCCGACCCATGAACTCGACTGCAGCGATCATGGTATGTTCCTTACCGTCTGCGTCTTGGTCCGAGCAAGGACGTACAACATGGCCAAACTCTACGACCAAGCCAAAACCGCACTTTTAACCATCGCGCCTAACCACACCGACCATGCAGACTTTCTCGACACCGTCCACTACATACTTGACAACTTTCGGAATGAGGAGGGACTGCAGGTTGCTCTGCGAATGATTATGCCGCAGTATGAAACGAACGCTGGCCTGCGTAGCAGACTCAAGGATCTCCTGCTCATCCACCCCCACCTTGCTTGCGCCCTTCTTGAGCACACGACTGAGGAGTTGCGTTTGATCAAGAGGGAGAAGAGCTTGACTCAGCTTATGAGCAAGATCGAACCCGGCGAAAATTTCGGAGTGGACTCACCGCAGAGCACACCTCCGCGAACTGTGCGCGTGACTTCCGCGAAGCGAAAGGGCGACGATGGTGAGATGCCCGAAATCAAGCGTCTCAGAGAAAGCATTGAGGAATAGTCGGCCGGTTCGTTGGATTCTACTTTGGACAGGAAATTATGAGGACATGGACACGTTATCTTGGGGCAGAATAAGGCCTCTGGATCAAAGAGGAAAGATACAGCCTCGGAATGGAAGAGGAACATAGACTTTGCGATTCTTCATTCAATAGACGATGTTGCCTTTCAAGATCATGCATTCAAGATCAAACTGGCCGAAACCATTGGTGTGAGTTAACTTTGTGTTGGTATAATTGGGTATCTATCCAAGTATTCCCCGATTCTATCCCTTTTGATACACGACGCCTGCCACGCTGGCCCTTTCTGTTGTAGATTCCCATCATGTAATGGGCGTGATTATACATATCTTACACGTCCAACCCCTATCCGATATTTTTTGTCGGACGCCTCGTTCTCCTGAGTGTCTTCCTCCAGCCTAGACTGTTCTTGCCTCATGGCCAGGCCACGCTTGATGACTTCATGTAGGTTCTGATGATTTCCCCACTCATCCTCATATATATACTCCTCCACCTCTTCATCGGAAGGCCAGTGCATCGGTCCCCCATTCCTGCTATCGCTCAGTGCCGTGACCTCCTCGCGTAAAGCCATCACTGTCTCCTGGTCGAGCAAAGGTTCCGCGTAGGCTCGGAACGCACGGAATGCCCTCGCAAGGTACCGCGCGTGCGCCAGGGAAAGGTCCCCGCCGGCTTTGGGAGTCCACTCGCGGATGATCCACCACATCAGCAGAACCATCTCCTCGCGATCGCCGAGGAACGCGAGTGTGCGCATGTACGTGTTGATCGTCGCTGCTGTCACGAGCTTGTTCACATCGGGTTTGGGCGCCGGACCCAGGGTGGCGAGTGCTCTCCACGCGGTCTTGAGTTGGCTCGATGCTTTTTGTACTGCCTCGATTGGTGTCTGGTCGTGGCCCAGCTCTTCGCGTTGAAAGATAGGGGTAAGAATTTGGCGATATGACAGCTTACTGGAAGGGCCGTGAAGTCGATATATGCGGCCCTTGGGGTTCTTGATCTTGCTTGTCTGCGCTTGATACAGCGACAGAAACTCCTCATCTTCGTCTAGAGTCCGTGAAGCGGCCGCATCTTCTACGCGCGGGCTCCCCGTTGCCATTTCGTCACTTGGTTGTTCCTCAGAATGGACTGGCGTTTTGGCCACATCTTTGGTTAGCAAGGCGGCAAGTCGGGGCTGGACCGCTTTCCGTAATACACTGGCAAATGCAGTGATCATGTTCAGACTGAGCCCGGAATGTCCCTCAGCCATCTTCAGGGCTTTAACCGCCAGATGCAACACTTCTATATTATTTTCCGAGGGCATGCTGTTGCTGACCATGATGTTTGATCTACCCAAATTGAACAGTATCGTCTCCCATGGCGCCCGCCCAGAGACGTCAGTTGAAGCCCAGCCCATTTGCGCAAGTTGAAATGCATAGTGGATGCTAAACATGCTCTTGTTGGAGATGTGCGAGGGTGTATTCGATGTTCGGTTTGGTTGAAGGCGACAAAATAGGTCGATGAATGCGTGTAGTATGTCGTGAGGTGGGTTGGTCAACGCACTCCCCGTGAGGCCTTGATAGTCTTTCAGGCTCTGCCTAATACTGCTTTTGAGTCCTTCCTCCAAGCTACTGCAATCGACGTGATGCAGCGCGACGTCAACGCTGGGTGACTGCTTGATAAGTCCAGCCAAGAATGATCCACGAATGGGAATACCTGCGTTGTACATCTCTTCTACAATTTTGCGAATGCTGGGTGGGTTGGTCCGCGCCCTCTCGAAGTCGCTGAGGTTTTCGTCGTTGTAGGGGAAAACCTCCCTCCCATCTCCAGGGAGATTGTGATGCCCGGATTTTGCTGACTTTGCAGAGAGCTTGGCTATCAATTCTCTGTACACTTCAAACGTGGGCTTCATCCCTGGTTCTGGAGGATGTTTGAACAGGGCCCAAGCTTCTTGTGCATTTCGAGTCGTACGGATCTGAGCTGCCCATGCGCCTTGCTCAACACGAAGGTGGCGCGGGTAATTCGCTCTAGTCTGGACCGTTGGCGAGCCATCAGGAGCCATGCCACCTAGGATATCCGTGATCAAGTCGAAGTCCTTCTTGCTATATCCACCCTCTTGCATCATGATACCGGCCTTGACAACTCGGCTTTGGTAGGCCTCAGGACCAGACTTCTCCTCCATGCCATCGCGCATAATCCGATGTGGGGGCCAGTGACTGGCAAGTGTGCTGGCCGTGTCCCGTTCTGAAGCTGTTTTTGGTAGTGCTAGCAAGACTTGCCGAATCGCCCGATAGCTCTCTTCCTCAATGATGAGGGTCTTCTCCGAGGTAGAAGATAGTGACAGAAGCTTCGTCACAGCTGTCCAATTGTAAGAGCTGTACTGATACGGGGACTTTCTCGATAAGACTGATACAGCCTGTATAGCGCGATTGAGCACCTGGCATTGTAACTTGTACGCCTTGTCTGGTTGTCGATGGCCAAGCGGGATAATTTTGATGTATGACACTGAGAGCTCTGCGATATCAGGCAACGCATCGGGCTGCAGTCTGCTCGCATGTTGACACAGTTTGTCCAGCAATTTGCTAAACAAAACCGGTGTAATTACCGAGTCCAAGTCAAAGGCCTGCGGTGCATCGTTGGACGACTTCTGTCGTTCCGCATACCATGTATTGCAGTATCTCAGTAGCCCCAACAAGGATTCGGAGCTCTGGAAGTACGGCCTGCTGGTGAGCAGGTAGATCAAGACGAACAGTGGCTTATGGCCTGGTCTGCTTAGGAATCTTTCGACCCTCTTGTCCGGATCGCGCGGGATAATGATCCAAGCCCAACTAGACACATTCGCCGGTGTATGACCTCTCGCGGACAATTGTTGTAGGGTTGCCTGCCATTGTCGACTGTCACATAGCAGGCGCGCAATGTCTGGTCTGAGCTCTGGGACCTGGCGGAGGATTTCCTGTGCGGTGATGACGCTGAGCTGAGGGGACCTCAACTGTGCTAGGAATCGGAGATTGGATAGCTTGGATTCGGATGGTGGTTCGGAGGGAAGGCGATACAGGTCGGCAGCATCGGCAAGGAGCAAGTCTGAGAATATCGACCGCTCATGGCGCACAATCCGTATCAAATCGCGCCGTGATGAGGCTCTCGGCGCTTCATGTGACTGGGGGGATCGTTTGAACGGTCTGATCAGTTGCCAAGAAGGTGTTTGTTGTAGTGCGGCGGCAGTATGGCAGGGCTGGTAGTTGTGCCGTTGGGATAGCTGCTTGGACGAATAACCATGTTAACTATGAGTCCGAGAGAGCTGTCGTAGATGGAGAAAGTACTCACAGCTTGCCAGTCGCGGCCAAGCACCCATCGGCCCCTGGTCAGGACAATACCGTGTGATCTGGAAATGGGCGGCGGCCGCATTGCCCCATCTTTGCTAGCAAAACCTTGTGATCCCGCGATTGAGATGCTACGAGGCTACTTAACGTTGGGCTTAGGGGAGCTTGATGAAGTTCCATAGAAAAAAAGGTCCGGGGGCGAAGGTCGCGACTGCGGGAAGCTTTCCGCAGTGCATCACGTGCGATAAGGCAGCTCAATCGATAAGAAAAAGATCCCTGCTTGTACCTTAAGGTAACTAAGGTTCCATACTTCGAAACCAACAACTGCCATCTGCGAAACTGCGAAGCAGTATTGGATTTTCTTCTCCTTGTCTTTTTGTCTTTGAATTGCTCAATGGTGCCTGGAATCTCAAAATGCGACCTTCTCATTTCAAAATAGCATCCTCGCTCAGCCGCGGGCTGCACACCGCTCGATCCACGCCCTGCCCGCAGCGATACTTCCATGTCACAACACCAGCGAGCATGCCGCGGAAGCGGACCTTTTTCACTTCGAACGTTTACCTTTCCCAGAGCACTGGTGAGCCGACCGAGAGGCCACCAAGGCAGGAAGATGACGAGTCGTCTCAGCTCACAGCACCGAAGCGTAAGGGGGTGCGCTCCGCCGGCGCAAAGAACTCCCTACGCCGCGTAGCGATTATTGCCCAGCGACCGGCGCAACGAGAACCAGGAGAGGTGCCAGCAGAGACGATGGATGTGTCTGCGCCAACACTGATAAACGCCGTGTGTGTTGCCGAAGCTTTCAATATGGGAACAGTTCTGGACATTCTGCGGGCCCATGGGTTTGATATTGATCCATATCAGAGCGGGTTCGAGGCGAGCGAGGTGGTCCACGCACGAGGTGTCAATGGTGGTGATATTTTCGTTTTCCCCTCGGGAACAATTGTCACTTGGGCCTTGCCCCCAGACGTTGTCACGAAGCAGTTGCTGAATGCGGCAGAAACGCCGCTGAAGCCAGCTCTTCGGGAGGTGGAGGACCTGGAGTACGTTTCCGATCCGAGCAAGGAGACGAGCAGTATGAAGGGTGACATCGTAGTTCTGGGCACAAAGCTCGAAGAGCGAGATGGCGACAGGCTTGATACAACCCTCGCCAAGATTGCATTCTCTTCCGGACTGGCCCGAAGTACAAAGCTCGCAGTGCTGGAAACAGCGCTGACGGCTTACTTTGAGAGCACCAGAAAGATCCCGTCTGTGCTATCAAAGGGCTCGGGCTTGCCGTTGGGCAGGAAGTTCATTTTGCAAAAGACGGGCGAGCTGTTGAGCCTTCGCGCGAGGCTCAACCACTATTCCGAACTCACTGACTCTCTTCCAGACATCTTCTGGGACAGCCGATCTGAACTGGGCCTAGAAGGATACTATGAGCAGGTTGGCCGTGCGCTGGACGTCAACGTACGAATCCGGACGTTGAACCAGAAGATGGACTATGCTCAAGAAATTGCGAGTGTCCTGCGGGAGATGTCGAGCGAGCAGCATAGCACGAGGCTGGAGTGGATCATCATCATTCTTATTGCCGTGGAGGTCGTCTTCGAAGTCAGGAGGATTGTGCTCGAGTACAGAGAAGAAAAGGAGGAAGGTAAAGTGGAAGCCTAGGTTTATGTCTATTTAAACTAGGAGCTGCTGTTGAACTTTCAAAAGATACCCAACTCAATGATTAAAGAAGATGCCAAGATACACACATTTAGTGCGACTCCAAAGTGAAGACACATTTGGCTTGCCTTGGCTAATACCCAAATTCAATCCACGCAAGGCCCAGGGAGTGACATATCTTCAGTTCGCTGCTGAGGTACTTGAGACAAGTTGGTATCACCAAAGAACAACTCATGGGATCAACCCCAAGAAAACACTCCTGCTGCATGTTTCCTATACCAGCGAATAATACAAATATGTCTTGCCTGATGCTAGAATATTTAATTCAGGGCGCGATACAGCAGTCCAACTATGCTCAACACACAGGTACTTCATTGTGCAAAGTGACTTTCGAGGTTCCGGGAAACCCTGCGCTAGGTAGCCGCTGCAGGAACGGCAACAGCATGGCACTAATTGTGGATCGCGCTTACCCAATGAGCTTCGCTGATAACTATTGTAGAATGACTGAAAGTAAACAATTGTTTTGAATGCTAAGCTCAAATCCTAAGGTTAGTAGATGAGTTCTTTCGGATGCTTGCCCTTTTCGGTAATTTTTCTTTCTTTCTTTGGCGAGTCTGAGGTACTTAATACTTTCTTCTCAATATTAGACATTTCTCACCTAGGAACCGTCGCCGTCCAGTTCTTTCTCAAGGAAAACTCCAGCAAAAGATACCTCGCCTTCCATTGCTCGTCGCGGTTTGCCTTCTGCCAGCGTACCCACCCTACCTCGCCATCGCCCAAATCCCTACTATACCAACTCACCTTCACACCTGTCTCTCACTCTACCATATCGGTCAATTCGAGTTTATTCGCTGGACTCATCTTGAGCTTTACCCAGGTGTCTCCAGACTTGGTCAGATACCTTCCAGATACAACATCACGCTTAACGACCGTGACTGCTTCACCTTGGCACGCGACTACTTCGCGGACCTCACTCTGACCACTCCTGCCCGTAAGGCCTTAATTGATTTCGATTGCAACATACAGCTGAGCCTCAAGCCTTTCCCTGTTGTTCGGCAAACAAAGCACCCACCAGGCAGGGGTTTGATGCGTGTGGAACACCCGGGCCGTACCTACCTCGATCATGCCTCCTCCACTTATTGGTACGTTTTCTTTGTCTTTCTATATTATGTTGGCTCGTGTTCATCTCACTAACACTTACTCAAGAGGAAGAGGAAGAGGAAATGGGGGATTTTGATGGCGGTCTCCCCCACAACTGGGAGGATGACTTGGATCTGCTTGCGGACCCTTTTTTCAATGCTTACGACAACAACGAATTACCTGACTTTGAGGATCTCGTGCCTTCTCAAGCTTTGGAAGCACTAGCACCACCACTCTTCGTCGATGATGAGTCCACAGCACCTTTCTCAGGATCGTCAATGCAGGTTGACGCTATACCGGAAGTCCCGTTACAGGAGCAGCCAGTATTTGACCAAGATGGCAAAAGAATAGGCACTATTCTACCCGTGATGACCCGCAAACCTCTGCAAAACATATCGATCAACATTCCCTCGAGTACACTTATTAGGCCGGCGAGTCTGTACGAAGGCGAAGAGCCACGACCCAGCGAACGAGAATGGGTAGCGGTTCGATCTTTGCTCCAAGAGATGCAGCAGAACAGCGAGGATGGAGAGCAAGACTTCATTGTGTTCGATATTGAAGACTTCGCCGTGTACATTGACGCTACAGTACCGGGTGGCAACATGAAAATTTACAAGGAGAGACGGTATCCCTGCGAGATGCGTCCCCTGCAACATCTGAGTATCCAGACCGCATGCACTCAGATGTACGTCGACGGTGTGTTGTCTGTGGGAGAGAAGCGGTTCTTTGTTAGGCAAATTCCTTTCGAGGAATTGCCTATCGGGAACTACGGAGCATCCGAGGCCACGGTCGGCTCTGAAATTTGGATACGCTCCAAACACAACGTTGCTATCGCCAAACAGAAAGGCCCAGATGTGTATTATCGGCTTGGAAGCCCAGCTCCCGAGTACCGACGCTACCATGCCGGGTTTACTTGGGTTGCAGATCTGGCTAAGCACGTGGTGGACTATCTCTCCGCTGCTATAGAGCAAAGCCGTCGTGTCACATTCCGGGACTTCCGATCCGACTTCTCACGATGGCTTGCAGATATGCATGGTCACTCGGATGCTTTCTCCAAATGGCGGAGGCAATACTCCAAAGAGGACTTCTGCACAGCAATTGTACCAAATGTTCAATTTATCTATAAGGAAGCCTACGGAGTCCTTGGACACCGAGCTACAACTATCTATCTCTGGAGAGAGATTCGCGAGTTCACTGCATTCGCCGATAGCCAGGAGAAGATGCTCAAAACCGGTGGAAGCAACGCTGACACGCCACAAACTTCGCCGTCGCCAACGCCAAAGCCGAATCCAAAGACACGTCAGCCAGCTGACATACCCAGGACAGTGGTAACTCCTTACGTTAACGACCTGTTCCATCGTTTACCCTGTGGGCCGATGATGGAGGCAACCAGTCCGAGCGCAGACGTGGAGAAGCTCCGGCAGGGCGTCATCCAGGGCCTGGGCTTGGAGGAGGCTTCAAGGATTCATACGACGGCCAAGGACATCGCTGAGAAGACCGGACAGGAAGTACGAGTCGGAGATGTGATATCCACACATAGAGACGACGACGAAGACTATTGGGTTCGAGAAGCCACCACTGGCTTCAACGACGTTGACTGCTGGTTTGGGCTCGTTCAAAAAGTTCATAATGTCCACAATTCACGGCAGAAGAGTTTCGACGTATCATGGATCTACACACCCACACATACGCTTTGCGGGATAATGAGATATCCGTGGAACAACGAGCTTTTCCTTTCCGACCACTGTACCTGCGGCGACGCTACTGTCGGAAAGATCAAGGAAAATGAGGTACTGGCAGTCCATGGGGTGGACTGGGGAGGTTCATCTAGAACAGATACAGAGTTCTTTTGTCGCCAAACGTACCTCCATGAGGAGCGAAAATGGATCACGTTCAAAGAGCAACACCTGCGATGTCCTCACCGCCAAGCTAGGCCGGAATTTCCTTACCTAGCAGGAGACACTCTGTTAGTAAGCCTAGAGCTAGGTGACGCTATAGTCGAGCCCTGCGAGTTGGTAACTCTCCCCGACGCCAATGGCGTAGTAACCTTTCGCCGCCTGGAGCGCAGACATCGCCTGCAGCCTGATGTTCCACCGAACGAACTTGTCTACACCGACGAAGAGTTTACTCTTGGACAGGAAAACATCCATGGAAGATGTCTCGTCCGAGTCTTCCGCCCCGACGAAAAGATACCACCACCATATGATCGTAACGGGGTGAGCAATGTATTCTTCATAACGCAGCGATGGCAAGACGGTATTATGATTCCCATTGAGGATGCTCCCATAACGCTCAGACAGGGGTTCGATCCCAGAAAGCAGTTCGACAAGCTTCGGGGCTTCGATCTCTTCTGTGGAGGGGGAAATTTTGGCCGCGGCCTTGAAGAAGGCGGGGCGATCGAGATGAAATGGGCCAACGACATCAACATCAAGGCCATCCATACTTACATGGCCAATACTACCACTAATACCGTCCATCCTTTCGCTGGATCGATCGACGACCTCCAACGACTTGCCCTGCAAGGGGAGTTTTGCGAAAGGGTACCTGAGATCGGAATGGTCGACTTCATATCGGGTGGGAGTCCATGCCCTGGCTTCTCACGCTTGACCATCGACAAGGCCACTCCCGAGCAACGCAAAAACCAGTCACTAGTGGCAGCATTTGCTTCGTTCGTTGACACTTACCGACCTCGCTATGGCCTGCTTGAGAATGTCATGGAGATCCTTCAGCCGAAGGGGCGCCGAGGCGAGGATGTGTTCAGCCAGTTGATATGCGCCCTCGTCGGGCTCGGCTACCAGGCTGAGGTCTTCTTGTTAGATGCTTGGAACTACGGATCTCCGCAAAGCCGAAGTCGAGTTTTCTTATGCTTTGCGGCGCCTGGCCTCGCTCTTCCCGATATGCCTCTCCATTCTCATTCTCACTATACGGCTAAGATTCGCAGTCGAGGACTGGGATGGATTCCCAACGGGAAGTCAATGGTCGACCGGCTGGTAATGCCCACCCCGTTCAAGTTTATCAGCGCACAAGAGGCGACGGCTGATTTGCCTGACATCATGGATGGAAAGGCAGACTATTGCATCAACTTTCCGGACCACAGAGTCGCCGTCGGTGTCACCAAGAGATTACGCACACAGATGGGTATCATTCCAATGCACCCACACGGAATGAATTTCCGCAAGACTTGGAATAAAGGAAAGGGAGTCATGACTGTGGCCGAGAGGAGCCTCTTCCCGGAGAAAGGTGAGAGGGTTAATGAGCTTATGTCTAACTCTTGGGGACGAGCATTACCAGGCAAGGTCATGCCAACAATTACAACCACTCCAGCACCCACAGATGCTCGCGTTGGATTCATCATGCATTGGGAACAGGATCGCGTTTTGACTATCATGGAAGCGCGGCGTGCGCAAGGCTTCCGAGACCACGAGGTCCTCCTCGGGGCACCCAAAGACCAATGGAAGGTCGTTGGAAACAGTGTGGCTAGGGAGGTGTCGTTAGCCTTGGGTCTGTCCTACCGCCAGGCGTGGTTGGGAACTCTGGTTGACGGAGATGAAGTCGCACCGAGAGTCCACATCCCACACGACCTCTCTGATGGGGTGCAGATGATGGACACACCGCCTCTAGCAGATTCGCGTACGAGCATCTCTGGATCGGCATCGCCAGCTTCATCGTCGAGTCGTGCCGTGCCTGCGAAGCGTCCTCTGGGAAGCACGCTTTTGGTTGAGCGCTTCACGTCAAAGATGACGAAGTCGAGCCGGACACAGACATCGAGTGGTAGCAGAACCACAGTCGAGGCGGAGGATGAGACTCAGGCCGAAGCGACGACCTCGTTGGTGACCTCGGACATTGAGATCATTGAAATTGACTAGGCATAGTGATTTTGGACCGGCATTGGAGTAGGTGGTTTGCGATACATTTGCATCTTTGTGCGACAGAGCGCAAAGCTTCCGGACATTTTGTCAGAATCCTGAATAAGGGAGAGTCAACACTTGGAGTCACTGGAAAGATAGACAAAACGCATAGCGAAGATGATGTGAATTTTGAGCTTCACAGGATGATCAATTAGTGGTTAATCAACAGACACTGATTACGATGAAGTATTCTTTCTATTTTATGAATGATCAAAGTGCTAAAAATGAAACAAAAACAACGCTGTTTTTCTCTGCCCGAGATTAGGTATGTAAATTTGATGGCACAAAATGTATTGACTCCCAGCTCCTCTCCATGGTCTCCTGCTTTATGCCCTGGTCACAGTGACAGTGACAGTCTCCTTCTCTTTCTCAGTGACAGTCACAAATACCGTCAAGACGGACACACCCTGCTGAGCACCATTAGCCGGCATGGAAAGGGGTTTCGGCGTCGTGATTGGGCTCGGCGCGTCCGCAGCGGCGGAGGGCGCGTCCGTCGGGATGGGGTTCACGATGAGGGTGTCCGTGAACGTCCCGGTTAGTGTTGAGGGATTGCTTGCTTTGGTTGTTGTCGAGCCCGCTGCTTTCGTCGTTGTGGGTTCCGTTGTGGATGATTCTACGATGGTGGATTTGGTTGTGCTGGAGTGACCGGACTTTGAGGTTTCTTCTTCCACTGTTGAGGTGCGGGTTTTGCGGGTGGAAGTCGATGTTGTGGATGGGTCTTCTCCTTCTGCTGCTGTCGATGAGGGCGCGGGAGCTGGGGTCATGGTCTGGGTGACAAATACAGTCGTCGTGAAACCAGGGGCCTGGACTGCGGACGTCGTTCCTGGAGCACCTGGTGCAGTTACCGAGATGGTGTACGTTGCGATGACGGTGGGTGTGATCGTGACGGTGCTCTCATACCCGAGGTCAGAAGAGGCCGGCGGCGGCGCCGGGACCGCTGTCGTAGTCGTGAACGTCGAACCAGGTACAGACGCAGACCCGGAAATCGGCGTGCCCAGAATCCGGCTCGCGACCTGCGGATCATAACACCCAACAATAACCCCCTCCGTCGTCGTCATCGGCAGCGCGAAGCACGAGGTCCCCGCCCCGCAGCTCTGTACCGCGAACGCGCTGTTGGTCCCGCAGATGCCGACGTTGCCTTTCACGCAGGCGATCTGGCCGGCCGTGCAGGCGGATTGCTCCGTCAGGGAGGCGAAGAGGGCGTTGAATGTCTTTGCGGAGGCGACGTTGTTGGCTGCCGCGGCGGGGGAGATTGTTGCTGTCGCGGCTGGGGTGGAGGTGCGGATTGTGGGGACTTGGTTATTTGGTGTTCCTGTGACTTGGGGTTGGAGTGTTGATGAAGGGAGTGAAGAGGAGGCTGTGGTTGTTGGGAGGGAGGAAGGGGTATCTGGTGAGGATTGGGGGTTTGGAGCAGTTGTTGATGCTGCGGTGGCTGTTGTGGAAGCGAGAGACGAAGGAGTTGCTACAGCTATGGTTGTAGACTCTGCTACCGAGGTCTCTCCTCCAGGGACGGGAAACGGCAATGAGAGGGATGACTGCAGCGGTGTACCCGGGGAAGCGGAAGAGGAAGCACCGGGAGATCCTCCGAGATGAGGAGTGACTGTCAGGCTCTCGGAAATAATAGCAGAAGCGGAGGCTGTGTTTCCAGGTACTACGGATGACACATTCTTGAAGCCGGAGGTGAGTTGGGGCGGCAAGGAGATGGTGCTGTCCATAGGAGGCAGAAATACCGCCGAAGTGGTAGTCGGTATCGTCTGCGTCTGTACGGTAGACTCGACTGGTGTTGTCGAAGGACTCTGGTCTACGAGCTGTGTTGTTGCGGCCGCGGTCCTCGTTGATGAGCCGTCGAGGGTGACGAAAATTGGGGTCGGCGTGGTCCCATCTTGGTCTTGCTGTGTTACCGGCGGGGCAACAGAGCTGCTTGGTTCTCTAAGTTCGTGTAAGTGTTGCTTCAGAGAGACGAGAGAGATAGCGGAGCCGTACGATGAGGGTGAAAGACTGTCTGATGAAGCAGCAATGCTTTGACTGTACGTTGAGTTCCACTCCCTCCGGAAACTGTCACATGTTGTTAGTGAAAGTAAATTGGGTCTCGATATGGGGCTTACTTACTACCTCTCACCACGTCTTAATGGGCCGGCCTGCGTGGTTTGGGTGATCAGGAGGAGCAGTACGACATCTGCTATGCGTAGACTGGGGAGCATTGTGGTGTTCTGCAGTAAGCGGCCTTGTATGTAGGGATATTGACTCGGACTCGCCCTCTCCACAGGATATGAAGAATATTATGAATAAGAATGTGGTATCAATACCGCGTTGCCTCGCTCGCAGGCAAATCCAAAGATAGGTAGTTGAAAGAGAGCGGATACGGGTCTGGCGTCTAGGCACACAAAGGCGGCGATCAACAGAAGACTGGGAACAGAGTAGGAAAAGGCAACAAAGGACAAGGAAGGACGACGTGGAGAAAGGAACCGAGAAACAAAACACGAGAAAAGACGGAAGAGAAAGGAGAGTGGAAGGGGAGAAAGAGAGAAAGACGTCAATATGACTCGAAACCCACTGCAGACAGGCAAAGAAAAAATGATTGTATGACGGTGTGTGTGTGCTCGACAACTCGTCAGACACGAAGCACGCGAGGATGCAGGCACCATCTTGTATGACTGGACCTGACGGCAAGACAAGAACAAGAAGCGATCCAAGGGTCTAGAACTCTCAACCTTGTCGTGGCCCATTCAATACGCCGGTCTGTGAAGGCATTCGAAACACTTTTAGTCTGCTGGGTCTGGCCAAGGTTGGAAATGGAGCCCCAGCTTAGATGAGGGCCCGGTAGCTTGGGGACGACGTCGTCCAATGCTTTGCATTTCTTTCCCACTTCGCTAGCCGGGGAGTGATCGGATGTCAAATTTGTGGCCAAGCAGGAGACCGATTACCTAGGCCTTAGTTCATGGAGTCCCTCGCAAGGTTGCCGGGGCCGAGATGTCCATTGCCGCGAGACTGGGTAGACCGTAGCACCCACGCACCGTAGCAGTAGCGGTGGGTGGACGGACAGAAATGGTATGGTTAAGCGCCTCCCGCAATGAAAAACAACGTCGATACGAGGATCCTGGTGAGAGTAACGGGTCACTGTAGACTAATTTTGAAATGAGAAGGGGTTTCTTGGTTCTTGGTGTCTTGTGGTTTTGTGCCTGCGTCTTTGTTTCTGGAGAGGTCCATTGCAGACGCGCGGGAAGCTATTATTGGCAGTTTGGGGGATCCCTGTACTCTTCCCGTGCGACAGCTGCCAATCATTGGGGCGGCGCTTACACCACCTGGAGCAATGTGGGGTCCCAACGGTGCACGCCTGGCCCAAGCTTCACTCGCCGCCTCAGTCTAATAAAACGTCTCACTCTCACTCTCACTCACTCTCCTCACTGCAAGTCACTCACTCGATTTCATTCATAAGTTGGCTGCTTCTCACACTCCGTCAGTTCTCCAAACCTTCTCATGGCCATACTTCATAGACTCTCTTTAGTTCTGACGTCATGCTGTCAACCTCCTTGACGCTTCAGCAGATCAGCCACAAACACCTCCTGCCTTGTGGCTTGTTTCGGCCGAGTCTCATGGAATCACAGTACAGAGTCCTGGACTCGTACCACATGAGGTCGAGTCACAGTCTGAGTCCCTTGAAAACGTTGCATCATGAAACTCCGCGTCATCGTGAGACTATCATCTGTCGTCACTAGCCTGGCGACTGAGCTCTTGTTCTGAGCATGATAGCCAACCGCGCCGTCGTCTCCTTCGTGATTACTGAGGGGACTCGTCACATGCATGGTAATGGTGCCCTATCTCATCCTGGTTATCAAACAACTTTTCAATCAACAGGTACTGTGGCTTGGCAAATTGGGGCTGAAATGCGTTTCAAAAGAGGCTCTGCTTATAGTTCATATATCGCATTTCCACCGTCGGCCTCAACCTGCCTTTCCTCATAGCCTTGTTCTGAAATTTCTCAAAGTCAAGCCCCAGGTAGATTCTTATTATCTCCTCATCCAAGCAGATGAGATTGTGCAGCTATTCAAGGTCTTATCAAAGTATGATTACCGAAAGCACGTGGGCTGCCAATGTCGTGCCACCTTCCTCTCTCGTCTATAAAGCCAAGGCAAAGACCGGGGGTTTGAACTTCGCAGTCGTTGGAATATGCTTCCCTACCTTTGCCACAGGCAGCACGTTGCCCATCCCGTAGCATCTATTGGGACAAGCGGGGATCACATTCCAACCGCCAAGCCGTACCCCGGGCACTAAAGCGTCTTGGCCCCCAGGAACGCTGCGAAACATGTGCGCCAGGTGACAGAACCATTCGTGTTAATCATTCAGATGAGCTTCAAGCCGGTGAAATATCTCTCATGTTACCAGACGCTTTTAATGTACTTCCAGTATTGGCAGCAATGAATTGTGAACCTCTTACTAGAATTAGCGAGACACTATTGAATGTAATCCTTCATGCCAAGTGAGTATGCCGCAACGACGGCTGCAGGCGGCATAAAACATAATGTGAGATACCACAATGCGCGGCCAAGAAAATCGAAGATGAATAGTTATAAAAGCAAAATCGATGGCTGCAACCTTGGTGACGTTCCTGAGGATTCTTATCCATCGTAGACGTGCCTTCCAAGATGCGCTCTTCAGCCGTGGTCTTCGCCGCCTTGGCGCAGTCAGTCCTGTCACTCCCCAATGTCAAGAACTTCATCTACATCGTGCCGGATGGATACGGTCCCGCCTCTCAGACAATGGCAAGAGACTATGTCTCGCTGCTCGAGAATGGTCAAAATCCCAAAGCACCCGTGAGCTTCCAGCTTGCGGCTGATAAAATGGTGCGTTGAGAAGTACTCTGACGTTTGTGCTATTCATACTCACAATCTTGGAAGGTCCTCGGCAACGTTCGCACACTGTCCAGCGACAACCTCATCACGGACTCTGCCGCCTCTGGAACCGCCTTTGCTTGCGGTGTGAAGTCTTACAACAACGGTACGAGCGCCTGTCGTGAGAACTCGACGGCATTTTACTAAAACGTGCCAGCTATCGGCGTCAACCCCGCTGGCGAGCCTGTCGGTTCCATCCTCGAGGCTGCCAAACTCGCAGGCATGAAGACGGGTCTGGTTGTCACCAGCACCATCAACCACGCCACCCCTGCGTGTAAGTAAACCCACCGCCAGAAATGCCCTAGTCATATTAAGTTGCCTCGGTCAATAAACACCACTGACAGTAATCCAGGCTATGCGGCTCACGTTGCCGATCGTAACTCGTACGCCAAGATTGCGGAGCATGAGATTGGTTACGGGCACCCGCTCGGCCCCGTCGCCGACATCCTCCTCGGAGGTGGCCGGTGCTACTTCAAGCCCAAGTCAGACTCGACCTCTTGCCGAAAGGATGAGATTGACCTCTTTGGGTTCGCCCAAGAGAACGGCTACCACGTGATGCAGAACCGGTCGGCCTTTGACGCTCTCGATAAAGGTCTCGGCGACATTCGCCTTCCTTACATTGGTCTCTTTAATGATGGTACTTCAACACTTCTGCCTTCTTGGTGGATACATGGATAATAACACCCTCTAGGCCAGATGATGTACGAGATCGACCGATCCCGCCAACCCGCACAAGAACCCTCTCTCCTAGAAATGGTAGAAACGGCCCTCAACTCCCTCCACCGCGCCACTCACTGCAAAGAAGAGGGCTACTTCCTCATGATCGAGGCCTCACGCATCGACCACGCAGGCCACGCCAACGACCCGGCTGCCCACCTCTTCGATACGATCCACTACAACGAGGTCATGGGCTTCGTCCGCGAGTGGATCGACGAGCACACAGACACCCTGCTCATGTCCGCCGCCGACCACGAGTGCGGCGGCCTGACGCTCAACGGCTTCAATCCGCTCCCCCTCGCCAAGGTCAACGCCTCGACCGAGTTCCTCATGGATGTGTGGGACGCGTACACCGGGTCCGATAAGAAAGCCTTTCTGGTGGGTGAGATTTTGCCCGAGTATGGGCTTGCTGATGCTACGGACGCCGAGGTGAATACACTCCTCGCCGCAGGCTCGCTGAGCTCGGAGTTGGGGAATTTGCTGGCTAGTCGGGCTGGCGTGCACTGGTCCACGGGGGGTCATACCGCTTCCGATATCACTCTGTACGGCTACGGTGCTGGTGAGAACGGACCGGCCATAAAGGGTGATATGGCTGGCAACTGGGATAATACCGAGTTGCCAAAGTATATTGAAAAGGTTCTTGGCGTTGACATGGGACAGGTTACAGCGTTGCTGAGGGCTAATGGGACGGAGTGGGTTGGGAAGCGGGACTTGAGCCGACGGTCTGATGAGCATATTCACGGACACGACCGTTCTCACTAGGCTATAGTGTTCTTGTCGTATCTTGTGACCGTTCATGAGAGATTCGGGCATATTCAAGTCTGAGAATTTCATGTATTCATTTCTTGTATAACATGTCCAATCCCAGTAGGACAATACTCCAGAACTACCGACCATTGCGTTTGACAGCTGTGCTTCTCCAATAACTCGTACATAAAACGCGAAATTTGCAAAGCATAGATTTTTCTATAATCGTGGGGCATTCTTTATTTTGTCTATGTTCTGAGCCGCAAGCCTATCGCCATTCAGCTCCTCGTCTCTATCCCCAACTCTCCAAATAACTACCTAGTACCGTACTCCTTTTTCTAATTTTCATCATATCAAGTCCATCACTCATAGTCAAACGCCGCTTATGCTTGATCGATCGATTCAAAGAACGTAAATATACGGCTCAGACCCGTCCTTGGGTCGGTGTTTGCCTTGCGCCACACGCCTGTTATGCAACATATAAACGGCCTCCTGCAATAAAGCAAACGCCATACCGACCGAGACCATAATGATCATTGTCAAAAGGCCTTTATCGTAGCTAAAATCTAGTCAGGTAAAAGGCTGTGGAAAAATGGCGGGAAGAAAACTTACAAAGGCAGATCGTTACCCCTGAAATACTGTGATCCCACCATCAAGCCACTAATGGCAGACATCACCCACATTCTTCCTCGTCTGTCAGCTTCTGCTTATTTTTTTTTTTTAGGATGAAGCGAGTACTTACGCGATTCCAATGCTCCGTTCTCTGGGGTCACGGCAGTTAACCTGCAACCACGTATTATGCGCCGGGTGGTAGCAGACAGCAAAGGCGTTGATGGCCGTCCACAACCCCCACCTCGGCCACTTCCCAACATGCGGATGCACGGTCCGAGCCACCACGAGTACGACTAGGTAGCACACATGTCCCAACAAAACCGTCGACCCTCTCTTATTCGATCGATCACTCAGCATGGCAAAGGCAAAGACGACGACCATGGCGAGAGACGCGCCGACCGCGGCTAGGGCGTTGGCGCTGATGCGGTCGAAACCGAGGGCCCTTTTGGTAGAGGTAGACAAATCAGCACAGCGCTACTTCAATTTGCGGGAAGGAAAGGGTAATGGACTTACATTATTATGGAAGGGGTGTATGTCGTTAGCGGCGACCACGTCGAGAAGACGCAAAAGGTGGATACGTAGTGCGGCCATCTCTTGTAGTGCTTTATTGTCTTCCACACGAGGGCCCAGGGGATTTCGATACCGTGTACTCCATCGCTCTTCCCGGGCTCATCGATTTGAATTCTTTGTTGGAGGGTCTGCTGTTGTCTTGTCGAGAATCGAACCAGGCCTGGGCTTCCTAGGGGTTTCGGCGTGTCGGGGGATCCGGGGAGGAGAAAGATGAGCATCATGGCAATGACTAGGGTTGCCAGGCCCTCGACTACGACACGTTGTTAACAGTGACCCTTAAATCAAATGGATGAAGGTGACAAAAATACAAAAGGGAAAAGAAGAAGGAGAAGAGTATCTCCACTCACTTAAGAAAAGCCATTGCCAACCCGTCAACCCACCCGTCCCCGCCAACTTCAGTATCCCAGAGGCAAGCAGTGGACTCACGGCGTTGCCGCCAAACTGCCCAAACATGAAAACCGCTATGCGCTTCGCCAGCTCGTGTTTTGGGTACCAGTTTGACAGGGTGTACATTGATCCGGGTATGTATCCCGCCTCAGCGAGGCCGAGCATGAGGCGGATGGCGAGGAAGCCGGCGCGGTTCTTGACGAGGACCTGTAGCGTGGCGACGGTGCCGAAGAGGAGGACTTGTAAGGAGATCCATTTCCGGGGACCAAACTGTTGAACTTGGGATTTAGCGTGGTACTTCCTGAGTAGTAGGGACTTGAAAGTGAGACTGAAATGGGGAGGTGAGATGAGTTGGGTGTTGGGTTGTACAGACGCACCTTTTGTAGGAGCAAGTTACATGGAATTTCCAAGACAACGGTGCCCATGAACATCAGCTGGTTTCCCAGATTGATGGTATCTTGACTGACGTTGATATCCCTCGCGAAGCCGGCTGTAAGTGCGGAAGCTAGGTTCATGCGGTCCAGCTGGAACATGAGCAGACCCAAGACAAGGAGCGGTAACACAGTCATGTCGATTCTGAGACCATACATAGTAGTTTAGCCTTATTCAACCCATGAAGCTACTTTAAGCTTAAAATTCTGTGTCACTGGGAGGCGCGGGGGTCTTACTTCCTTTTGGCTTTACGTTCCTCATCGCCATCCCATTCTAGCTTGTCCTCGGACGCCATGACGGATCGGTCCATCGGCGTGGTGCACACCATCTTTTCATCTGTCGGAGAATTCATGGTTGTCGATCACGTCAGTTACACACACATACACAAGAGAAGGACCACGAATATTGGCCATTGGATTCAGCTGGAATGCCATGGTCAAATGCTTTTGTCTCGTGTAGTCGGCCATCCAGGTTCTCTACCATGTTCTCAATGACCTTAGCCAGCCCTGGACCTCGTACCCATGTTTCCCCCACATTCTCTGCGAACATCCTCAAGAAATTCAGGGTCCAAGAAGGCGACGTTAGGTAAGTGCTCGCACCTTGATGGCCTTCCATCCCGCCTGGTCGAGAGGTACTGATAAGTGTTATCGATAACAGCACATGCTCGTGACGGGCGACGGGAGACAACGTTTCCTCGCACGATAACGCCATCGGGCGCTAAGATGACCAAATCGACTTTCCACCACCGCGGACAGCACCGGCATCCCTGTCCGACTACCCGGTCAGGCAATTTACGACGACATGATTGGACTGTTTCGTATTCTGATAGTGGGGTCCACCCCTGTTCCTCTGAACCCCTCCATCCGTCCGCTGCAAGCCGCTCCCAAACTCTCGGGAGGCGGGCAGCTAAAAAAGTGAGAGCATTCGCACTTCGCGCGCTCTGGGTCAAGTGCCGCGCACCTTATCCTGTTCTTTCTCATTTCTCCTTTTACGATTCTTTGATACTGTCCTTACAATTCTACGTTGGTCAAGCATAGAGCGTATCAGGAAATAGCGAGTATCTGAAGAATGGGCGCAGTTAAGCGGGTTGCCGTCATCGGCGCGGGGCCCGCCGGGGCCATTACCATTGACGCCCTGGCGCGGGAGAAGACGTTCAACGTCATTCGTGTGTTTGAGCGTCGAGAGGCAGCGGGAGGATGCTGGTGAGTCCTTCTTTCGTTTGTTGCAAGTTATCTCCATTGGTCTGTTGCGCGGGGCTGGTTGTACTCATATGGAGCATATCTGGAGTACCTTGATGGTTTTAGCTGTTCCTGGTGAAATACGTTCAGGTACTACGTCCATCCGCATTGAACAGAGGAGCCAGTAACAAAATGAGAACCTTGATGGAGCTCTGGAGTTTGTACCGCTGGTGCGGGTGGCCAACTGTTGCAGCCAATGAACCACGTCAGCAATGTCACCGAGTAAAGCAACCTTCCATGGCGAAGATACCTCATCGGCGGGCAACATGATAGAATGGAGACAGTCACCGCGTTTGAACCAGATGAACATGCACTGACCCTTCCATCACCACAGGGTCGGCGACCAAACACCACCACCACATTTGACAAACCTCTCCTCCCTAGCAGCCCGGACCGCCGACCAACCCCTCCAGATCCCGGAAACTCTCCCCTCCCGGACGCCGAAAGCCCCGGCTGGGTCGGCCTCGGCTCCGGCCCCGCCACGCTTCACCGAGTCCGGAATCTACCCCTACCTTGAAACCAACGTCGACGCCATCCCCATGTCCTTCTCCGAGGAATCCCTCCCCGAACAGCGCACCGAAAACTCGATTGCGCTGCACGGGCCCGAGACGCCCTTTCGGCACTGGACCGTGGTGCGCGACTTTGTTCAAGGGCTGGTCAACCGTAACGGCTACCAGGATTTCGTTTCCTACCGCACCACGGTTGAGCGCGCTGAGAAGGCCGGAGACGAGTGGAAGCTTACCCTCAGGAAAGAGGGGGATGAATGGGATGACTGGTGGGTTGAGTACTTTGATGCTGTTGTGGTTGCGACGGGGCACTACTGGGTCCCGTATGTGCCTTACATTGAGGGCCTCGAGGAGTTTGAAAGGGATCGGCCGGGGAGCGTGATTCACAGCAAGCACTTCCGCGGACGAGATCACTTCCGCAACAAGGTGAGTCCTCTCTCAGTCATCACTAGGAAGAAAAGCCACTAACCACCCCCAACCCAGCGCGTCGTCGTAGTCGGTGCCTCCGTCTCAGGCGCAGACATCTCCGTCGACCTCGTCAAAGCAGCCAAACTTCCCGTCTACTCCGTCGTGAACGGCCGCAAAGCAAACCTCTATTTCGGCGACGGCGCCTTCAACCACCCGCAAATCTCCCGCCGCGCCACTATCACCCACATCGACCCGGCCACCAGAACAGTCCACTTCCAAGACGGCACCTCCGTCCCGGGAGTCGACAGCATCGTCCTCGCCACGGGCTTCACCTGGACCCTCCCCTTCCTTCCCTCGGTCGAGCTGCGCAACAACCGCGTCGCGGGGCTCTACCAGCACGTAATCTACCACGCAGACCCGACGCTGCTTTTTATTGGCGCCGTGGCGGCGGGGCTGACATTTAAGATTTTCGAGTGGCAAGCTGTGCTTGCGGCGCGCGTGCTAGCTGGGCGTGCGAGGTTGCCGCCCAAGGAGGAGCAGGCGAGGTGGGAGGCGGAGAGGGTCAAGGAGAAGGGAGACGATATTCGGTTTTCGCTTGTGCACCCTCACTTTGAGGAGTATTTTGAGACGGTGAGGGAGCTTGCGGGCGAGCCTGAGGGTGAAGTGGGCAGGGCGCTGCCGGTGTATGATCCGTCTTGGTTCCGGGTGTTTATGGACGGGTTGGAGTTGAGGAAAAAGATGTGGGTGAGGTTGAATGCCGAGGCACGGGATGAGCTTCAGGCGGCGAATGGGGCTGGGAAGGAGGGGGAGAAAGGGCCTGTTGTGACTACGATTGAGGCACCGCAAGAGGTGCGGTAGACTTGGATACCATCTAGAAAAAATGACCTGCGGAGAATTTTATCTCTATGAAAGCATCATGGGTGAAATGTGATCCATGTCAAAGCACAAGTGGTAAGTGCTGCGGCGGATAACAACGAGGCCGCTTGCTTTGCAACATCTTCAATATGTCGTGCTTTAATACCAATAGGATGACAAATAGCTTGATTTGGCGATACAAAAGGATACCAGTCACCCAGTCAAAACGATCCCCTCGTAAGATCCAAAGTCCCTATCACCAGGTTTGATGGCCCGTACTGACCACCATCTAATAATGCAAACTCACGTTGCCCGCCATTTTCCTTGGCCATCCAAGCCACGTGACCATTGACGAGCTGAGGATCAAACCAGATCATTTCATTCCCTAGACGAACCAAATCGCCTCGCTAGAGAACATACTTGCAGCGGTTGGAACTCAGGGGTTGGGATAAGCGCTTACATGTGGGCACCGTCTTACATCAGACGACAGGCAGGCAATCATCCATCCCTGGAGCCCATCGGCCACTCCAAGCTCGCGTCTCTTGGGGTGAGATTCGAAAAGGGAAACACATGCTTCTGCATCTTATGGAAAGCCCTGCCAGCGCATGGCTTCTGTTGGACTTGGCGAGCCCGTTGAGTGGTTTGACCTGAGAGAATTGCGACAACCATGCAAATATGATCAAGAGACGGCATCGCACGTGAAAAAGGGCCAAGATCCCGGGCCTCAAAACTACAAACGAAATCATGGATCGGTTCTTCAAGGAAAAAAGGAGTTTCCAAATACAGACACAACGATGGAAACCTCACCGCAGCCTTCCAACCCGCCCAGAAAGCGAGACTTCAAGCGCCGCTTCACCGACCTCCACATCGACATCACAAGCATCCTACACGGCTACACCCCCTCACCGCACTTCCTCGCAAGCGACGTCACCGGCTTCATCCTTTTCACCCTCCTCGCGACAGACTGGCCCTCCGTCTGGCGCGCAAAGCTCTTCCGCGCCTTTCCCTTGGCCCAAACGGCCCCCGAGACCCTATCCGGCTTCTGGAACGCCTTCTGGCAGGAACGATGGCACCAGGAAGACCACGCCGAGTCGAAGACGGACAAGTGGAACCCGGGCTTGTACAAGTCGCCGCCGCCGCGGATGCGGTCTTGTCGCGAGGTGCTGAATCGGCAGCAGGCGTTGAGGAATTGTTGCGCTGCGCAGATGGAGGAGCTTGACGGGCCTGAGGTGGGGAAGGAGCTGTTGTTGCAGGTTGCGCTGGCGTTTTGCTGGCTTTGGGCGGTGATCAAGGACTATAAGCGGCTCCTCTGCCTGGTGCATGCAATAGAGACCGATGGCGAAGGGTGTCGCCGCGAGGAATTTGAGAGGGAGGTGCCGGTGGTGGTGTGCAAAGGAGAGGGGACTATGCTCGTGGCGCGGGGCGGCCCGTCGTACTGTTGCTTGAGACGGCTCCAAAGACATATCGATCGTGGGCAAAGCATGATTGACAAGTTTGTAGAGCTGGAGATGTGTGATGGTACCGACGATGCGCTTTGGACTGAGTTGGAGTGGCTAAGCGAGAAGGAAGGTGAAATTCCAGCCGAAATGCCGCAAAAAGATCGGTTTCTCGTCAATCGTGTCGTTTTCTCGGCTGGTTTATCATGGCTCATGGTTGCCATCAGCTGCGACTTCGCGACCTTCTACTTCCTCGTCCTGATACGGCAACTGGGGGCCCGTTCACTGCCGTAACACAGAGTTATATAACATCGGGCGAATCCTGTTACGAAGAGTTACCCTTAAACACCAATTACGCATGACATGTCTAAGGCTGATTCATGATAGTAATATTCTATTGTGGGCATGAATTCATCAGTACTGTGAATCGGGATATCGCTTTCCATGTAAACGCCTTGCAATGCAAATGTCGACTCAGCGTCGTCTTCTGAACTTGCTGTTGTATCCAGGCCCGCCTTTCGCGCCGTTGTTCTTCAGCTTCAATCGCCTGAAATTTGTGTGCGCCATCGCGTTCACCTTTCTAACGGCCTTCTTGACTGCCCCGACCTTCTCCGTCTTCTTTTCTTCCTTCTTCTTGGACTTGGCCTTTGGCGCCGATTCGTCAAACTCAGACCCCGACCCCGAGCCTGCAAGCTCATCGTAGTCGCCCTCTGGATCCCCACTATTTTGTGTTTTGGGCACGCCTTCTTCTTCGTCGTCGTCTCCTTGTGCCTCTTCCTCGGCGGGAGCAGATGGCCGCTTGACGTGGACAGGCTTCATGTTGGATCTCCTCGTAGTTCGTTTCTGTCCCTTCTTCTTGTATACCCTCAATAGCATTCCATCACGTCCCACCTGCTCTTCATCGGGGCTATCGTAAAGAGCCTCATCGTCGAATCCTCCCAGAGGTAGGTTGACCTGACTGTCTGCAGCGAGAATATCCGCTTTCGGCTTAGAAGGCACTTTAGGTTGCACAATCTCGCCTTCCGCCTCCCGCAGAGCCTCGAGTTCATCTTCGTTATCCAGGTTGTCTTCTTCCACTTTTCTGAGACTTGCCACAATAGCGCTGAGGCCACGGACCAGTGGTTTCCGAGGTAGTCGCAAGGGCGGCGCTGTAAAGTCATCGCTCTTGCTCGGTGGTGGTTGAGTGTGTCTTTTGAGGAAGGACGGCGTGCTGAACTGAAGCTTCGAAACAGTTGTGGGTGTTTTGGCGTCTGCTACAGGAACGTTTTTGTTCTTCAGAGGTGTCATGAAGCTGTCCAGCATTTGTCGCTTGCTCGTGGACATTGGCGTCCGTCCAAACTTCCCATCCTCCTCCTCGTCCATGGGTGTCGCTCGTTTTCTGGGTGTCGTCATTACTCTGGCATCGGCAGAGGTGTTGATGTTCATATTCTTTCTTGACGGTGTGCCGAGCTCACGCTCTACCATTAGGTCAAATAATCCCAGTACACGACCATCGCGCTGTGGTGTAGGTCCAATCGATCTTGGAGCCACGGGGCTGAAGAGGGTTCTGGAGATCGAGGGGGTACTGGTGAGGGCAGCATCTTCGGGGTTCGTCCTTCTCTTCGAGGGTGTTTCGGTGTGCTTGGTTTTCTTCGAAGGGGTTCTCGCGAGAGGGGGGAATTCGTCCCGCTTCTTCGGTTTGGGAGCTTCTTTTGAAGGTGGAGGAATCTTTCCTGAAAGGATGTCGCGGACTTTGTTGTATTGCTTGTACTTTTGCGCTGGCCACTTGCGTTACTCTTTGATTGCTTTGGTGCTTTCAGAGGTAAGATACTCACCTATGTCGGCGTTGCGTTTGATGTCGTCTCTGCCCGGCTTTTTCCCATCGTGAGACTTTGCCCAGGAGGTTTCCCACGTCTTGAGTTCGGCACGTAGTTTCTGTGACTGGAGCTCATACTCTGCCTTTGTCGGGTCGTTCATTGTGAGGCAGTCGGTGATCAATATGCATCTACGTCATTGAAGATTGGGGAGGGCGCAAATTTAAGGTTGAGTAAGTGGTTTGGATTGAGGTACGTAGTTGAAGACGTCCAGGGTGGATTTCAAGGTGGAGGGAAAGTAAACGCGGTTGACGCGACAGGGAAAAAGCACTAAACACGAAAGATTCACGGTCGCCCAGCAGCACTTTAGGTACGTACCTTACCGGTCGAGGAGATTGTCCCACTATGGAACTCCTTATCTTATCAGAGTTTAAGCTGCTTCCATGCCGCTGATTAAGGTAACACGGCCGTCACACTGAAGTGACCTGATGACATCGTCGTCTTCCTCTGTCATACACCACTTTCTTTCTCTTGAGCACGCTCTACACCTGTGGCATGTCCGCCGAAGCGACATCCAGCGACAACTCGAGTCCACAAGATCTTCATTCCGTCGTCTTACAGACAACGCTGCAGGAGATCACCACGCGACCGACGGATCTTCAAGACTGTTGCGTCATTTGCCTCGAAGAGATCACCGAAGGCTGCGAGGCGCAACCCTGCCACCACCACAACTTCGACTTCCTCTGCCTCGCGACATGGCTGGAACGACAAATAGCATGCCCGCTATGTAAGACCGAGATCAAGGAGGTCCGTTATGAGTTTAGCGACGACCGAGAGCAATGGAAGACCTTCAAGGCCCCAGCGAGACCCCCGGATAAGGCTGGACACACAGCGAATGCCTCATCTAGCCAGCAGACGAGGCGATATTACTCTCAAGCTCGCCCCCGGCGGCCACGGCAACATGCGCCTTCGACAACTCGACCCAACCTGTCTCAAGATGAGGCAATCACCCGCCGAAGGCATGTCTATCGACATCAATTGTACTCGCTGCACGTGGGCTCGAACAGGATATCAAGATACAGAGACTTGACACCGCAAATGTTTGCCTCCGATGCAGAGCTTGTCTCGCGCGCGCGTACATTTCTCCGTCGCGAACTACAGGTCTTTGAGTTCCTCTCGCCCGACCACGATGCAAGGTCGCAAGATACCGACCCAGTCCGACGTCGCAGAGCCAACAATGCCGAGTTCTTGCTAGAGTACATCATCGCTATCTTGAAGACTGTGGATATGCAAGGCAGCATGGGGCAAGCTGAGGAACTTATTCAAGAGTTTCTGGGCAGAGAGAATACACGATTGCTGCTTCATGAGCTTCGAGCGTGGCTGAGAAGCCCCTATATGTCGCTTGAAAGCTGGGACCGCGCTGTGCAGTATCCGGATGTTACACCCAAGCGGCGACGGTCACAAAGTCCCAGCACAGCCAGTCATGGAGAATCATCCACGACAACCAACAGTATATACCCTTCAACCTGGAGGAGAGATGAGAGACGCAGGCATCGCAGGCAGCCTTACGAATCGCGTCGGTCACGGAATCACCAAAGATTACGAGAGGCGACAGAACGCTACTCGGTTGATTGAGCACTGATAGCACGACTCGAACATGACGATACTCATAGTTGTGGCTTCACACATATTTGCGGCGGATCCTTTTGCGGAACTATTTTGCGCAGTGGATGACAGAGGACACAAGCTTTTGACTGGCCTGTGCTTTATTAGCCTGCAACTTTGCAAGGGCGGCAGGGCGGCAGGGCCCTCGGCGGTGGTAATGAACAAGGGGCGCCATAGACTCCACGAATCATGAATGCAACGTAACAAATCAAGTGCCGAAATGCAGAGTGCCGAACGCCCATCGGAACCTTCCCAGACCCGCATTCGCCGACTTTTGCTTGGGCTGAATAATGGCGGGTGTGGGCTCTTTGGTGCTGATGAAGAGACGGGTAAGCTCGTCTCGATATGGAGGAATCCCGCCGGCCTTTAGCTAAATGATTCCGGTCGGATCGGGCTCCGGGTCTGATTGGTAATCAGCGAAAAGTCGGCGCCAGTGACGGCGGAGTCCCGCCGTATTCGATCGAGGCCGAGGCCGATTGTTACGACATATTTGACGTCTTTGATTCCCATGCCGTAATTTTCAGACATAGAATTCACTCAACCAAGATCTGTGTATTCAAATTCTCCTCATCGTCGAGTTAGAAAGTTTGAAAGTGAATGAACGCCGCACGCCAAGCAAGCAAGATGTCCACCATTAACATCAAAGTCATATCAGACCCCGTCTGCCCCTTTGTAAGCCGGCCTTGGTACCCATCGGAAAATGAGGTCACTAACATCATTGGCAGTGCTATCTCGGCAAAGCCCGTCTGAACAGGGCGATAGACCTCTACAAAAAGACGTACCCCGGCGGCAAGGACGACACCTTCAACGTGACCTGGCAAGCCTACTACCTCGACCCGACGGCGCCTCGCAAGGGCGTGCCCGTCAACGAGCGCATGGCGGCGCGCTTCGGCGCCGACAGGCTAGAAATGATGCACGCGCGCATGAAGAAGCTCGGCGCGGCGGAAGGATTCAACTTTACTTTCGGGGGCAAGATCGGGCACACGCGGGACGCGCACCGGACGATCCAGCTGGCGAAAACCAAGGGTCCCGAGGTGGAGAACGCGGTGGTGGACTCGATTATGAAGAGTTACTTTGAGGAGGACGGGGACGTGACGAGCTGGGATATGATTGTGGACGCGGCGGTGCGGGGTGGGCTTGAGAAGGGGGAGGTGAGGCGGTGGCTTGAGGAAGGGAAGGGAGGAGAGGAGGTTGATAAGCAGGTGGAGGAGGCGTATCGGATGGGGGTGAGGGGGGTGCCGCATTTTGTGATTGAGGACAAGTATGAGGTTGGGGGCGCGCAGGAGGTGGGTGAGTTTTTGGGACAGATTGTTGCTGCGAGGGAGAGGGGTGGGAGGGCGGCTGGGGGACAGGATGGTCTTTCGTGTTGAGGTTGTCGCGGCACCTTATACGCACACAAAGGATACATTGGACTGTAGGATACGTTTGGCCATGATGGAGTTTTGTTTGAATTTCTGGGGTATCATGTCGTAAAACAACCATGGTAGTAGAAGCGCCCTCGTTTAATGTCCTCATTCCTGTTTTCCAACCAACATCACATGTTCAGCAATGCTCCCAAATCCTTTTCCATCGCTCGCAACCGCTGTTGCAGCTCCCGCTTCTTCTTATCAAGCTCCCTCACAAACTCCTCCTCGGCCCGTAAATCCTCTTCCGTCATGACATCCTCGCCCGCCTCCTCTTCTTCGTCTTCGTCGTCATCAAACTGCTCGTCATCGCCCTCCCCCATCCAATGATCCTTATTCATCCTCTCCACCGCAGCCTGGTTCTCAGCAACCTTTGCCTCATAGTACGCCAGCGTATTCGTCTGGTGCGCGTACCGCGACCTCAGCTGCGGAATCCGCTCGAGCGCGCCGGGAAGAGCATACACACCGCACAGCTTCGTCGCGCCCTGCAAGAGCACCTCGACGTCAACGTCGCCTCCTTTACTTGCGGCCTGGCGCTCGCCGCGGCGCAGCTGGGCGTGGAGGTCGCCTCCGAGGACGGCGGAGACGGCGGTGTGGCGGCGGGGGCCGCCTATGCCTCCGCCGCCTGCTGCGCGTGAGGTTCCTGGCGGGGGGCCGGTGGTCACTTCGCCCGAGGCAACGTTGAAGACGGTTTGGCGGCGGGAGGTGGTGGGTTTCGCTTCTTGGTTTTGGGAGGATGATGATGTTGCTGGCGGTGGTGGGGGTGGGGGTACGGAGAAGAGGGCGCGTTCGTGGGCTTCGGTGTCGCGAATTAGGGAGGTGATGTCGGTGTTGTACAGCATTGCGTTTGTGAAGATTTTGGGGGGCGGGAAGCTGTCATGGTATGTTAGTGAATGTCTCGTATGGGAGGCCAAAGTGAGGGTATCTTGGGGAGGGTGCTTTTGATGAGGAGGGGCGGTGCGTACGGGAGCGAGTCGATGCCCTCGCAGGAGAGAGCTATCTGCTCGAGGTGGATTGCGAGCATTGACATGGCGGTATCTTCTTTTGCGATCTCTTGGGTGTGGAGATTGCGCTCTGCGGACGGTCGACGTTGAAGGTTTAATGTCCAGTGTTGATGTTGAATTTGGAGGTTCCAATGTCAACAAACTGCCCCACCAAACACATGATTTGTTTCCGCAGTTGGAGAAGGAGCTCTCTGTCCCGCGACCTTGCTTGGTGCACGGACCAACTCATGTTCATCTCCAAATCCCAAGTGACCTGGGCGTCAACTTCCCACCTCACCACTCTCACCCAACAACTCTTCAACAGCTGCTGCGATCATTCTACACATCACATTCCTAGGCACTGCGCCAGAGTCATGCACTCTTCCGATGAAGTTGAGGCTTCAAAATCAGGCTATGATGGCTGAGACCGACGATTCTTCCGAGGCTCAAGGCATCCCCTCGTTGGAAGGCAGTACGAGTACAAACGATGCAAATGAAAGACTTACAAGAGCAGCTGCGCCAAATCTGACAGCCAAGCCTCTCCGTGTCTCTCCCACGCCTGAATCACTCGACGGACAAGGAAGTCAGAAGTCAATTTACCTAGATTGTTGGTGAGGCATAGCTGCACGCGGTAGGGCCCGAACAACTCAGCTTGGTGTCTGCCAGATCGACATCCAGCCACTCACTTCTCCAAGACGAACGGTCAGACCTTGGGCATTATCCACGAGGCTGCCATTTCGCACCAAGCAAATTCAGAATTAAGGCTGCCTGTTGCCTCGCCGGGCGAGGATCGCAATAAGCGGCTTGGACCCTCGAGGATGTGACTCTATCGGGCTGAACGTGCCGATTAGCTGGGCATGCAACGTCAGAAATGACGACAGATGGACACTCTTATTGGGTCCTTTGCGCGTCTGCTGGCTCTCCTTCAAAGGCTGTTGGCGCATGTGGTGCACTCTTTCTATAGCAGCCTGTAAGACGCCCACATGCACCTCAAACAGCCCCAACAACGCAAGGCACAGTTGCTTTCTCTGACTTTCTTGTCATTTTCTGTTTGCAACTCTACCGGCGTAACCGTCACTGGCATCTGCTTGTGTAATCTGTCAACATCTCAGAGCCTTGCATGATACTGGAGGCATACTTTCGGTCTCTTGATGCACAGCCTGGATCTGACTGTATCTCGCTCTCGCGCATCGCATCGCATCTTCGCTTATTCGCACCCCGTCTCAGCCCCCAAAAACACACCGGACTCTATTGCTTCGTAGGTGTCGACCTGTAAGGCAACAGGGAAGACAGGACACGCAGCGGGGTGGCGCCCTAGCCGCTGCGACCGACCCCCCTAATTGGCGAGTGCCCCCTGGTCGAGTGACCAGCCAAGATGGAAGATGGGCGCCGTCGTCTATCCCGGCCCGGGTTCAGGCCAACTCAGCCCTGCCTGCACCTTGTGTCTGCTGTGTCTCTACTTCTTTTCTGGAGCAGAAAAATGTCGTATCCTCTTCCCCATGAAATGCTAACGACCGCTACGAGGGGAACTAGGATCTCTAGTTCGTGGTTGGAAGTTTGTTCGTTTGTCTGACCGGCGCCGCCCTCCATCTCCATCTTCCTTCCCCACGATATAATGCCGCGTGAGCACCCACCGTCCGTCTCCCGCTGGTCACTTGACCACATTCCTTTTCTGTCATCACCCTCTCTGTCATTTTCACTTTCGCCATCTGGCTATTCTTGGCTCTATATCGTCCTAGCCATACCCGTCATCATGGCCGCTGGCCTCTTCTCCGTCCCAGGTTTGGGCGATAGGTTCGCGGTGCGGTATCGATCACGACAACAGAAACGAACAGAGCTGCACAAACAGAGGATGGGCTCGACAAAGTTTCTCGGCTCCCAGGTGGGAGGCAGCTCCGTCATCAGCTATTCTTACACCGATTTTCCCTGGAAGCTGCTCGCATGGGACATTTACTACTTTTCCCAGTACATCTGGGCTCTTCCATGGATCGTATGGCCCATTACCCCAGCCGATTCGGGTGACCTCGATGAGTTGGCTTTCACAAGGCAAAACCTCTTTTGCGTGGGAATGCACCTCTTTCTGTGCGTTTTGCAAATTGCCTTCATCTTGGCTTTGCCGTTTGCCGTCTTATTGCCTATTTGGATCGCCGGCCTCGCCTTCGGTGCCTTCTTCGCCGTCAACTATCTGCTCTGCTTATTGCTGAACGGGCCAACCCTCACCTACACCTCGGATCCCAAGTACGCACCTGAGCTACCAGAGCACGCTCACGAGAAATGGATCTTTTTAAATGGAGTTGCCGTTGGGTAAGTTGTTATCGATTGCTGTTACTTGTTCCCAAAGCATTTCCATTTCAACATGCATCTACGGGGAACTAGATACAGGTATAACAGACTGACTAACACGACATCAGTGACCACTGGATGAAGAACAATTTGAACAGACTCGCTCTCACCTTCAAGCGGCCAATCCTCGGTATTCATAACCAGACCTCGGGAATCCTCTTTGATGTTGTCGAATGTCTCATCCAACGAAATTTGGGATACGCGACTTACGATGTACGCATGTGCTATCGAATTGTCAAGGAAACGCTCTACAACCCGCAATACTCCAAGGTGGTCTTTGTCTTGCATTCGCAGGGAGGTATTGAGGGTGGCCTTGTTCTCGACTGGCTATTGCAAGAACTGCCACAAGATCTTCTTGCCAAACTCGAAGTGAGTGACACCAGACATCTCGTACAACAACACTTCTAACAGTGTCCAGGTCTACACGTTTGGCAACGCCGCAAACCACTTCAACAACCCCCATCGCCATGCAATGTCCCAGGCCCTCGCACAAAACAATCCAGCTGCCATGACCTTGACCACGACCAGCATAACCCACGGCGACTTTGTGGACAGCCCCATATCGCCAATCGCCAACAGTGGTCAACAGCGTCTCGTCTCCAGCCACAGCACCGGAAGCCAAAACGAACACGGCAACCCGCGCACGCCCAGCCTCCCCAAAGAGTCGTCCTCCATCTCCTCTCGATCCTCGACGGCCGCACTGGACCGCGCCATCGGCCACGTCGAGCACTACGCCCACACCACAGACTTTGTAGCTATCTGGGGCGTCCTGCACTTCTGCACCTCCCTCACGGCGGATCACAGCATGCCGCGCTTCATTGGGCGGCTGTTCGTACGAGCTTCGGAGCGCGGTGGCCACCAGTTCTGTCAGCATTACCTCGACGGCATGTTCCCCCTCGCAAAGGACCCGGAGACGGGCGAGTTCATCGGCGCCGCGGAGGAGAGCGAGTTCATGGAGAGCGAGATCCAGGTTGGACGGCAGGGTGATGCCGGGGCGAACGCGCGCGAGGCGTTTGAGGTTGCGTATTTGGGGCGCGATGTCAATAACGAGGTTGAGTTCCATGGGGAGCATGTCAAGGGACGGCATAGGAAGAAGACGGTCAAGGTGAAGGATCTTTCGAGGTTGTGGCTGTACCGGAATGGACGGAGCCCGCCTGAGACGCCGCCTTACTTGTATACGGAGAATGGGATTGTGAGAAACGCGACTTTGTAGATGGGTAAATGAGGTTTTGTGTTTTGGTTGATGTAGGTAGTTCTATAGAATGATACCCTCTAGTTGTTATTGCGCACACTTGACACGTCTATTATATAACGCCAAGTATTGAGGATCGTATCAATTTCCGTATATGACTTACACAGTCCAGTGTCCCTAGCTATTTATAATTTCCGCCAGGGGATTATGCTGACAGAGGATGACCTAGCCAGCGACAAGCATCCAGCCCTTCTGACGACCAGGTTGCATCTGATATCGCCATGCTTAGCACGACTACTGAGAAAGAAGAGGAGGGACGAAGGGAGGTGGCCAGCAAGAAAATCAAAAATCAAAAACAACAATGGGACGACCGATCGAGGATTCGAACTTGGATCCCGAAATAGACAGGCGACTTCACTGTCTAGTCGGGGCCTCTGCAGCTCGAATTGAACCCCTCGACCATACGGCCCAGGTACTTGTTATTGAGGACTTGGTGATGATTCATTAGATATAGAGCCTCGTGGGCGGTCTGGGTCGGTTTCTGGGAAGGTGCTGAGGGACTTTTTCAAGAAGTTGAGGAAGGTGCAGATGTCACATTCGTGCCTACATTATTTACTGAAATATCTGCTACCACGTCTTTTCTTTTTTCTTGTAATAGGTGTTGGATCACAGAGAGAGCTCTATGAGGGTATATAAGAACGGGTAATGCGCCAGAGACCTATGATGGAGGCAAGGCATCACGCTCACCTGAGATTCCGGTGCTGTCGTAGGGCTGTAATCCGAGATCTAGAACGGAGCCATTCCAACTTGCTTGAGTTTTTGCGTTTCTCTAAGCTGTGTCTGATAGTTTCAAGTTTTGAGGGGGAAGACATTCCATCCGAGGGTCTTGGTCGCTGGCTCGGGAGTATTCAGCATTGTATACCTATGACAAGAACGAGCAAGGATTGCCAAGGTTGGCTGTGTGGTGTGTTGTTCAACTTGGGTTGCGGAAGACTGTGTGCGGCCTTACTCCGGACTCACATCCGTCCGCGCTTAGGAGACCATGCCAGCGACGGGGCTCAACTACTTCGCACTCACGTGTCGACACGTAGGCTGGCGAGGAGAATGGCTGAAAGTCTTCCACAAGACTTCAATATATACCTTAGGCTACCTACTGCTTTGAAAGACTGCAAGGGCTTGAACAGAATAGAGTCCAAGTGCATAGGCGGAGCGTTGGTGGATTCAGCGCGATTATAGGTGCGGTCAGGGTGCAAGGGATACTCTCGAAGACTGACTATTGGTATGTTTTCTGGACAGATGGGAAGATTCAGAAGTTTCGTAAAGAACTTGAACAGAATTGTACTGACACCGGGAGTATACTAAAGCTGTATGCCTTTGCATTTGCGATGCGAGAGAACCGGCGGAATATAAAAGAAAGAGACGAACACACTATAAGTAGAGGATCTATCCTTACATGTATCAATTTACAAATATGATAAATCACTTGGTTTCAGAAATGTGAATATGATTGAATTGGGGTGCAGCTTCCTCGACATCCACGGCGTGAAGCCGATGATGACGATACTGGTGATGTCCCCCTCGGTGAAGGACCCTCACCGAAATGTCAGACGGGCAGCGGGCCGATGGGGGTCCAGTGTGCCCAGGTGAGGTGAGGTGCGTGTGAGTGGAGCCTACCTTATCGCAATGACTCACCGAGTGGCGGGTAGTGGGTCTGTTCTCTTTTTTTTTCGCCTGCAAGCTGCCCGGCTGCGGCCTTGCCCCTGTCGATGAAATGGGGACCCTGATGAAATCGGCTGGGAAACGACTATGCCAGCAAAAAACACGCATGCCCAACGGGACCCATCATTTCATGTCGGGACCCATGTCTATCCGTAAGGTATCCGTATGTAAAAAAGTAAAATGTTCAAATCAAATTGCTTGGGCTTGACATGTGCCCGGCCGTGAAACTCAGCCTGGTTTGGTTTTCTGTTTCCGCTTGGATAACATTCTCGAATCATTTCAGATATTCCCCCCTTAGCTAAGCAGTGGCATGACACTCGTCCGTCACTCAAATTACTCACTTCCGCGTAAAAGCGGATGACTGGACTGGAGACACCGCCTCAGTGCGAAGAAATGCGCAATGTCAGAGCTATTTTGATCGAATGCGCAAAAAAGCAAGGCGGCTCACGCAATGGTTGTTGTGGCGCGCGTCCCGAGAGAGAAAATGTTTCCTCCCAACAAATGGACAACGAAGAATGGATCCATGCCCGAAGCTACCTGCTTTATAAGGTAATGAAGATAAGTCACGGTGAAGGAGCTGCCGTAAGCTATACCAGTAAAGCTATCCAAGACCGGAAAGCAGGGGACCTCGCGCATATGTTAGCTTGGCTAAGGACGGGTAGAGGAAAAAAAAACTTGTCAAGAATAGGTCCGCATGCCTCAGCCCTGGCATCTGGTTCGCGGCTCGCGCCATCTTGAAATCTTGTCAATCATTTTATTATCGGGCCGCCGAAAATTGACGCAAGCCGCTCCCTGCGCCTTCGGAATACCCACCGATTCCACACACCTGTTTGTTTTACGCTTGGGAGGGGCCCATCAGAGCGGCAAAGGAGGGTCAAAGGACTCAAGGAGGCAGCTTGTGGTCCAGAACGGTGTGAGCGGGCCCCATAATAAAAACTGGAAATAACCCGAGCCGATCTCGAATTGGTTTCGCCATCTCTGCGGCGCCACGCATTTTCTGCCCTACGCGCCTCCCTATCAAGGGTCAAAGGCCTATCTACGGAGTCCTGAGGCGTCCCTTTTTGATAAGTGACTCGAGGGCGAGAATTTTGTTTTCATACAAAGGAGATGGGTCTTTCCTCATCTTTCTCACCTGCTGATTAGCAAATATCCAACTCGGAATTGTTTACCCTCCCAACCTCTGGAGCTTCCTTGAAGGCTCCTCACATCATCATCAACAGCAACATCAACAACACCGCCTAAAGGCATTATACACACCACCAAGCCATGCAGTCGGTCCACATCAAGCACGGCTCAATCCGACAGGGCAAGTTTGACATTTACTGGAGCAAGGACAATGAGTGGGCCATCATCGACGAGGAGGAGGAGGAGAACGAGCGCAGGCTGAAGGAGCTTCATCGCCTGAGCACGCGATACTGGAGCGCTGGTCTCTTGGTTGTCCTGGTACCCGCTATGTGCGGTCTACTTTGGTGCTGCCGGTAAGCAATCTTATGTTTCACCTCACTTATCTTTGAGATCTCACTAACACCTCACGTCAGATTCAGAAGACGCCTCTAAACAGTATCGCGGGTTTTCATCACTCCACTCAACTCTTATGATTGAAGTTTTTCAATCGAATCATGACTATCCTTCGGGCATGTCACGCCCTTCAGCAGAGGTTCTACTTCGAACCGACTGGGGCGAAATGAGCGACGTCGTCAACCCAAAGACCAACGTCGCCACGCGTTCGTCTCGACACCGAAGCTCTCATTTCTTTTCCGATTCCTCACTCATCGAACCACCTCGTTCACCTTCCCCCATCAATTTCTCATCAACTTTCATCTTTCCTCTCTTGGCCTGCGCATGCTCAGCCGCTGCAACACCAGCATCAAGCCCAACATGAGCAACCCCCTTCACAACACCATGCGCCGCCGTCGCTGCCGCCGCGCTCGAAGACGACCCGCCGGTGCTTCCCACAAGCACATCAGCACACAGCTCGGCCCCTTCGATCGCGACCGCGCCAAACGTCACCCCCAACGCCATCGGGACCAACACGTCCCCCCTCTTCGTCTTCACCGCCAGGCCCCTCTCGACGGCATGCCTCTCCAGTATCCGCCGTTTTCTGCGCGCGTTGCGGATGCGCGCCGCATCGTAGGGGACCATGAGCCAGCTTAGACCCGCAGTGACTGCGCCCGCTGCAGTGTGGAGCGCTGTTGCTGTCGAGCTGCTCGCGAGTTGGCGGACGTAGTGGGATCGTCGGGCTATGAGGGCTTCGTCGGACATTTGGCGGCATTTGAGGTCGTATGCTTCCGCGTTGAAGGGCATGGTTTGTGGTCTTGTGTCTTTGGAAATCCTGGGATGCAACGTGTGCAGGGGCGTAAAGGGATTCGATATGAAAAGGGCGGGAATCGAGGCTGAGACTTGGTTGGACTTATTCCCTCTCCCTCAGATCTGGACTGAGAATGTGGTCCAGTTGAATACAGTTATACCAACATATAGCCACGGCGACTGTAATGGACACAATGCCACAGGTACTTATTCAGACGAAGATGGAAAAGGCCGGCAGAACCAAACAGAACGCATAAATTGCATAGAAAGAATAGAAAAAAGGCCGCAGTAGCTCGCACAGATGTGGCTGACGGAACCTTGAATTTATCAGACCATACAAGCGTACCTCGATTGCCAATCGGGGGAGATAAGTCCGGCCCCGCCACTACCCATTTTCAATGTCCAGGCCCGAACTCCGAAGAGGGGTGACCGGGGCCGGTTCTTTCGGGCCCCGGGATGGAGGTGGGGATCAGTGCGCCGGACGCTCCCGGGTGGTGTGGGACCGTGTTCCCGTTGAACATTGGACGGACTGGGACCGGGGCTGCGGGGGGCAGCTTGGCCCGGCAGTATTCGAGAAGGCCACGAATCGACAGTGATCAAATCTGGAAAGCTTCCGCTGTGAAAGAAGAAGTTTGCTACGGGCCCGCAGACAAAAGGCTGAATGGACATGGTCACTTGGTGGTTGAATCCGATTTCCTATCCCACATGTCCGTTCAGCTATTTGACTGCTGGTTCGTGACAAACCTTTCCATTTACAGCGGAAGCACTCACTGGCTTGTTCACGTCACGACGCCGAACCCTTTTCTGGGGCGGAGTTTCGGAGTCCGGCTGCTTGGAGGTTGGTCTGCTGACGGCCCGGCACGGTCGTGGATATCAGATGGTTCAAGCAGGATACTCAGGTACGGTTGCTTGTCGTCTGAAGTCGCGAGCGAGTGGACGGAAGGTTACGGCCAAGTGAAAGCCGGATTCACAGCACCACGTTTATGATCACGGGGAAGCAAACGAAGTAATGAAATAAAGAGTAATGAGGTTCTCTCGCATTATTAGATCTTTAACATTATGAGGTCATGAGCATCGTGAAAAATTTCATCCTCCCCTTTCCAACCATGGGCCTTCCATGGCCTACTGTTCCGTGATTTCCCATCCGATGCTGTACAATGACCCCAAATTCCCGGGATCCGATTCCGTCGTGGTCCCGCCACGAACGCCTCTTTAAGCTCTCAGCTCGGTATCCCGCCGGTACGTCCACGAGTGGGCGTCCGAGTACACGGGCTTATACCCCAACACGCCCTCGACGAGCGAGAGGATAATGGTGGGCGTAAGGATGAAGGCGCCGCCGTACTTGTGCTCTGAGACGAGCACCAGACGGTCGATGCTCGCGCCCATGCCGAAGGCGCACTGGTGCAGCTTTACCTCGACGGCGGGAGGCTGTTTTCAATGTCAGCAACTGGAGGTTCATTCTTTTGTGAAGAGACTTTTTTTTTTTTTCAAGAGAGAGGTTCTTACCTTGCTGCTGATCTGATGATTCGTCCTCCTCCACTTCTTGAAATAATCCGCCAAAAACTTGAGCGTCGCGCTGTGGCTGCCCTGGATCTCAATCTCGTGCGCGCCGCGGCTGTACACAATGAGGTGGTACGGCGCCTTCTGCAACAGCTCGTCCGGGCGCGGGAGGGCGTCCGCCTTGGGCATGAAGTCTGCCTGCGGTCCGCGCGATGCCGTCGAGCTGATGGAGGCGCGCTGACGGAGATGACCTGTTCCGCCAACAGAAAGACGGTTCAGACGGGCGTCCATTTCCAGGTCGGCCCAGTCTTCTGTCGGAGAGGCGGAGTAGGGGGGCAGTTGCTTGTGGTGGTCGGCGAAGCAGTCCTTGATCTCGGATTTGAAGAGGGGGTGGAGGTCCATGGGGGTTATGAGTTGGAGTTTGGGGAGGGTGATGAGGAAGCCGCCTCGGTCGTCGGACCAGGCTGTTGAGGCTTGTTCATCGCTGGCGACCTATTTGCGGGTTAGTATCACAGAGTACAAAATAACATGTTAAAGGACAATAGGGGCCACTCACTTCGACAAAGAGTCGCAACCTCGACCAGGTCAGTCTCAGCTTGTCCAGCAGAGTGTCGGTCCACTCCTCATTCTTGTCGTCCTCGAGCAGTTCCGTCGCGGCGCGGCACCATGCTTCGACGGTGCCGGCGACGGCGGCCGCGAAGTCGGTCTTGTCTGCGTACTCTGCGTCAAGCTGGGTGAGGAGGATCTGCCAGTCCGGGGTGACGTCTACGTCGAGGCCGAGGACGTCTCGGAGGGCCTTGAGGGCTTGCTGGAGGTAGCTGTCTTCCTTGGTCCAGTGGTCACGGATTGCAACCTTTACTTTGAGGGGTCTGAGTGTGTTAGTCGCTGATACACATGTGATGTGAGATTTATGAGTATGAGGGGCACTTACAGAGTTGTCATGCCAGGCGTAAATATGTTTTGGGTAGTCAGTTTCTTGGTGTTTGAATCTGAGTGTCAGATGAATGGGATGATGATGATGATGATGAGTGAGAAACAAGTGATCTCTCTTTCCTCTTTCCCGTCGTTATAAGGGGAGTCATCCGGTGGTTGATATTCACCTTCCCAAGCAGCACGAGTGGAGCCGCGATGCAACTAGACGCATCAGTCGATAATCCACCCTGGCCACTTCAACACACTTTCTGCCTCTCCCCCCGGCGCCGCCAAGATCGGGCGCCAAGAGGTGCCCGGCAGGACGGTGGCATGCAGCTGGGCATGTGGCGTCACACTCATCCCAGGCCGTGCAAAAAGGCAACAAGGGGGGAGGCGGAGTACCTTTTCCACGTCAATCATGCCATATGGGACTTATGGAAAAAGAAGAAATGAAAATGAAAATGACACAATGCACGTGTACGGTGTAGTCGGGGGGGTTGTAACTTGTTGATCTGGGTTTCGAGAGAATACGACGTTGCGGAAACCTTGGTTGGGTAAAGTGCGTTCCTGTAAGCTCCGAAAAGAGAAGCGAAAACCAAGCGCTGCATCTGTACACCTCATAGCTTACGGGCGGTACGGAGCCTTCGTTCAGAAATTACTAACAAACTATCCCTACCTACCTTTACTGTGCAGCAATTAAACCAGGCTACCACTTAACGGTGCAGTTAGTCTGGTCCGGGGCACGACGGCTGGATCTGCAATGGGTGGGACGCATCAGGTCAGATGATGAGCTGATGGTTCAGCGCGGGTCCCCATAAGCGGCCACCCGCGTGAACATGCCATAGCCCAGCGGTTCCATCGGCCGGCCGGCACGCCGCGCAAACACACACAACCCATCAATGATCCATCAATCCAAGTGACAACAAGCAGAGTTTAGGACCTACATCTGAGCCTCTCAGGGGTGTGTGAGGTTAGGTGTCAATGACCAAGGCACGTGCCGGGTTGCAGCGGTCTTGTTAACACGACATCCCTGCGATAAGAGTCTCGACTCTCGACAACTCATCTACGGTCAGACTCATACAGACGGTGAGAGAAAGAAAAGGAACACCAAGACCGGGAAAGGAGACAACAATAGTACCACGGTGTCACGGCCAATGGTCCGGTCCGAAGAAGAATTGTCGGAGACAGACGGACGGACACCAGGGATGATGATGTCACGCTTGTTCAACTACCTTTGCATCTCATTCTAGTGTATGTATGATCTCTCCGGCGCGTTGGCGGCCTCCTTCTCACCCGACAAATGTTCCCGCCCGCGCCCGCAGCTCCCGGGTCCGCAGACATAGTTCAACACTTTAATTAAGAGACGGGCGCCGGTTTCGAGTAGGTGCCGCCGCTCCTACGTTGGATTACCAATTTACCATCTCCGTACACTGCCACAGCCCTCATAGTGGCACTCAAAACTCCGCAGTGATGCGTAGCTGCAGTGCCGAGCGACATTTGGTAAGCCGATCGATTATCGATGTTTTGCACCCTTACGAATTACGACATGCGAGACTCGTCTCATGGGTAATGGACTCATGGAGGCGCCCGTTGATCGACATGTCACCCCGCAATTCCCCTCACTGCTCAGTGAACCCATCTTTACCATCTTTACCATCTTAACCGACGTTGGGTTACTTAGGTAAGCTAGCGCCCCTGAACAGTGAATCCCTGAATGACTGCCTGAGCTGTTGCGCGATGCGCCACCACCAAAACTCGACGAACCTCATTCACTCATATCCACAACATTCAACATGAGGAGAGAAGAAGCGACGAGGCTAGGCAGATGCCAAAGAATAACCTCCACATCCTCCACATCCTCCACACCCGTTGGCCGTTTCTGTTTAGCCTCGTCAGGCTGAATACTTAGTCGCGACTTAAACCCTGTGATTGAGCGCGACTAGTGGCCGTTGGCGGGCCAAGAACCAATAGTGAGGCTGTTTTCATCCTTCATGAGGAGGAGCTGAGAAAGGAGGCTCACAACTGAGGGGGGAAAGCGAGACACTTGTTCGGATGACTCAAGCTAGGCTTCAAGAGTTGGAAATAATGGGATGAGAAGGATAAAAGGCTGGTGTTCAGACTACTACTCACGTTAGATGAATTTGACATCATCAATCTCAAGAGAACTTCACTTTCTATACTTGTCTGATCAATCGCCATGTCTCGCTTGCCTCCTGCCGAAAAGCTCCCTCTCGCATTGCGGAAGAACAGTATGTAACAATGCCGCAAAATCAAATTCTCGCAGTTACTGACCATCGTCAAGTCCGCGATGATTGGGAGAACAAGAAAGAAGACCTCCAGAAGCAGCTCTCTGACGTCCTCGGCGCCGAGTGGACGCTCAAGGACATCAACCCTAACGCGCTTTACCCTTACGCCCAAGACGGTTACGCCAAAGAGTCCTTAGGAAGCTGTATCGAACAGTAAGATCTAGACGCTCATGCGTGAAACAGCGAAAGAGCATTCAAAGTCTCTAACAATCAAAACCAGATACGTATCTGAGGCAATCTACAACCTCAAGTCCTTCGCTGAACGATACGGCGAAGACGGCAAGTCCGAGCTCAACTCAATCTGCCACGCCCGCTCCCTCGCCATCGACCTCGACGACCGCCCCAAGGGCGAGCGCGTCTCCTACTGCGGCGTCCTCGTCAAGGAGGGTGGCGTGCTAGCGATCGTCTTCTCCGAGGGGAATCTGGGCACCAACATCAGCTCCGCCGTTGAGACTCAGGGTCTCCTGGCCGCCCTCAACGCTGCGCCGGCGGCCCCGGGGTCCGTTGCGGTGATGAGTTTCGCCGCGCGCAATGCCGTGAGGCAGGACTATGATCCGCAGATTGAGGAGACCAGGATGTCGTTGGCGGATATGCTCGAGAGGCCTGATATTGCGCTATGTCCCAACTTTGAGACGAACTTTGAAAAGATGAAGGCCGCGGCGGCAACGAAGGGGAGCGAGGTGAGGAGTGATTGGGAGGCGAACTTTGGTCTGTTTACGAGGATGTACTTTGAGGGGCTTAGGTCTCAGATGAGGTATCAAAAGTTTGATGATGATGATATGTTGAGGGAGGGGTTTAATGAGGCTGCTGAGAAGGGGCAGATTCACTTCCGAATTGTGGACAAGATGGCGTATGCGACATATGGGGAGGTTGTGTTGGAGGATGGGCTTATTTGTCTTCAGGTATGGCTCGTCGACTTTACGGTTGAGATCCTTGCTAACCAGTTTTACCAGACCCAAGCGCATAACTTTGGGACGAATGTCGATTACGCGGCAGAGAAGCTCTTGGACCAGCTCTAGGTGGGTGTTCGTATGTGCTCAAGTTGAGCCCACGAGGCCGGGGATATTTGTGAAGTTCAGACTCAGCATTTGCACTTCTTACCACATATCATGTCAAACGCAGCCAACTCGAGCTCCACAAGGGTGAGACCAAGGTTGCTAGTATATGGTAGAGCCGCTAACAGACGGGTTCTCCAACAAGATGACGCCGATCACCGAGGCAATTAAATAGACAACAGAACAATCTATTGCTCAGAACAACCTTCGTCCCTACCTCTTTTATGACTTCTATCACTACCTCTATTATTGCCTCTATCACCACCTCTATCACTCACTCTATCGCTCCCTCTGTCCCTCGCTCTATTCCTCCCCTTACCACTACCTCTACCTATAGTATCATTCTCTACTTCTCGGAGTGTATTCTATGAGTAATATACTCGAAGAATTGGGCACTTGAGATAATGACAAGGATAGTAGTAAAGATGGAAGGGAGAAAGCTATCAATGATGGATTCATCATCGGACTATTGTGTCACCCACTTAGATACCTATCTACCGGTCTCTACGGCACCACCGTCTGCCATCGGCAAGCGAGCGACACATTGCCGTCTCGAGCAAGGCACCCACTACGCCACCAACGAGCGCACCTCCCGCATCGCCAACAGTAACAAACCCTAGACTGACCTCCCGAACAACCGTATCCCTCCCTTCTCCGACCAGCCTTGCCAAAACATTCACATATACAGATCCAGCCGCCAGACCAATCAAGAAGACCAAGAAAAAAGCGAGGTGCGTTGAGACAAGGAACACGGCGTTGAAGAAGGCAACCACCGTCCAGACGCATAGAGCCGTCAGATGCAGTTTGAAGTTTCGCGCCGGGAGAAGCCTGAGCAAAGACCGTCCGATCCAGACTCCTAGCTTCAGAGCCATGCTGTATGTCGCGTAGAAATGGGCGAATGTATCAAATATCGTGCCATCGAGCGGCCTAGCGAGGCCGTATTGTGAGAAAGATATCGCTGCGGATGCCATAAAGAGAGGCAGCATCTCCGAGCGGATGAGATTGCGGAGCATCTCAAACCTGTTTCGGTCGCGATTCGAACCGTCGATCCCGCCGTGCCACGAGAAGGATTGCCCTTCTTCAGCACTGGCATCCTCACGTTGCTTCGCTCGCGCGTCACTCTTCGTACCCCTTTTCGAGACTCGTTGAGGCAGTATGACAAAGTGAGACACCACAAGTAGAGCCACAGCATAGTAGACATACGTCGTGGCGCTGCGAAGAAGTTTCCCGGCACCGTACGTCAGAACGAACGGCCACACGGCGTTCTCGAGTACCCCCGCGCCGGTGCCGAAGCCCCACCCCGCTAGTCCCGGAAGCCCGGCTTGCCCGATCATTCCGAGACAGGAAACCTCCATTACTGCCGATGCAGTAGATGCAACCACCGTTGTCGCAATGCGTACTGGCGGAGGCACGTTCGGCGGCGTGTCATCTGCAATTCGCTTGAGAACAACCCATACCGCCGCGACAAGGAGTGGTCGGATTCGGCATGGTATGCGGTGAATGATGAACGGGAGGGTTAGCTTAGTGAGGAGGACCGGCGCGACTTCGATGAGAATGACGATGTGGTGCGGGTACGGGATAATGAGGTAGTTTGAGGCATGGATGAGGGACGGTAGGATTGTGTTGGCTAAGCCTGCGGTTCGTGTGAGTTCATGCCCCATTGTGGTTGCAGTAAAGTGCTTTCTGCCCGTCATCAATTAAAGAGTAAACTCACCTATCAAGGCAAAAGCCAAAAATGTCCGAAATTCGTCAAAAGACCAGGCGGTCCGGGCCGTGGTCTTACTTTTCGACGCCATCGCGAAAGCGAGGCCTTGGGGTATCTCTAAGGTTCACGACATCCTGCAACCGCGAACCGAGACATGGGGGTTTCTCTCTAAAGAAGTATAAAGAAGAAAGACTGCCGCAGCCTTATCCGACATCAATTAAGGGATTAAAATCGTCGCTGAGTACTCCGTATGTAGAGGAATCAATGAAGGAGCTGCTCGGCATCCACGTGTTAGTGCTAGGAGAGCCAAACACGCACGCATGGGTGGGTTTTCCGGAACCCGGTCCGGACGAATCGAAACCACCACGTGGGATGAACCCGGCAATTGATAGGGAACTATGGTCCCGCGTCGGACCCGTCGATCCACATCACCGCAACGGCAGTACGCAGCTATGCCGGCCGATTGTCATCTAATCTGGCGTCGTCAGCTCTAATTTCTTATTGTGATGCTTGGCAGAGTGACGCGTTGAATCAGACATTAATTTGAGAACCAGAACGCGCCGCAGGCGGCAAGGCGACTCTCCCGTCTATCATCGTCTTTCTCTGCGAACGTGATGATACCCGGAATGGCGCCAAGTATGGTTCCATGGCATCGGTGGTCGAAATCAAAGATTGAGACGCAAAGCAGCATGTGGGATGGCGAAGCTCAACACCGCCGTCAAAGCCCGGCTGCAAGGTCAGGTCAATATTGTGCTGCTACTGTGAAGTTCATACTACCTGTCATCATCTTCATGAGCGTCTTTGGCTTTGTCTTGACGAACTTTGTAAAGCCCACCGTTCTCTTTCGCTCCTATGGTACTACTAACATGATCTTCATAGTTTCCTGCAGAGTTTAGACACTTCATCCATGGCAGTAACACAGAAAGAAGAATCACAGGATCAGTCTTAGAAAACCTCATGAGCTCAGCCCATGTTGACAAAGGGGGCTCACGCCGACTGCGACTCTTCATGCCTGCCGACGGACCAAACATCAACCTCTGCAAGACGGTCATGTCTGCCGTGGCGCTAGGCTATCCCATGCCCACACTTCTAAATTGGGACGGGGAGTTCAACAGGCCCGACTGGCACTTTGCCGGTTCCCACATTGCGAAGCTCGAGTCGCTTCTGGCGGTCATTGATGCGCTTTACGAAAAGAATGACGGGGACGATGTTAATGAGAACGACCTCATTCTCCTCGTGGATGCCTACGATATCTGGTTTCAACTTCCGCCATCCGTCTTGATCGAGCGCTTCCATCAACTGAATCGCAAAGCCAACATCCGAGTGCAGAAGGAATGGGAGGAAAGTGGCCTGAAGAGCGGGTTCCCCATTAGTCCCCCGACGCAAAATATCATCGTCACCACGGCCAAGGACTGCCAGCCTGACTGGGAGTCAGGATCCGATCCGAGGTACGACTACTGGCCAGACTCGCCTCTACCGCGAGACTTTTACGGCGAGAAGACTGACCAAGTGCTTCCTTACGTCTTTGACTCGGCGAGGAAGTACAAAAAGATCCGACCGCGCTGCGTCAATAGTGGAATGATCATGGGAACCATCGGATCATTACGGGGCGCGCTGCGCAAGAGCAAAGAGAAGATTGAGAAAGCCGCCGTTAGCGGGCGGCAGCTCTGGAGCGACCAGGCACTCTTTGCAGAGGTTATTGGAGACCAGGAAGTTCATCGCCATTGGGTCCGGGGTCTCTCTTCAACGTGGAATGGCTTTGTTTCTCAAGAGAATCTGGGGAGCATGCCGAAGGAGGTGCGGAGGATCGCGAATGCGGCGCTGGCTGGCGAAAAATTTGAATTCGGAATCGGGCTGGATTATGAATTTGCCACGATCCCGCCTACCTGCTCCTCCGAAGACGATGGGTACTTTGTGAATCTTGACGATGCCGAGGCCATCAAGAGGGAGTCTGAAAAGGCTGGAGTCCCGGGCGAGGTGAGGGTACAGGACATCCCAGAGGAATTAAGGGACGCATCTCGGCCTCTGCCTGGGTATAGCTGGGGTAACGTCTCGCTCTACACCGACTTCTTCTTTGGTACCGCGCCAGTGGGCATACATCACAACGCCTACATCTTTGGGCTGAAGAAGTGGCGGCTGGAGAACTGGTGGAGCCTGACGTGGTTTTACCCTCACCTGCGCGATCTCGTGGTCCAGGCTCTCGATGCGAACCGGAAGTTGATGCCCCTAGCGAGACTTCTCACTCGTAGTGACAGCGGAAACGAGATGGTCTACTGGGCGGCGGAGGAAGAGGTCAATGGAAAGAAGAGCCTTAGGGTATACGACGGCTCGAAAAAGCCGGGGGATTTTTCCTTTATTGGTTGGGAAGGAATATGTCAAAAAGGAGATGAGAAGTGGCATAATGTGTTGTTTGGAGATGGAAAGGGGCCGCTGGAGGTCTGATGTATGTATTGAAGAAGCGTAATGTGTCAAATTGGTGTTGGCGGGGTAAAGCCCTCACTTTTTCGAACCCGTCTTTCGGCTAGCGGTTCATCTTGTGATGCTTTTTTTGCGTTTGACTGGACATCTCGTCATCGATCTTTGCCGTAGACCTTCCCATATATACCTGCTTGAATATGTGGGAGCTTACTCTGTCTGACCTTCATTTTGCATCACCGTGTCAGCATGTCATAGCAATCTCATGTTCTTTTAGATGCTTTCTCGCCTTGCTACTATGTGCTGGATTACTAGACCGCCTGGCCATAATTAATATCGTTCTATCTGGAGCCGAGAAATGACGCATCGTATTGGACTGTCTTACATTGGACTGAGCCAACTCCCATCGTAGCGATGGTGAGGGTCTACTGGATCGCTCCCCCTATTGAGCCCTGGCAGTCCCGGCGGCCTACGGTTCATTTTCTGGACAAGGTCGTGTTTCTCAGATTGAATCAACCTAGGCAAGCTGTAGGATGGCTATGAACCGCCACGATAGTCCGCCGGAGCATCCGTCTGCAGAGTCATCACGAGGAAGACCAGTATCGTGCCTGATCCAAGCGAAGGAAGGTCAAGAATACTTCAAAGTCGCAATGGCCTACCCACTGACTACGTGAGCTTTGGGGAGAATGAAGTCCCAGAGACATTGAACACTACACCGTACCAAGCTGGAAGGTCCATATACTCCAAGCCATCGACGGTGATCATCAAAGCATGAAGCTATGTTGATGGAAAAAAGAGGTCGATTTAAAGGCCTCGTTCTCGCATCGCCGAGCATGTAGACAATATTCGGGACAACCGGTAATGAATGCAATCCAACTTCAACACACAATGACGGATACTGCCAGTGATCATCCAATCGGGACTGCAAGCGAACATCAAACAGCATACAGCGCAATGGAAAGAGACCCGCGTATATGATCCAGTTGAATGGACGGCGCATACCTGAAATGGGCATGTTGTCGTATTTGAAGTTGCCTCATTGGCTGTTCCGCGGTTTCTTGGCTGTGAACAAGCCCCCATAATGCAACGATACTTGTGGGAATACTCGGATCCGAATATCCTAGGGGGAGGCGGCGCAATATGCCTGTGCTTGGATGCTTGCTTGAACGGCAATGCTGCAGACCATGGCAGATCATCTCGTAGTAGTGATGAGGCTCTATGTCGTTGTCGATTTGTATAAATAAACTACATCTCTCTGCCGATGAAATGCCTCTTTTCTCAACAGCCAAGGACAACGGTCACTCACTCAAGATTCCTCCCTGTCCTGTTTCTCCTAATCACATCTTAACCTCTTTTCAACTCCCAAACCCGGAAGTTTGAGGTCGCTAGTCTCAGAATGAAGCAAGTCAACATCTTCACCACGGCCATGGTGGCCTGCATGGCTCAGCTCGTCGTAAGTTTACTCCTCCCTCACTCACTACACCCGCAACATCTCATCTCACCTCCCTCGCTTCAAAGGCCTCAGCAGACACCATCGCAGACTCCCAAAACGTCACGGCTCCAGATTTCATCGGCACCGCAGCCACCTCTCAACCCCTCCGCCCAAAGGAACGCTTCTCCCCCGACGCCCTCCACGCCCACATTGACGGCGGCAACACCCGAAGCGACGACTACATGGGCCCCCTCGGCATTTCCTCCGTCGCCTTCTCGGCCGCCGTGCAAACAGGCTACATGTTCTGGGAGAACAGCACAAGCCTCCTCGTCGCAATGGAATGCGTCTCCGCTCAGGCGCCCATCGGCTTCTGCCTCGCGGCGCTGAACCCAGAGACCATGGACATCCTGGTGCAATGGACCGCTCCCGAGGGACGCACAGCCATCTCGAATTACTGGCAAGTCATCGACAACCACGTCGTCATGTCCACCCTCGAAGGCTTCATCATGGAGATCCAGCGCCTCGGCACCGGCGCCTCAACGACCTTCACCCAGGTCCGCGAGGTCGACGTCTCGTCCCGTCTCCCGTCTGGATCCATAATTGCCATGGCGGGGTACACGGACGACGAGAACCTCTGGTTCGTGGCCACGCCCGCGCCCCTCGTCGGGCTTGAGGGGACAAATACCACCACCGTAGGCTACGTCCAGCCCGACGGTACAATCTTCAGCACGTCCCTGCGAAACCAAATCGTCGAGAACGGTATGGCCGTCAACGGGAAGAATATCTACGTCGTCACGGGCCCCGCCGGCTCCGAAGACCACGCCGACGCCCGTGGCCACTTTTACGCCTTCCAAGCGGATACCGCCAAAGGAGGCGGCGTGGTAGCGGCCTGGAACGAGACGTACCTCGCCGGCAGCGGCATCAAGCCAGGCGGCCTCTCCCGCGGCTCCGGCGCGACGCCGAGCCTCCTCGGACAGAAATACGTCGCCATCACAGACAACGCCGACTCGCAAATCAACCTCAACGTCTACCGCCAGGCGTCCGCTATGACCGAAGGACAAGAATCGAGCTTCGTCTGCTCCGTCCCGCTCTTCGAGCCCGGCGCGAGCCTCAACGAGGCATCTCTGACAACGCACTTTGACGGCACGACGTACAGCGCCATGATCCCCAACTGCTACAACTCCCCCTCCTTCCTCGATGTCAGCGAAGATGATGTCAACGGCAGCTATAACAACCTCACGCAGGTTGCTCCCGGCGTGGCCCGCGTGCGGGTTAATGCGGACGAGAGCTGCGAGCTGGTGTGGGATTTGCCTATTGTGGCGACCATGGTGACGCTGTCGACGAGCAACGGAATCTTGTACGCGTACACGCAGGTCCGGGAGCTCGCTGTGGGCGGGGAGTATGTGTGGTACATTGCGGCATTTGATTATGCCTCTGGCCAGGAAATTTGGCGCAAGAGGGTTGGTGCTGGTGGTGTGTTTAATCCTGGGCCGTCGCATATCCAGCTTGGTGCGAATGGAAGGATTTATGAGGGTGTTGTTGGTGGTGTTGCGTGGGTTGAGGATTCCCCTTCTCTTTAGTTGGGGTTTCTCATTGCCGGTGTTTCTGGTGAGAGAAGCTACTTGGCATTATGAGTTGCTGTTCTGATACGGTAGTGAGGTTCTCGAGAGGGACAGAGCTATGGGAGTGGAAGGTGCTAGATTCCACTCACATGAGAGTTAGATCGCTTACTGTCCCATTAATATAACTCCTTCACCACTACTTCTGCTCCTGCAAGCGGTTAGAATCATCTCTAAAGGAATGCTGTGAGGTTGTACTTACATGAGTCTAGCAAAGATTGGCAGCAACCTTGTGACGATCCTGAATATAGGCTCGAGTAAAAAGGCTAACCACCCTAGCTTATGTGGAAGCAGAGACAATACCACTTTCCCCATCACCTTATTCATAGAGTCTCTATAAAAGACAGGAAACCAATTGCTAACTTCTCAACCCTCAGTCCACTTAAACTCCTCAATAGCCCACGCCATCTTCGGCCACCACTCCCTCGGCAAGACCCCCATCACCCCATCAAACTCCTTCTCCGCCGCACCCTGCGCCCACCACAGATGAGTCGCCCTCCTCAACAGCATAAAAAAGTACCCCACGATAGCCAACGTCCTCGGATCCTCCGCCTCTAGTAACTCGACAAGCCGCGGCGGGACATGCGCCGGGAACCGCAGGAGATCACGCTGCAGAGCCGACCCCTGGATCTTATCGAGGCTGTCGACGGCGATACGATACGCTTTCGCCGTCTCTGGATCCGTCTCGTCTTCGTTGAGGTCTTCTAGCAGGAAGTCGAACGTTCCTGGCCTTGCTGGCCCCAATGTTTCGTTTTGCTGCGACGAGGTCTGTCGTTCCGGTTTATAGAGGTGACCTATCCTGCTATTACGGATCCCGGGCAGAGCGACCTTTAACAGCGCATTGACGTTGCGAAATGGCGTAAACCAGTGATGCGGGACTCGATATCCCGTCTCCGCTCCCGGTCCGCCGCCGCTGCTGTCAAGAAACGACTGGTTCGCGCTGGTGTGGAACATGATAATGGTACACGTCGCCATAACAACAGGGGCATTCTGCGCGTTGATACCCTCGCGCACAATCAGTCTCGAATGCGCCTCTATAGCCCTCGCCATATACGCATGCGAGGCCTCCGACACGGCTACTGCGTAAGTGTTACTACCGTTGCCGCTGCTGTCATCCGACGCCGAGGACCTTCGGAGGTGAAACGCCGCAAACCCGATAACAGCGTCCATGAGAGTACTATCCGTCACGGCGAGGTCCGTAATCCAACTCGACCAGCTCTGTTGGTCAGTCGAGGGGTACGCGGCCGTCATATCCAGGTAATGACGGAAGAAGCGCGCCTTGAGGCCGTCGGTCATGGTGTCTACTAGTACCGGGGGGCTGCTGGGCCGTATGAGGGTCAGGAACGTTACTGATAATGCTGTGGACGAGGACGACGCAGACGAGGACGATGATGACGATAGTATGAATGGTGGCGCTGGCGGACAAGAAGTGGGTTTCAGACTGAAGCGGGATTGCAAATCGATAAAATCACACCGTAGGTTTGCCTTTGTGCAGCCTCCACAGGCGGGCTGGACCTCATCGCACTTTTGTGTATGGTCAGTACTTGTACTTGCGTATAAGGTAGGTAGGCATGGAAGAAGGTAAGGTATGCAGTATCAAGTGAGAACCATGTCCCGTAATACCTCCCGCACCCGGGACGGGGTCGTAGGTCGTAGGTCGCGGAACATGGTGGTCCACGTTCGCCGTAGGGTCGGGCCGCCTCGTTCAGAGCTCACCTTGATTCGCCGCGTCTTGCAGCGCCTGCAGCCGAGTCTCGACTTGTGATGGGCTCGTCTGATTCTCTCCGTCATTACGACCGGGTAAGATGTATAGTGGATCTTACTTCGGGTGCTTGCAGTAGGTATCGGATCTAGAATCCTTCTGGAAAATACAAGATACACTCCGCGTAAGGGCTAGCAAGCAAGAAAAAGAACGTGGCCGCTGAGATGTGACAGTGAGGGAGGAGAGTCTGTGGAGAGATGGGAGAGCAGAAGGGGGCTCGTCGCTCAGATGCCGGCACGCTGCGTCGATGCTTAGACCCAGTTCCGGCCAATGAGAGGCACCGGAATACGGTCTTGGATAGATCTTGGGTCTAGTAGCGACATCCCGTCTCAATCAAACTCTATCCCTACCGCCGATCTATACATACCTGCCTGACTTTACGTATATGTAAATGACTTTCATGTCAGGCCTTACTGTGGCTTGGTGATCATAAGTAAGCCAGACATGTCCATTATTCATCTCGGGGCTGCTCTCTCTTTTGCCGCTCATTCTTACTCCAGTGCGTGTACCTGAAGCTGTGAGATCATCCAACATACCTATCAAGAAGCTCCTCATCAGCTTTTTGTCGTACGCAAGTGGCTGTCTCACTGAACATATCTGAAATATCACATCTTGCGAGGTTCTGCTTCCTTCATATCGTTCCCATTAAAGTAGGCCGTGTGTCCGGGATCCTGTTCTCGATATATGCCTATAGGAAGTCGCCTGCACATCAAAACGTAAAGAAAAGTAAAGGGGTGGTTCCGCGAATCAGCCACCAATCCGTTGTGTGTGTATATCGTCCAATGACGGAGCCAGTCCGCGGACATCAACCCGAGGTATCTTGTTTTCCTGCCATTTCTCCCATCATCCAATTCTTCGTCTCCAAGCTCACATTCTTCTCATAGAGCCATATGCTGTCAGACACAATGCGATCCGACCAAGGATCTGACCGCTTTGCTGCACGAGCGCCTCGCATGTTGGCGAACAGACCTTTAAGAGTCTCTTTGCGCAGACAGTTGAGTCCCGAAGGAGCGTGAGATCCACCAAGGGAATCCATTGACGCTGTAAGGAGACTCATGTCTGCATCACGCTCTTCCTTGTGGGGTGCCGTAATTTTCACACATGGTACCGCATTACGACGAGGCTATCGCCGCAATGCTGGACCACTCCACAGTCCTTTGCTCGTCTCCACGACCTTGTTCTGCTCACTGCCTGGCCGCAAACTTGCTGGGACACTGCTGGGTGCCGGGCCTGCATCGGACATGACCACATCATGCTGGCTGTCGGCCTCGGGTTGCGTTCCATAGCCTGAGTCCTTGTGGGCTCCATTGCCGAGGCTGATGGCGCTATCGTCCTTCCTTGCGTTTTGCTGGGTCTTGTGTGCGGCAGCGCCACGTCCAGGCTCTTTCGACTTGGCCCCATCCATCAGATTGCTCTGGCCCTCACGAAGCTTGTTGATGGCACGAACAGTGTCAATTGCAGCATGCAGCGTCCTACGAGCATTGAAGTTCTTCTTGACAGTGGGCAGTAAGTTCTGGCCTTCGCCCTCGCCATTGTTGAGGTAGCCGGCAACGAAGGGATGTTGCAGGGCTTCATGCGCCGTCATGCGCTTGTTCGGGTCAATGGTGAGGCAGCGACGGATGAAATCCTTGGCGTGGTCGGAAACACCCCGCCAGTAGTCGAAGGGGGTAAAGCTGTAGTCGGCGTTCAAGATGGCTTGCATCTCCTCGAAATCGCTATCGCGGTCAAATGGCGTGTAACCGCACAGAAGGAAGTAGGTGATGACACCGAGCGCCCATACATCTACAGGCTTGCCGTGACCAATCTTCTTGAAGATCTCAGGGGCCATGTAGCCAGGGGTACCGCATGTCGTGGTCAGCACGTGGAACTGCTCCTCATCCATAATGCGGCTCAGTCCGAAATCGGCAATGAGAAGATCTGCGTTGTCTTCTGGTGTACGGAACAGGAGGTTCTCGGGCTTCAGATCGCGGTGGACGATGCCGTGGTCGTGCAGGTAAGCAACGGCAGAGAGCGTCGCCCGGATAAGATCTGCAGCATCGGATTCGTAGTATGAGCCTTTGCGGCAGATGCGGTCGAAGAGCTCGCCGCCGAGAGCCAGGTCGGTCACGAGGTAGAGGTTGTTCATCGTCTCAAAGTAGTCGACAAGTGTCAGGATGTTCTGGTGGCCCATGGAGACCTTTTTCAGCACTGCGATTTCATTGCGGACCTGTGAGAGGGGTTGTGTCAGTTTCTTGGTCAACGATGCAGAAGAAGGCAGTCGAAGGCGTACCATGTGCTCTCGGCCGGCCATCAATCGCTTGTTGATGACTTTTGCGGCATAGTAGCGACCGGTGTCGATGTGAACGCACTCCTTGACGACGGAGTAGGAACCAGCACCAAGCGTCTTGCCGACCTTGTACCTGCAGGGCTGGACCTGAGGTGACGGAGATGCTCCGTTGGCACCGTTGGAAGCCATTGCTGCGGCCAACAGACAATGTGATGAGTATGCTGGAGGGGCGAAAGAATCGAGGCCACGAGCGTCGCCCAACGATCGAAGAGGGTCAGGCGATGGCTCGGGAGATAAAGGTCGGTCGGGGTTGCGGTCGCGAGATCAAAGGTGTTGGCGGGGTAAGCAGATGGCGAAGATCGGTCGGCGGTTTTTTGGGGGCGGTTAGCCTCACTCGACGAAGCTAGGACCGATATTACGGTTTGGTTCGACAATGGTAGGGCGAATGAGACGAGCAGCGAAACTGTCTTGAAAAAGATTTTGTCTCTGTATCCAAGTCGCAGGAGAAGGCAAATCGAGGCTCGAGGTGGAAGTTTGAATAATCTGGCCAAGATTGCTCAAAGGAGCGAGCAGCTGACAAAGTGGGCACGGCAGGTGTTTGGCTGGATTATTGGGCTGATTTGATGATCGACGGTCCCCGGTCGTGTTGACTGCCCCTTGGGAGGGTCTCGCGGGGCCAATGTGAATTGGATGCAAGGATCAAATCGGCACACAGCAGATAGATGAAGGGGGTGATGTGCTGTCACTATGACGCTATGACGCAGATCAAAGTTGACGGGCGTCGAGCACGCGATATTTGGTGGAAAGAAGAGACGGTGTTGGGAGAATTCGGAAACCAAAAACGACGATGGGAGGAAGTGGGAGTGAAGAGAAAGAAAAGGATTCGAGGTTGCGGAGATACATAGACTGGATGGGAATGGAAGAGACGAACAAGTGGACCACACGCCGCTACACCAAAGATACTGGACATGTATGGGCACTAGGGGCACTTTAGCATCTTAGCACCACATGCGCCAGGTCGTTCAGCTCGAGACATAAGGGACCCTCACTCTCTCTCGAACATGGAGGGTCCCGCAACTTGGAGACAGCTCACTGACAATATTCCCAGCACAGGAGCTTCGGCTCTCGTTCTGACCACTAATCGTCTGAGGATCGCTCTCCGCTCTGTCGAGGAATCCCCCCTTGGACCCCTTCATACGTGTATTTCTTTCCAAGACAATTTATTGTTGATAATGAAGCGACCCATTCAGGATGGGGTGCTATGAGAGCCTAGACGGATGCTGACGGCCTGACGAGGCGGCCCGGGCCCAGCCATGAGAACTGGGGTCCCCACCCCAGCTGGCAACTGCTCGGTGGGTGCGTTCTAGTTTCTATTTGGTACATGCTCAAGACGGCCCCCAACCAGTCCGTCAGCTGCTCGTCTTCATATCACATTTCCTCTCGGTAGGTATACCAGCCTTATTCAAGTCCTAGTATAAGATTATGGGAAAGCTCCCGGGTGATCTGAGGCTGAACTGCAAACGGTTCAGGGAGCTGACGGGAGCAGCCACCACCACTCTTTGATCTGCTTCTGAGCGAGTCTTCCATCTAATATTTACATCTTCGTATGAAAAACGTACACATATCCGTACATCTACTCATTTCTAACACAGCCTACGCAGGTTTCTCTGCCGTCTTGAATATTAAGCATTCAGTCCTTGGCACATGCTCTTGAAATGCCGTTTTCTGAGTCAAAGTTCAGGGTCCAGGCCTGAACCCCTCTTGTTTGCCAGCCGGCCGTTCTTTGGTGCTTGGCCAGCTCTGGACCCTACCCCACCAATGTCTTCTCTACTCCGTACTTCGACCGGCTGGCTGCCTGGTGTTTGCATGTTTCGGTTCCGCCAACTTTGTTAGCTGGGCAGAAAAAGCAGCTGGGCGAGCTTGGTGCCACGACTCAGCAACACCCGCTAGGTCAGACCCCATCATCCCCTTTTCTTGCCGGACCGAAAATCAGGTGTTGGCACTCTGGACATTTCCTAACCTGCTCAGTCGAAAGAACGTCGATTCTGCTTCTTGGTGCTCATTTGTTTCTTCTGCCTCAGTCGTCCCTCGTTGAATGATTTTGCTCTACATGCCTTGTTAGCTCCTTCAGGTGCATTGGTGTATGAAAAGACAACTCACATCTCAGCATGCTTCTTCTTCTTGTCAGAACTTGTTTCGCCAGGGACTGTCTCTTGATATATCCTCTTGATCTCGTCGATAAGCTTTTGCTGGTTTTCCTCCGAGTTGGCATCTCTCTGGCGGTGCGTCTGAGCTTGGAATGTCAGGGAGTCAGATCTAGCTGTGTAGTATTTTGATGCCCTGATGCCTTGGTGTAACAATTTGGGCAAGACTGGTAAGATGTCCTTGATAGGCCAAACAGTGACTGCTTTGCTCTCCGTTCTATCATGATATTAGCAAAAGTGTAGACCGAAGATCAGAAACGCCAGAATAACCAGCGTATATGCGAAGGGCCTACTTGTTGACATGCTGACCGCCCGGACCGCTGGAGCGAGCATAGGTTGTTTGCCCCTTGGGGAGTTGACTGCCATTAAAGGACTTATGCCATGATCTTGCCTTTTCTAGCTCTTCAGGATCAAAATCTGCTTCAAATGCCTGGAAGCGAGCCTGGCGAACAGGCTGCAGGGGTCGGATCAAAGGGCTTCCAAATGTTGGACGGACAGATCGATATAGACTTGTCGCAAACTTCATTGTGGCGGTTAAGTTGATCAAAGGAAGGCGTCAAATTGATCAAGGCAGAAGTTCAGACAAAGAGCCATCTGATTGGCGAAAGACACGAGAGAATAGACTGAATTTTGAATGTTAAGGTAGGTAATTCTTCGATGAAATGTTCGGTCTGCATCAGACAGTAGTCATCATCATTAATCGATAGACCAAGTGCGTGGATCTGGACTTTTCCTGAGTGGTGATGTACCGTGTTTTGGAGGTGAGAAACTGTAGACTAGACACGGTATCCGAATCCGGCTAAGCGCGACCAAGCTGCCAGATAAAGCTAGCGTCGGGCTGTGGGCTTCCAACCGTTTTTCCCACGGTGACATTGGTCAGGCCTCATTCCGTCCAGCGCGATCGGCCAGCCTTGCGGAGAGCAGAGCTTTGGCAGCGGGTGAGATGGCACCTTACCGGAACGTTGTTTCCCTCCACCTGCAGTCCTTCACAGTTCACACAGCGATTTTTTTCGACTTTTTCTCCCACGCGGCCCTCCAGGCTCCACCACGTCGTTCGTACCTGAGCTTTTTAACCTTTTTTTCCTTCCACCGCACATACTTTCACGCGACACCGCCGCAGCTGCCACCAACCACATCTCGGTGCTCATGGCCTCAAGGTTCAACGTTCCTCCTGCATCCTCTCTCACCTCGCCTTTCTCCTGCTGCTGAATCGACACCCCTCCGACCTCTCCAGCACCAAAAGAAATTAAGCTCCCGTCGCAGAGATTTCTGATTCCTCCGAATCGACTCTCCCATCTACTGTCACAACCTTCAAAGGCTTTCTGCGCTCCCGCCGCACCCACTCACCCATTCATACCTTACTCCGTACTCATACCGCCGCCCACCCCCATCGGAGATTCCCCCGTGCCTGCAGCCTCTTTTCTTTTGCGCCTGCTTCCTTCCTTCCATTCCCACCCCGCCTTCCTGCCACTCTGGGTACCTATCTGCTCTTACCCTCTCGTTCGGGTCCCCAAACCAACCAACCCAGCCGTGCTTGCCTTGCCTCGCGCTTGCCTTGGCCCCTAAATACATGACGGCATCGCTGCGGCTCGACTGAATTTGCTGAAAACAAGGCGCCCGGTTGCCTCGTTTGTCGCTTCCACTCCATTGACATAAAGCCCATTCTTTAACCCATATCCGCCCACAAGCTTGTCTCGTCAACCTCACACAAGCTTCTTCTGCCTGTTTCGCGCAAGCCTTGCCAGCGTCGACATCAGCAAGCTTCCACAGCTGTCGTCGCATCGCCCACTCGCATCTTCAGGTCACTATCAACAGCAGTACTACTACTACTTCTTATCACCGCCAACCAGTGCGCCAACAAGTCCAATAGCTTGAATGCCCGAACCGGAGGCCACCCCCGAGTTCCAGGCTACTGCTGCCGACCTCTCGCCCTACTGCCCATCTCCTCTCCACTCCGCCGCTCCAGCCGTTGTACCTGCTCTCCAGGATACTGCTGATATCCTTGATGCAATGACCGCCCACACTAATGGAGTCGCTCAAGGCGACCTAGACGCACCAATTTCGACCGAACCGTATGCGCAAGCTGCCACAGACATCGCGGACGCCGAAGACGACGTCGACAGTCTGGACGATGCCTACGGCGAGGAAGAGGAGACACACACGGACAAGGTTCAGGAACAGCAGGTGGAGCCAGATGCCGGCGAGGATGATTATCTCAAGATCTTCGACTCTCCTCCCCGGGACGCGGATGAAGATGGCGCGGAAGAGGATGATGTATCAAAGGCAGCAGAATCCATTCAAAATTCCGCCGCTCCTGATTCTTTGAAAAGCCCTTCGCAAGTGGCCCCCTCCACCGTCGCTACCGCTGATTCCTCGTCGGCCACTGCTACTGCTGCAGAACACTCAGCCAAATCCGCGCCTTCCCAACCAGCTGCCGCCCACCCAGGAGCTGATTCAAGCGCGCCTCATTCGACTGCCAACGGCGCCTCCTTCAACGCACGCAATGACAATGCTTCCGAGGATGACCCCGCTGTTGATATCTCTCGCCTTGTTGCTGAGATGACAGGCCAGGCGAGCGAGTCCAGCAACAACCAATCTCCCACTGGCTCTACTCAGAACCATGATGCTCAGCCATCGTCCAACTTGACCTCGTCTGCGTCTGCCACTCTTCCTCCCAGACCTCCGTTGCCCCAGCAAGCGGCTCCCACATATCCATCTGAAGACTATCGAGGCTTCCCTCAGACCGCTGCTTCTCATGTCTCTCCCAACATGATTGCTCCGCCCACGCCAGGTCAACCATCTACTTACGTAGCTACGGGTGCTCCCGGTGCCCCTGGTACCGCATCCGACATCTATGGCAGCCTCCCACCTCCACCCGCCAACGGTTTGAACGCGGCCATGCCCATTACTTCGATGAACGCGCCTCCCTATCCCACTCCTGGCGGCTACCCCGCCGGCCAGACGGACGATACTGCTGACCGCCAGAAGCTTTGGGACACCTTCGTAAACGACGAGCGCCGTTACATGGCTGATGCCAAATGGGATAAATTCCCCGATGGCTCACGCATCTTCATTGGTTCGCGCTCTCTCTCATCAGGCAGACCCGACGGCGCCATTGACTTCTTTTCAGGCAACCTGTCGAGCGAACGCGTTTCCAAGCGGGATGTCTTTGATATCTTTCACAGATACGGCCGTCTCGCCCAGATCTCACTCAAGTCCGCCTATGGCTTCGTTCAGTACCACAACCTCGAAGATGCCCAAGCTGCCATGGACAACCTGCAGGGCAGCGAAATCAAAGGCCGCAAGATTCGTAAGTGCTCTTGAATAACATGCGCCGAGAGCACTGTACTCACTTTTACTAGATTTGGAAATCTCGCGAGCCCAGAAAAAGAAGGACGGCAACGAGAGAAACCGGTCGCCAGACCGTGGCGGTCGTGGAGGCCGACAGTCAGGACGTCAAGATCGCCATGACGGAGCCAACTCGCACCATGATAACCGTCGTAACCGTGATGATTACAGGCCGGGACGTAACAGCCCTCCCCGACGTGGTCATGGCCGTGAGGATAGTCACGGTCGAGATCGTTACCAGCAGGACTCTCATGAACGCTCCCGTGGTCGTTCGCGGTCCCCTCAGGGATATGGCCGCCACAACGATGGATACCGCCGGCGTAGCCCCAGCCCGCCGGCGGCCTATGGTCGTCCTTCTGCAGCTGACGACCGCCTCGACATTCCTCGTCGCTATGGCAATCAGGTTCCTGACGTTCAATTCTTACTCCTCCAGGATCTTAGCCGCGACTTCATTACCTGGGTTCAACGCGGTTTCACCGATCGAGGCCTGAAGGTAGACGTCATGTTCCTCCACCCAAGCTTCCCTCGTGAGGCTATTGTTCAACGCCAGGTCATCGAAGGCGTACACGCTATTGTCGATCTCGACATACAGGCACAGAACATGGGTAAGATCCCGCTCCGAGTCTTCGACCGCTCCGGAGGCGTTAGCGCCCGATACGACGACTACCGAGACATCGACCCGCCGATCGCGGCAGAGCTCGTCCTCCGGGCCAAGTCACAAGCTGTGCCGGCGGCACCTTATCAGAATGCCCCGCCTCCCCAGCCTCAGTACCCGGGATACGGACAGCCTTATGGAGGGCAGCCCGTACCTCCCCAGGCACCTGCTTATCACGGAGGCCAGGGGCCGCCACGTGGGCCTCCTGTCCAACAACCCCAACCACCGGCTGGAGTGCCAGCCGACCTCGCCAGCATGATGAGTGGTATCGACAATGCGACCTTGCAACGATTGTTGGTTAGTTTGAACCCCCAGGGTGGACCGGCGGCTGTCAACAATGCTGCCGGGGCTGCCAACGCTCAGCTGCAAGCCCTTATGGGCGGTCTTCAGCAAGCGCCGCCTGCGGCACCAACGCAGCCTGCCTCGTACGGCGGACAGGCCTTTGCTCCGAATGGCGCGCCACCCTCCAATGGCCCGAACGGCCACCCTCCTGCAACTGGCACCGGTGATTCCGCAGTCCAAGTTCAGAATATTATGGCACAGCTGGCCAGGTATCGGCAGTAAGGTGTGCGATATGGGAGCTCATTTCACTGGCGCTTGATGAAGATATGACGTGGAAGGGGCTGATTTATTTGTTACCCGGCGTTACGGGCATGCGGTCCACTGGGCTGCTCAATAGGGCGGGAAAACTGTGCTTCCTTATAGATCTGCAAAAGCCATGCCCAGTAGGGCGGGTTGCTGTAACCCAGGCGTTCACTATTACATAAATACAGTAGTTTAAAATAGGTTTGTCTCTTCAAACCTGAAACACAGCTTTAAAGTCCAAAATGCGAGGAATCTACAGCTTCTGAGTGGGCTTGTTCAGGAAAGCCGTGCACTCAATTTCGACATCGGTGCCCAGCGGTAGCTGGTATACTGCAACACACGTGCGGGCCTTTTGATCTGAGGTATCAGCACGCATTCTCTCATTTCCTTTATCGTCATGACCTGCCAGGAACGACGAGCAAAGTCATTTCTAGACATGAATGAGAGATAAACTTACAGGCTTGGGATCAAACGTGAAGAACTCATCATACGCCTCATTCATGGTGGCGAAGTCGGCCATCTTTGTAATGTAGACGTTGACCTTGACGACGTTGCGGAGGGAGCTTCCGGACGCCTCGAGGACGGCGGTCAGGTTCTTGAGGGCCTGGCGGGTGCGGTCTTTGACTGTGCCCTCGGCCTGGACCATGCCTGGCTTGTCGGGGAGGATGCCGATGTTGCCGGAGCAGTAGACCATGCCGTTGTATTTTACGGCTTGGGAGAATTGGGGGAGGGGTGCTGGGGCGGCGGTTGTGAGTACTTTTTCGATTTGGTCGGACATTTTGGTTGGTGTTGGTGGTTATGTTGATATGAGTTGGTCTGGGTCGAGGTGGTATATTGGCGAATGGATGATTTTGGAGTTTGTTAGTATTCGGATATAACGACGGGAAGTGATGGGGAGAGATTGGTGTGAGCTGAAATAATCGGTGTAAATTGAATTGAAGTACGTAAGGTAGTCGCGGATGATAAATCCAACGACGGTGAGATTACACCGGCGCGGGGTCGGAGGTGGAAAGTGGGTCTTCTTCACCGGCGGATGGTGGGGTTTTGATAGCGGGCATGTACAGAAAGGGCGCGCAGGAAAGGGCGTGGACGATGGAGACTGGGCGTGGACTTTTGCATGCATGGATTATTCAGTGGATGAGGCTCTTTTTGACTTTTGGGGAATTTTGCCGAGAGGTTAATCGACCTTACTCGGGACCTGGGGGTATCTTGTATCTGTATTGAACCAGAACAAGTTGCTTGCATCATGCATTGGGGTTGGATTAGTCTTGGGAAACTTTGTTTCGCCTTGTTTTCGTTGGTGAAGCCATCGTTTGCATTTTACGATTTAGATTGTACTTGACAGAATGCTGTCGTCCTGAAGCTATCGATCATCTCACACAGACACTTGCTGATTACAGAGTCATAAGATGCGAGCATACCTTATCCTGAGCTCGAGTCTGCCGATAGAAAGCGCCTGGCCCACTTTGGCGGGGTTGACGGAGGACTTCGCCGCGGGACGGTGATGGCGGGGTAATTTTGGCCGGCCGAAGCCGGCGCCCCCCCTCCGGGGATCTAGACGTCGGTCTTGCGACGTCTCTTAAGCACTTAGATGATAACCATGCACAGTTCCCAGAGATTTCTAAAAGCTACCTGATTTGGAATTCCTCTCCCAACGCCTTGTATGCTAACGATAATGAAGTAAACACTGCATTCTTAACCCAAAGACACAAGAAACACCACCATCAGAACCTGAAGGAAATCCAAAGTCGCGTCGGACATCATACAAACATGTCAAAACTCATGAAGCGACATGTTTTCGCTCCAATGCGTCCCTTAGAAGTTCTGCAATATCCTCATGCCCCCGCCGAATAGCCGTGTCAAGTGAGGCTTCACCGTCTGGGCCTGGTTCTGTGGGATCAGCACCTCCTTCAAGAAGGCTCCGAACTGTGGCTAATACGGACTCAGGAAGCCATCCTGAGTTTTCAAGGGAGATGGCCGTAGACAAGGGTGTGTTTCCTGCGAAGTCCCTCGCGTTGGGGTCGGTCCCATGTCGAAGCAGAAAGTCGACGAACTTATGATTCCAAATCATAACGGCACGTATAAGAGGGGTTCGTCCCTTATTGTCCCGTCCATCGATTTCAAGGCCTTTCGAAATGGCTTTTTCCACATCTTCAAGATAATCAGAAGCTGGATCGCCTTTCTGACATGCCGTATGAAGAAAATTTCGGCCACGGTCATCTTGATGATTAGGATCCAATCCTATACCCAAAAGTTTGCTGAGCAGGGTACCAGCGCGGGGGTCAACAGCGAATAGAAGGGTTTATTTATGTCCATTAAAGAGAGCCTCGTACTCGAAATTCCTGTTGTCGACCTCCTGCTGTATGCCTGCATTATGATTTTCGCCGACTTTGTCTCTGTTGTGCTTGAGCAGAAGATCTACGCAACGTTCTGAGTCCGCTGACATAGCGAGGAATAGCGGTGTGTTTCCATCTACGTTCTTTGCTTGAACTTCCACGCCCTTTTCAATCAGAAGTTCTGCGATAACCGAGAAACCTTTTTCGCAGGCAAGGTGGAGAGGCCGTCGACCTCGGGCGTCTTGGACTTCTAGATCACACCCTCTGCGAATCAGCAGCTGGATAAGTGCTTCGTCATCAGCATGAAAAGCGTAATGAATCGGAAAAGATGCAGTTTTCGATAGTATTTTTTGGTTGATATTTGCACCGTTGTCGAGAAGGAACGCAGCGGAGGCTTTCTGCTTGCACCGGATGGCACTGAACAGAAGCGTTGTTGCGCACTTGGGATCAATGCTGATCCCAGCCTCTAGCAGAAGTTGAGCAGGGCGCAAATACCCGCTTTCTATCGCTTTGTCAAGAACTGCAACTGCATCTTTGTATTCAGAGACAAGTGGCGCTGACTGTGAAATTGAACTATGCCCGCCGCTGTATCGTAATGCTAATCGTTTTTCTAATCGTTTTCGAAGAATAAGCGTAAAGAGTGCGACTTGTCTCTTTTCGAAGGCTCGAAACAGGGGACTGTAAGAGGCCTTATCTGGTATAAGGTCAGCTCGCGCGCCTCTGCTAAACAGCATTTCGGCGATGTCAGTTTGCCCTCTTTCCGCGGCAAAGTACAGGGGAGTGCGTCCTTGTTTATCCGTGCAATTTATGCTCGCGGGGCGAATCCAAATTCTAAAAGATTCTAGCAATAGCCTAGCTATTCCATCATGGCCCTCCTTGAGGGCCGCAAGAAGTGGATAGCCATGACGGCCCCCGCTTACATCGGCGTTCCCGTAGAGGCGAAGCCATTCCTTGACCAATTCTGCTAGGCCTCTCTCTGCAACAATGTACAGCAAGTTCGCAGAATCGGGATTTTGTCTTCTAGATTTGTGTTGTTCAAAGAGATTGCTTCTTTGTATCCATTGATCCCAGTATTTGAACGGAAAGGTTTGAATAAAGTGAGTCTGTGAAATCGATTTTGCAGCGGCATTTGAATGATAGAGTACATGGTTGGTTGCGTACTCTAGAAATGGAAAACCACGTTCGACTGCGACTTTGAAAGGAATACTTTTCTTCTTGTAGAGCCGCAAGAGAAATTCGTCCTCTGGTAAGTATTCGGATATGTCGACTCGACTCGAGTATTCATGACAGCAGTCCCGCAGCTTATTGTGGCTTTGAGCTTCGAAGTCAGCGCCCGTATTCGGCCAGAGATGACGGATCCCATTGTCCTTCAATAAGAAGTCGCGTACGGATTCGTGGATAAACTGGACGGTCTTGTCACAGGAATTTGTTGTCTCAGCCAGTCCCTTCGATGAACTGAGAATCAGGCGATCCATAGCATCAATTTGAATCCTACTGGGGTCCCATTCCTCCAAGGCACCAGGCTCCAAACCGGAGGTCATCGCAAAGTATTACTCCTCTCTCTTCAGGGGTCGTTTACTGTAAAGCAACCACTGGATGCAGAGAAGCAAATCATCCTTGTTCTCTTGGTCTCTGGTCAAGATGTCCTTAAAAAGGGCACCTAGTTCCGACGGGATCTCTCTCAGGCGGCCTCGCACTGCAAACAAGCGACGCCTCAGGTACTCTTTGTTCAGAATATCGACGACCAGTACGACCCACATGAAGACGCCAGAAGCTTTTCGTAGGATTTCAGCGATGATCTCATCACTCTGAGGTCCAGTGCCGGCCTTGAGCTTGGTGCATACGTACTTTGCAAGATCATTCCCATGTCCAACTTGGTCTTCCAGAATGAGCTTTTGGCCGTATTGAACATCAATGTAAGGATAATGTCTGCTAGAAAGGAAGGCATAGAACCGGAGGTCGTTTTGAACCGCATATTGTCCCAAGTCTTCGAAGACCTCGACTAGTTCTCGAACCTCAGCCGCTTCACACTCATCAAGGGCGTCAATGAAACAAGTCAAGGGTCGTTGTCTGAGATTCTGTATAGCTCTGCGAAAAAGAACTTGAGTCGTTTCTAGATCCCATGCGGTGATGCCTTGTTGGTCCGACGGTGAAATGACGGTGGTATCGAGCAAGACTTGTAGATCGGGGAGTGCCCGCAAGAGCTGATGCAGTAGTGATCGATACATTCCCAGCGTTGTTTTCTCCAGACTTTCGCCCCTTGCATTGAAAAAGAAGGAAATGGTCCGCCCTGATGCGCGGTCGAGAGCGAATTTCATAATCGTTGACTTCCCAGCCCCGGGCTTTCCCTTCATCCAGAGAAAACCGTGATGCTGTTTGTACTTCTTGGTATCCTTCCAGGCGGTGTATTCAGGATGATTGAGGAGCCATTCGCAAGTTCTGGCATGATTCGCTTTGATGTTGGCGTGCCGCTTGCCAATTTGATCGAACTTGAGTGAGTCTAGAAGCTCCCCACGCTTTGTCCGGGATGTATCTACAACTAACGTGTAAGCAATCATCGACAATGTGAAGGAAGTCACCAGCTTACCAGAATCTCGTATTTCTACTTGCGTGTGTATGGCGAAGTTTTCTTGGACTGGCGTGAGAAGAAGAAGCTCCCTTGCGTACGCTGCCGCCGTAGCAGCGGCATATCTCTGCCATCGCTTTTGTTTATGAGAATCCGCATAATCGCAAATGCCTCGAATGACGAGGCACGGGAAGTTGTCCATTAGTCCTGCAGCCTCCATTTCAAAGCAAACAAGTCCATGGTCTTTTGCAAGTTGGTCTCTTCTTTTGGCGTCTTTCATGAGCAGATTTGCGGAGCCAATGATTCCATAATGGATACTAGGATCATTTGTCGCTCGTGGGTCGCGTAGTATCAGCTTAGATCTATCGCAATTGTCGCAGTTCTCTCCAGAGTGTTCGTAAGATGATTCAAAAAGTAAATCTTCATCTACGAATTGATGCGTGTACTCGACCATGAGAGTATTGCGTTGCTTCATATCGTCCAAGATTGACGGAATCTGACTCGGCTGAGTTTCGTGCTTAGCCCTCAACGCGGATACAGCCGCAAGAACAAATGTTGGAGGTTTGTTCAGACTTCCGATACCTTCAAACCGACCGTTATTTATGGCCTTCCCAAAGTCGTACTGCACAACACCCGGAGAGTCTCTTGTCGGGTTGCTGACCACGACATCGCCCAGCCGTATGTCGACTGTCCCAGGTACACCGCCTCCTATTCCAACCATCAAGCCAATGCGAATCGAGGGGAAACTCGAATGCATGTTGTTCGCTACCACCGCCGCTTTGACTGTGCCGTACTCTCCCGATGGCAAGCATGCAATGACGATGTTGTGCAGGCCGATGCTGCCGAACACGTATACATTGCTGTCATCCTCTTTTTGAGCGTGCGGTTCATGTCTGAAATCGAGCATGGCGATGGCTGCAGCCATCTCTAGATGAAGAGCAGAAACCCAGCCCACGTCGTACGCATCACGCGGCAGCTTGGGGAGCACCTGATCCGCATTGATAGGCGCTTGAGCCACTGGGCCTACTGTAGTTGGGCGTTTTGCAGGTCTACCATCACCGTCGTCTTCGTTACTGCTGGCGGGTCGTGGCCGTTTCCTATGATTCGGTGCCATTTTGTAGATGGTAAGTATGGCCACTAAACATTCCGATGAGGGCGAAGAACGGTTTCGAGGAAATTTGGTTCGTGTTGTCTGCTGTTAGCTGTCGCAAGAGCCGATGTCGCAAGGGAATAGTTTCGTAATTGACTAGTAGGACGACGGCGATGTGACTAAGATCGCAGTGGAGGTTGTTGCAGAAAAGTTCACCCTTCGTAGGAAGTGGCCGGAAGGGTGAAGTACATATATGAAGGGCAACCAAGATCGGGAAAGTAATACCTTTCATATACCTAAGACAAAGCCAGCCATCGGAACGACTGCCATGAGTTAACCTGGAATATTGTGGTAATCTGATAAATGAAACCTTTGCTCTAACGCTCTGTCTTGCAAAATTTTGAGAGCATGATTGACCGATATCAAAGACACCAGGTCTTGACTCTACCTGTGTCTGTTCCAGACTACAAGACAGTGTGCTGCTGTCGCCTAATACTTCTTTGATGCTCAATCCCGTAGTCCCTAATGGCTTTGCCATTCCCAAACTCGATATCTTCTCGTGTGTTCGATCTTTGGGAATCCATCAATCGAAGTAACTCGCACCCACCTGAAGGGCCCAGACGATGTCGGTAATACCACAGAAGAGCCGTTACGAGTGTTATCGGAACTGCTACAATCCAGTATACCCAGAACTTGCTCGAGACATTCCACGAGTCTGCTCCCGAGTCGTAGTCAAAAAATGAGGTGCTGAAGACGGCTGAAACGAAAGTTGACGGTAGGAAGAGTAGTGTGAGAAAAGCCACGGTTTTCATGGCCTCGCTGTCTCTCTGCGTCGCGCGACCGATGGCTACAGAAATCCGGGCGTCGGACTGGGCAACCATGTTATATGCGAGCGAGATCTCGTTGAAATGTCGAGCCTTATTGGAAGCTGAGCGCTCTTGAAGGCTGGTAATCATCTCTTCAAAGAACTGCAACCGCTGATGCGTGTAATTCCAAGCCCGTTTCCATGCGGTGGTAGACCTGGACTGGTCGTCAGGGCCAACCTTATGTGTCTCGTGCTGCAGTAAAATCTTCCTAGCAGCCTTGACGGCCAAATCCAATGTCTCTGAAACGTGTATAGCATGTCGTGCGGTTTCGTGCAAATGACGAAAGTCGGGTACAGTCTTTGATGTGGCCGAGTCGGAGCCGTGGATTATGTCCCTTTGCTTCTCTGTGGTCCTGACTGTAACACGAACAGCCCATACAGCGGCATCTTGCAGAGTGACGACCTTCTCCAAGATTCCGATATATATCCAGTAGGGGTCGAGGAAGTAGTCCGCGTTTGGTACGGCGTAAATGGGGTCGGATTCATCTTCCGGGACCCTCTTCATACAATTCGCCGCTGGTTGAACGGCGTCGAAGACGACGAGGACTGTTTGACGAGTCTTCGCCACCCAGTGCGTAATCACATTGGTCTTTGACCATTCATATCCTGTATATCCTTCGTTCGTGAGCTTCACTGGGAATCGCGCCCATGTAGCTATTCTCCCGTCAGTCAGCGTCCTTGGCCCTAATCATCACAACTCACTCAGTCCTGCAGTATTTCCGTCCTCATCAATCTTTGTCTCGCATCCAAAGTAGCCGTTGGAATCTCTGCAATACCGTTTCCACCAGAGGTCTGGGATTAGGAAGGCCTTAGCAAACTTCTCGCGGCATGCTGAACATTCGCGTATTTTCTGTGCAAAAGCATTGCTATCCGCTTATCAGCATCGAGTCGTCACCGAAGCTATACTAAGCTTACACGATGCAAACATCGAAGTCTTCCCTGTCTGCAAAAAAGGATGCTGATTTCTTCTCACTGGCCGTCGTAGCCGATCTCCATTTTCGATCACCTATTTCCTGTTAATGTAGCTCCTGGTTCAATGGGATTCTCTCTAACCGGACCTTTCTTCCAGTATAACACCTCTGGTTGCGGGCAAGATTCACAGCACATTTGGTCCATGTTGATTGATCGCATGGCAGTTGGAAAAAAGTAGCTTATCAAGTACAGCATGGAATACTAGCCCTCTTATAAGACTAGATCGAAGGACTCGGCTGTGAAGATTGCTCAAGAATCGTTGCGTTGTACAGCAGGCTCTGAACGGGAGCCGCAAACCCCGCTCTAAGCGCCGATGCAGGCTGCATGACAGGGCCTCTCAATACCCTGAGTTAACCAACCAGCCATTTGAGGCAGATCTGCTACTGCAGGCAGGCGTGATTTCGGAGTCTGTCCCAGAGGATTTTCCATCATATGAGCTATGCGAGCTGTGTAATATGATACCGAAATTCACGGCTCAGCCACCAGCCTTGCCGTCGCCGAGTGGAATGACCGGAGGAAGCCTGGGGCTAAACATTGCGGCCCGAATGCTGCGGTTCTTTGGTCCGTCCGTTGAGGATGTAACAGCAGCATACCTTGCGGTGACATGCAGAGAAAAGAAAACAAAGAGCAAAGCTAAGAAGCAGTCGGCAACGATTTCAATGCCTTCTTTGTGGATCGAAGTGAAAGCGAAGTGAAAGAGCGACGATGCTGGAGCCAGTGGAATGGAAGGGTCTTTCGGCAGGGTCCTTCCCGCCCGCCCACGAACAGCCGGGATGTTCGCTGAAATGTCTCCAATGCCTGCATGGCGAAGGGGAGCACTTGCCTCCACCAGAGACGGGAACATTTGGGGGAAAGATCAGGGGTCACCTCCTTAGATTCCTCCTTCTGACCAATCAAGATGTGGCTTACCAAGCAATCCATCGCCGCTGGTCGATACACCTATTGGAAAACGAGCCTAAGCCAACCTAAAACCGCCTCGACTGCGAGGTGAGACTTTGGACGAAGATGCCAGCTGGAAGGTGTTCGTTCTGCCGTGTGTAGTCGGTTGCCCAGGCACGCTTCTCGATATATGACAAGTGACGGGAACCTTCGCCAATTCCCACTGCAACTCCATCTTGTCTTCATTTGTGTAATTACCCGCTCGGTCCGAGCTTGCGGACTATCACAACCTTCTTCTTTCTGTCTTGCCTTTCGTATTTCTCATGTGGCACTGAGCTCCATTGAGCTTCCTTCTTGTCCAACTCTACCTCGCCATTATCCGCGTCACCCGTGAAAGATCGACCGCTATGAGTTGGCCCTACCGCTTCGTCGACCTGTCCAAGGAAGAGGTCCAGATCCGGAGACAGACCCTGGATCGCTATGGCAGCTATGCTCAGTACTCGGCACTGACGCCAATCATCATTGCTTTGCTGTTTCGGCTCGGGGCGTATCTCAGTCAACGCTGGCAGTCCGGAGCTTCCTACTCTGCTGTCCCGGGCTCTCCTGAGCTGAAGACAAGGAGACAGAGCTGGAGCCACAGCTGGGAGGCCACAATCAAGAAGTGGAAGTGGTGGCTGGCGGACGATGTCTACTTCATGGGGCAGCATTGGGGCCAAAAGGACCAATGGGTTTTTGGCTTGGCCTGGGCGTCATGGCTGCTGGTTCTCAGCGTGTTGGAGACGGGCGATGGTAAGTTGTGAATCCCCTCAATTGGATGTCAAACGTGATGGAACTCCAACCCCGACCCTGGAACCAACACCTAAGAGACTCCAGTGAGCCTCGAAAAAATTATGACTCCATGCTCAAAAAATTTGCCATTCAGATTGAGCAAAGTCAAGACATATTTCTGACTAGCTGTAGATTACCTCCATCTCACCAAACGCTTTGGCATCATCGCAGTCTCCCAGATCCCCTTCCAGTACCTGCTGGCATTGAAGAGCTTCAGCCCCATCGCCAAGGCTTTCCGCACATCTCACGAGGAGCTGAACAAATGGCACCGCGTTCTCTCTCGTGTGACGCTATCCCTTCTTGTCCTCCACGCCGTATTCTACCTGAACTTCTTCGTGGCCAAAGGCATCGTTCAGAAGCGCCTTTTTGCACCAGTTGTCTTCGCCGGTGTCGTTGCGTTTGCAACCATGAACATGATGACTTCAACAGCGGCTGCCACCGTTCGAAGGTACTCGTACCGCGTCTTCTTCATCACTCATCTCATCGGCGCTTTTGCAATTCCAGTCCTGGTCTTCTTCCACGCCAAGTCGGCTCGCCTGTTTATGGTCAAGGCTATCATCGTCTTCCTCATTGACCTCACCGTCCGTCGTCTCCGCACTGTAATGGCTCTCTCAAAGGTTGAGACCATCCCTGGCACGAACCTGATCAAGATCTCGGCTTCGATTCCTCAGCACAAGATCAATGCTTTCCACACGCGCCCAGGCTCCCACATCTACCTCAGCGTCCCCGCTGCAGCACGACCTGGAGCTGGCCCAACATCCCCTGATGCAATGCTCTTTGAATTTCTCTTCAACCCCTTCACTGTTGCATCCGTCGACGAGGACAACGGCAGCCTTACTCTGGTAGCTCGGCAACTTGATGGCCCGCTCACACGACATCTCGGCCGTTTTGCAAACGCGGGCACCGGCATCGAAGACGGCAAGGTACCGCTTTGCATCGAGGGCCCGTACGGTGCCGCATCCCTTCACTTTGACAAACTCACCGGCTCCTCAGTCGACCGCTTCCTGTTGGTTGCCGGCGGCGTGGGCGCAACCTTTACCGTACCAATTTACCACGCCATCCTCCAAGACAACTCCAGCGCCAAGGTCGAATTCGTCTGGTCCATCCGCGGCGCCAGCGACACAGCCTGGGCTACGGCCGCCGAGAAGTCCATTTCCAAGAGCATCATCGACGACCCCAACGTCCGCGTCTTCCTCACAGGCGATGCCCTCGACTCGGACTCTACTGGTCCCATGGCCGGGCTTCCCTCCGAGACGAACGCCGAGGGCGAGATGGAGATGAGCTCGCTGCAACGTGACCGGAGGCGGAACCGCCTCACGAGCGAGGGCAGCCGCAAGCGTCCGGATTTGCGCAAGATTGTCGACGACTTCTTCAGGCAGGGGGCCGAGGAGAGGGTCGCGGTGCTTGTGTGCGGGCCGGCGGAGATGGGACGGGAGGTGCGGGAGTATGTCGGCGCGTGGGTCATGAGGGGCCGGGACGTGGTGTGGCACAATGAAGCCTTTGGTTGGTGAGGGCCCGTACAGGTGTAGCTTTGAATATTTTGAGTCGATAGAAAGATACGGCTGAGGCTACTTGGTTGGCGTTTCTGTCTTGGTAATTTGTTGGTCTATTCTAGAAATCATAGCCACTGCTCCGAATTCTTCGTCTCCCCCCCTGCCATATGTTAGTGTTCTGGTCTCTTCGATCCCAGAGTGAGATTTGTACAGTATGATGAGGGAAAAGAATGTCATTTTATCTATTACGAAACACGCTGCTAGGATGAAAGGCCTCCCTAAACGCCAAAAATCGTAACTCAATGCTCATCCGTCATATCGCACACGTTTCCTTGGCTTCCTCCTTGCTAAAGGGCTTTAATCAGCCCGCTTCTTGGAATCGCCAATATCTCCCGTATCCATATCCTTGCTCTTGACTCCGCCGATATCACCATCACCATCTTCCTCTTCCCAGTCGTCCACCTGGTTCTCATCCCAGTTATCGACTTCTTCCTCAAGAGACCTGCCCCCATTGCTAGCACCAACACCAACACCAGCACCCCCATCCCTCGCACCACTAGCCTCCACAACACCAGTCTCATGTCCCTCGCCAAGCTCCACATCCTCCTCGTCCTCCCCGGGGACAGCCTGGTACGTCTTGGTGCGGCGCTTGCGCTCGAGCATGCGCTTGTGGTACCACGAGCACAGGCCGATGCCCGCGAGCGAGCCGACGACGTTGGCGACGATGTCGTAGAAGTCGAACTCGCGGCCGTTGGGGAGGAAGCCCTGGAGGAACTCGGAGCCGACGCCGAGGATGAAGGTGCAGACTGTGAGGGTGAGGTTGAGGGTGCGGCGGCGGTTGGTGTCGAGGATCCAGTAGAAGACGATGGTGAGGAGGAAGAAGGTTGTGAAGTGGAGGACCTTGTCGTTTACGTATTGACCGAGTTGGAGGGTGGTGAGGCCTGCGTAGCCTGCGACGAGGAGGAGGGCGAAGAAGACGCCTGGAGGGAGAGGGTTATTAGTATGGAGTTTGGATGGGTTGGGCGCCTGGAGCTGAACTGGAGCTAAAGCTGAAGCTTCAACTCGGCTCTGCAAGGAATCGATGGAGATCCAGAACCATGGTTGACCACAGTCGAGACTCTTGACGTACCTGCAAAGGGCAAACGTATCCGCATTTTGAAGAGACCTGCAGCAGCTCCTGCAGATGGTGGTGTGATTGGTAGCTTGCGATGGGTAGCTAAGGTAGCTAAGCTTTTGGAGTGTCTCGAAGAATTATGGGCGGCTCGAGGGATGGAGGTGTGCAAGGACGTTCAGCTACAGGCTGGCAGACGAGAGATGTCGAGGGTCGTGTTGTGCGTTTGCTTCTCAAAGATGAAAGGGAAACTGGCCAGGGTTGTTCGTAATGGGGTCGTCACAGACGAGGGTGAGGTGTCCAGCTGGCCGGAGCTCCCAAGCGACTGGATCGGGGCGAGCGAGGGAGAGCTTTTGTTTTTTCCTGCTGCGGGAACGCGAAATGGAGTTCAGCCCACTGACGGAAGAAGATGTACAGCAGTGGTGGCGCCCCCCAACCCCAGGCTTTACTGCGTAAGGTACGGGACCTTCTTCGAGGACAGGGGTAGGCCCCCGAGGATTTTGGAGCAGATGGAGGGGGCCCGGTTTGGTCGGGTTCAGGTGGCCCGGGCGGAAGATGCCGTGGGCCGCAGTTAGGTACTGTCGCGATATGGATGTCTGGGGGTGCCAGACGCGATGCGCGCCCGTGGATGCGGATGAGGTCACTGGGGGTGGGTGGTGGGAATTGAGGTGCGCGGGATGATGTGTACAGGGAGTGAATTGAGATGCCTGGTGGTGTTGCGGAGAGTCGCAAAAGACTTTCTGACATTTTCAAACATCTGGAAACCACATAAGCATCACCACTTTGTTCGGCATTGAAGTACTTCCAAGTTCCTCCTCCCCCTAAAGCAAACTCTCTGTGTTGTGTTGCTAGTCTGTCCTGCTGTGTGTGCTTTGGTGCCTGGGGTGCGCTTCGTGGCTCGTTGCTGACTGCGACTGGTTGGCTGAGACCATCACGTGACAAAAACGTACGCGATCCGATCGCTCAGCGCTGGGCCAAGGGGGGAATTACGGTGGCCTCCGCTCGCGCCGTCGTCGGCATTGGAAGTTCATGTACCTGCATCCCGCAATCGCGGCACCCATCATCACCCCAGTGCACCTCATTTCTGGGTCCGAAAAAAAGGTAGATGAATTGACGAGCATACTGAGACCTTGACAATTCATTTTTAAGTACATGCGACAGTCTTCGTGGTGGTCTGTGCTGCGTAACTCGTGGTCAACCAAGGTTCCGTGTACCGCTAGCAGCGGCCAACTCGCCGTCTTCAGGCAAGGGAAAAGTTCCATCGCGTACTTGCGTACGAGCCTCTCCAAATCCTCAACCTCACCTCTCGGAACCACCCAAAAGACCCCCTATTCCAATCCATCAATACACAACACCCACAACCCGTCACGTCTTCGAAACGCAAATCTCATCTCTATCGATGTCGCTCTTTCTACTGATGCGCTCATAACGACCCTTTGCCGCCCGGACTCGGTCCCTGACGAGCGCATTTCCTTGCGCATGGCGACACGCCGCCCACCTGTCGCTATCATCAACCCGGGCTCAAAATGTCCCTCCCCAATGGCCACCACGCATGGCAGCCGCCGTCCCTTCATCACCAACCCTCTAGTCGCCTGTTCCATCAACTTGATGATGGTCCTGCGCGAAACGGAACCCCCGTCGACCATTCAATGTCCTTGATGCCTGAGGCACAACCTGATATTGAAGAGGAACGACGGCGCGCCTTGTTCAAAGATCTCTATCACAAAAGCGAGGCAAAGATCTCGCTGCTGTTCGCTGACGATGGGTCATACAACTATTCCGCCATCGATGCTCTGCGCCGCCCCTCGGCCCCCTCCCCCTCCATATTACCCCCTACCACCGACCATGCGCCGATCCAAGAGCCTCCATTAAAGAAGGCCAAGCGGGTCATCGACGAAGACGATTACGGCGATGACGATGACGAGGATGAGGAAGAAGACGCGACCGCAGCCAATTCGAGCAAACCCGTGAACGGCATTGCGGCCGCCGGCGCCGGCTCGCTACTATCCCCCTCAAAGTCCGGTAGTTCGCCCGTGCACTCCGTCAGCTCCCCCGGCAAACAGCTCGACAAACTCAAACAGGCCGACGGATCTGGAGACAGCACCAAAACGAGCGAAGATGCGCGCAAGCAGCTGGAAGAGGCGCGTAACGCGACCGAAGAAGCGGCCAGACGTAGCTTCCATACCATATTCTATACTCTAGAAAACGACCGGACTGCTATGCTGGAACAGCAGCAGCTGGAAGAGTCCGAGAAACAATTGCAGGCCGAGATGGAAAACAACAATAACCACAGTCAGACAAATGGCGCCCAGGCCGAGAACCACGGATCGCTCAGCAGCGCCAACTTGGGCGCGTCGAGTTTAACGCTCAAGCACTTGATTGCGAGGATAGATATGAAACGCGACCAGGTTCGCGCCTCTGATGCAGAATTGCGATCGCTTATGAACGAAGTGCGGAAAAACCGAAGTAAATGGGCTAGCGAGGAGAATGTCAACCAAGAAGAGTTGTACGAGGCCCTCGAGAAAGTCTTGACGGAGTTGAAGGCACACACGGAGTACTCAACGCCCTTTCTGCAGAGGGTGAACAAGAGGGATGCGCCGGATTACTATAACCGTAAGTTGCCTCCAGGCAGACGAGTTTGAATCGGATTGGCTAACCACCCTCGGCACAACGCAGTCATCAAGCAGCCAATGGACATGGGATCTATGACCAAGAAAATCAAGTCCCTCACATATAAATCGAAGGCGGAATTCGTCACCGACCTAAACCTGATATGGGACAACTGCCTGCGCTACAACCAAGATATGGGACACCCTCTGCGCCGGATGGCCAATGGCATGAGGAAAGAGGCCGAGAAGCTTATTCCTCTCATCCCGGACCTTGTCATCAGGCCGCGAGCCGAAGTCGAGGCAGAAGAGCGCCGTAAACAGAATGGTGGCGAGGAAGACGGTGGTGACGACTCGGACGATGAACCGATAATGTCATCTCGCGGTCGTACTGCCGGAACCAAGGGCGCCAAGTCTCGGAAACAACCCACCGATCAGAAGGAAGGCACCCCCAGTGTTGACCAGAAACCGGTGCTGCAGCTGAACGGCCTGCTGGCTAAGGGCCGAGAAGGCTCTGAAGCAGTTGACGGCAGCGGATTCGGTACGCCCATCGCTGGCTCAGCAACACCTGGTGGCGTCAATGGACACTCGGGCATCGGAAGCAATGCTGACGCTATGGATATCGACGGGCCCACGTTGAACGGTATGGCCTTGGGACAAGCTCTCAACGAGGCTGCGGAACAGGCCTATGAGGACGAAGAGTACAAGATCTGGAAGCAAGTGACGAAGAAGGATCGCGCACTCATCGCCAAGGAACGGTATCAGCTTTTCAAGGATAATAAGCTCAACACCGACGCTCCAGCTCTCCTCCGAAATAAAGCCGGTATTCGATGGTATCTGAGGGGGCAAAAGGAAGCCGAGGCCCTGGGCGTCATTGGCCAAGCCCAGGCGGACTCATCCGCCATTGCTGCTAAAGAGGCCGCGAAGCCCGCCGAAACTCTGGCTGAGGGTATGGAAGGAGAAGAGGAAAAGATTGTACCAGCGTACTACGAACCTCTGACAGTTCTACCGGATATCCAGCCCAAGCTGCAGTGGATTGAGGATGGCGAGGGTCATGTCATCAATCAGCATGAGGAATATCTTCGCATGATCCCCGAAGGCCACTTCAAGGCGCCCAAGAGCAAGTTTGCCAGCAAGATCGACAGCAACATCCATCAGATCCAGGAGACGAGGAAACTCTCGAGCAAGATCGGCGTGATTAAGCAGATGCAGATCCAGACTCAGGTATATACAGGTGTCGCCGGCGGGTGTATAAGTCTTCTAACTCGTGTGTTTTAGGTTTACAACAACCAGTTTCCCAAGTCCAACTACGAGTCTTTCGTGGAGCAGGATGCCGAACCATCCTTCATCGCAGATGATGGCCCAGTCATTGCACCAGAGACTTGCCGTAGTGCCTTACAGCGCTCTGTAGCCAAGATCCTCTACCACACTGGTTTCGAAGAGCTTCAGCCCTCTGCTATTGACACCATGACGAGCTTAGCATCCGACTACTTCGAGAAGATCATCAAGACCTTCAATGTGTATCGCGAGGCGGAGAAGATCGAAGCACCAGCATCCCGTGCCGAAGGAAGCTCTCGATTCCAGTCACGCTTCACTCCCGAGGAAGTTATCTTGCACACGCTCGATGAAAACGGTTGCGACTTGCTTAGTCTGGAGTCTTACGCTAAGGACGAAGTCGACCGACTCAGCACGAAGCTTGGCGGCATCCACGAACGTATGAAGTTCCATTTGACCGAGCTTTTGCGGCCTGCCCTTACCCAGGAAGCCGGACAAGACGGTGTCGGTGCCTTCAAAGACGGCAGCGAGCAGTTCGTCAGTGGTGACTTTGCTGAGGATCTCGGCGAAGACTTCTTTGGTTTCAAGGCCCTTGGTCTGGACAAGGAGATGGGTCTGGATATGCTTTCGGTTCCTCTTCACTTGCTTCAGTCCCGTGTTCGCAACCAATTCCAGATGCAGACACAGACGGTTGGCGCGGAGGTTACCGACCTCTTCGAATCCTTGCCGCCTGTTGAGCCCATTACGACGGAGAATATCCACGGCCAGATTGGTCTCGTCAAGAACTTCTTCCTGGCCAAATTACACGCTAACGGCGATACGCCCTTGGTCGAGGATGAGGAGCTTCCTGTTAAGCAGAGGCGGCCCAGACCCCGCCTTGGCGCATCTGGAAAGATTGTCTCGCCGCAGAAGCGGCCGCCCAAAGAGCAGATTGCCCTTGCCAAGAAGAAGAAGAAGATGGAATTGGCGGCGCAAGCCAACAAGGATGCCAATGCTTCACCAGAGAAGAAGACCGAGACTTCACCGGCAAAGAAGGTCAAGCACGCCAGCATCAATGGCACCGGGCCCAATCCAGCGGCGATCGCGCTGCCTTCAAGTATGGAGCGCAACGAGAGCATGCAAAGCCAGGGCAACGCCAGTCAGACCGACAAGGACGAGCCCATGGGCATGATGAGTCCCGAGAGTATCGAGAGATGAGACACAAGGACATCATGAGACTTGCGATTTCTCACACACATATATATACCCGTTTTCCATATACAAACAAGGCGACTTATTGGCGATCCTGCCGCCGAGTCCCGTCCCGAGCGGAAACGAGTTTACATTACCACCTTTCCAGAAGCATGTCGCGGAAGCAATCGAGAAGGCTTTGCATTCATCAGCAGTCTCTTTGCATCCTTCACAATCCTCAGACATTGCTTGGCATCGTACACCTCTTCAATATACGATTTTGATCCACACTCCCTTTTTTCATTTCACCAAAAATCCCTCGGCGTTGAGGTTGGATTGTCGTTTCGTCGTTCGGGAAGGGAAGATATAATGCTGCACAAAGAAAACCCCAAATCACATAGCTCGGCGCGGCTATTACTAAGAAGACTGGGATACCCAAAAAGCCAGCAAACTGGCGGTCACTCACGGAGGGAATCGTTATCAGAGAAGAGACCGAAGATGTGCGGTCTGGTTTCTTGTCATTTTTAACAGTGCAAGGGTGGATATGAAGTTTTTCTTGTCCGGTGGCGGTACTGCAGCGCGGAAGATATTCCGCCCTCGGACTAGAGAAGGGCGGGGTGGTTTTTACTTGGTCAACGAACTGTTTTGTTCTTATTCATCTCGTATAGTACAGATGACGGGACCGCCACCCTTTATGATGGAAAGGCGGAAGAAGTTTGGAGGTTGTCTCTTCCTTGTCTTGTTGTTTCGGGATGAGGCTAAGATACGTGAGGGACCAAGAAGACTCTGGGAACTTGGACAGATGACCGGATGAGAAATAGCCTCGGCGCATGGCTATCTTCATGACAGCATTTTGGTTGACCCATCCATGACATCCTTCTCGTCTTGCGTCTTTGGGGGGTTCCAGGGCATGCGTATGAAGATTTTTCTTGTAAGATTGATAAAAGGGAACGCGGGGTGGATGCATGCTGCTGTCTAGGAGTTGACTCCTTTTACTCTCTCTCTTTGAGTTTGTTGATACGATTGCGATGCGATGCTCGCTTGGGAGTTGATAGATGGCGTGCTTTTTGTCCACCAGTAGTAGTTTTTTTTAGTTGTTTTTCTCTTGTAGTAGGGCCGCTGCGGTTGGGCCGAGATCAGATCGAATCGAAATGAAAATATGATGAATGAATTTGACGTTTCTCCCTGAAAAGGAACGTGTTGGAGGGAGATCATAGGTGTAGGCTATGATTGCTGCCCCCTGAGGTTCAGGCTGTTGCTGTCGTGGAGCGTAGTTGCGCGTTGATGATCTTGGGCTTTGGGTCATGTGCTGGGCCAAGCTCTTCCTGCTCGGAGATTGATCGCAAGCAAGGATCGCTGAGAAACCTATCATGGAGGACGATAGGCATATTTTCAGGAGGGAGGTAATAGGCGATTTTGATGAGGCAATTACACGAGGCTCTGAAGAGTTCAGTATAGTCATCGCGATATCGTTTCTCATGAAGTGATGGATGGCTCCAGCTCCATCATCCACTATTCTACATTGCTCAATCCGTCTACTCTACGCAACCCAAAATGGCTCCCGAGAATTGCCTGTTTTAATGGAACGGCATACTCGAAGAAGCCCTCCCATCTTCGTAGTTGTGGCTCCATGGCTAGTGGGAATGATAAAGGACTGATTGCCCCTGAACCCGAAATCCATCCGGACGGAGCTTTCTGACTGTCTCTTTGTGACTCGTGGCTCAACCAGGGAAGCTTGGTGGCGATGGCGCTTTCCGCGTTGGTATCTCTGGGCTATCAGACTGCGCCGCTCATGCATGGCACTGGTTTCCTGTCTTCCTTTGTTCATGGGGTAGATTGTACGTCCAGATGACTTGTCATACTATCGGTGTCAGGGGTTTCTGATGTTGGGCAGGCTGGAGAAAAGTGTCAATATATCAAATTGCGGATATCGTCGGACCTAGGTATCAAGTTTTCAACTGTGTTTACTATAGTATCCCTACTTTAGGTGTTGCGATGAAGTGAAGGGTCGGAGAGATATCGAATGGGGCAGGCAAAGGCTTGGCCTTCCTCCCACTCGGGACAGTCCTGGTATAGTCTGTCGAATCAAGTGCTCGTCCGACTCTCAGAAAGATGTGTTCAGCTAGTGTAGGCACTGAATCAGCGCGTTCAGAACGAATGACAGGAGTGTTGACTACTGTGAAACCATACTTAAGACCAAGGACGATAGTGTCTGTCTCGGAGATGGGCACAGCGGTGAACCTGTCAATGGAGACTCTGGTCATAGCAATCAAAGCCCTGGTCCCTACAGTGCTCGACCGAGCTCCTGGGTATGACGAACACACAGGATCACGGCACGAGTGAATGGCGACGCATATTTGCCACACCAATCTATCGACATGTCAAGCGACTGCCGATGGCATCCCATGACCGGAGAAAGCCATTCCTCGCTTGAATTCCTCGCAAGAACCACGGCATGGCGTGTCACTTGACACATCAAGTCTGCGCACAGGTGTCTAGATGAATCAAGCGGGGCCCATGGTCGACGGGGACACTCATGCTACCTTGGAACTAGCGATCTGCACGATACATCCCGAGGACACGGTCAAATAATATAGAGACTTCCATATGCAATGTTTAAAGTCAATCACTCAGGTGATTGAACGGTATTGGCTCTTCTATGAATCTTCAACATATTCCTCTTCCTCGCACGGCGTCAAATTCTTCACATTCGGAACTGGTAGCTGCGATTCGGCCATAACCAGCATCAGCTTCTTGTGAAATAAAGACTCCGGCCCACCAATGAGCAAAAGTGCTTTCTGAAGAGAATGCAGTACATCTCTAGCCCCTAGAAGCATACTATTGCATCCGGGTTGTAGGGAGCTAGACAACCACGTGTTGCAAGCTAGGACGTCAATGAGAGCATCGGCAATACGGAAGACTTTCAATTCCTAAAGGAGAGGGAAAAGTTGCAAATTGTCAGCGGTCTCGATGCGTTTAGAATCTCGGCAGACCTACGTGGTGGAAATACTTACTAGGCCATATCCGTGGGTCCGAATGGCCTGCTGAGAAACAGACCCGAGAAGACGCATGGTCTCGTGAGCAACCTTGGCAGGCTTCAGCATGGAGAGCATTGTATCATCCATGCGACTAGACATCTGGTAGTGGCTCAGAGCGAACTGCCACCAGAGTATGTGGATCCAGTTTCCCGTCATCAGCACGTTCACTCGCTGCGTCTCTGGGAGGTTGGGGGCCAGGGCCGAGAAGTCCTGTTTGGCCATGGCGGAGAGGGCGCTGTAGAGGTTATCGGCGTTGCTGGAGTCGGGAGTGACTCCCCCTCTGTCTGCCGCCATGACTATGTTATCGTCGAGTAGGGCGAAGAGTTGAGCGAGGAGTTGGAAGGAAGCGTCCACCTCGCCGACTCCTTGGATGTGAAATCCGGAGAGTGGGAAAGTCTGGATTGGCTTGAGGCATGGTGGAAAACAGTTTTGCACGCAGAATGTCCTGTTTCTTCACTGTAAGCAATCTGACTCTCTCCATAGAGAAGGCTTATCAACTGAAAACGTCGGCAGTAGCATGGATAGGGGGGAAACTCACCTCTCGGTTACGAACACCAACCAGAAGATCCGCAACAGCAATTCTCGTTGGTCCTCTGCGAGGCTGACCAGGATCTCTGGGCGGTGCAGGCTTTGCAAATGTAATTGAGAAATTGCCTCGTGTAAGTATACCGTGGCTAGCCTGATGCGTTCTGTATTGGCGAAGTAAATGTGTAGAAAGAACGCAGTCAGCAAAGACACCGTCGTGTCTTCCTTGTAGTAAGTACTTTGATGATGCTGATTGCTCAGATTATGCGAGAGTTGAGCATGATGTGCAAAGCTTTCCGCAATGCTGTTGTCATCTGATGCCAAGTTATGCTGCTTGGAAAGGCGCAATTGAGATAGTCGTAGCTGAGCAATTACCGTAGCACAGACGGCTCCTGCTAATGCCCATGCATCGTGATCATTCGGCGAACCACTGATTCGGGATTTCAGTGATTCCACGTTGACGATAGGCCAAACACATGTTAGATGGTCTCGAAACTTGTCCAGGTATTCGATGTAAACCTCCAAAGGGTTCTGCTGTGCAGTACTCTCGTTCTCCACGCCGGGAGTTGACGGCGATCTGGGACTTTGCGTTGGTCCACGAGCCGGAAGAGGGAGACCTGATCGATTCTGCCGAATCTGTTCTTGGTAGTTTACCACCTTGTGAGTGGTGCTCGATCGAGGCCCTTTCGGTCCTCTCTTTCGTGGAACCCGAAGAAATGTGCACTCAACTGATCTTTTTCGGCATTCGTTGCAGGGTGGGTTGCTTCCTTGTAAGTGGCATCGTACTCGCCGAAGCGAGCATCCATCGCAGGGATAGTTGGTGCGCTTCTTGCCTTTCTCCATCTTTCGGTAATGAAGTTTACGATTACATGAGATGTCGGAAAAGTGAATTATGAAAATAGCCAAACCTGGTTTCAAGTCTGGAAGACTGCAGTTGTGTTTCCTAAATACCATTTCAGGCGAATAAATCAAGCGACTGACTCTTGTGGGGTATGGATACCCAGACGCGGATCTCCCTTTTCAACCCATCGGCTCCGGGGCCCCTCCTTGTCAAGGTCATCGGATTTCCATGGGTAGTTAGAAATACGACGAGAATTTGACCGGGCACAAGAGTCTCGGCCTTGTCGCTTGAACTTTTCGCTTGAAATATCCCCGGACCAACCCGCATTATCCACATGGAACCAACGCTACTGCCCTTGACGGCTAGGTTGTCCGAGACCCGAGTCAACCACCACCTGATTGCCACGAGAAAAATTGCAGGTCAGCGAAAGCCCTCCAAGACTACGTACGATGAAAGAACCACCGATGCAGGCTGCCCGTCGGATGATGTTGGCGCTAGCGAAATGTTTCTGGGGAAAGGCGGGTTGATGATTTTTGTTACGGAACTCAACCCACGCGAGCGAGAGGCATCAAGATAAATAGTTCTTCATCGTCACGAACTCGGAAACATGTTCCCCAGATTTCCCCAGACTTTACTGCAACCTTCTCCATCTTCCCCTGCCATCTTATCAGCTGTCTAGAGTCTGTGCTATCAATGGCGACTACCCCGGTCAACGTCGAGACTGCAAATGCACTCACAGATCCGAGTGCTGCGGAAAAAGACAGCAAACATGAACCGGTACTTCTGGATCATGTAGCCCACGATGCTCAAGCGGCGACGGAGGGCCAGAAGAATATGTCGGTCATGGAGTCCTTCCGGGCGTACCCCAAGTCTGTGGCATTCTCAATGGTCCTCTCTCTCTGCATTGTCATGGAGGCCTACGACACTTCCCTGATTGGCAACTTCTACGGCTTGCCACAGTTCCGCCGAAGATTCGGAGTGCGATTGGAGAACGGCGACTATCAACTTACATCAACATGGCAGTCGGGTTTACAAAATGCTACTCAAGTTGGTCAAATGATCGGACTCTTCATCGGTGGCATCGTCGCGGAACGCTACGGATACAAGAAGACTTTCCTCGGTGCCCTAGTCCTTAACATCGCCTTCATCTTCCTTTTCTTCTTCGCGCAGAATATCGGCTACCTTCTCGCAGGAGGTCTGCTTTGTGGCCTCCCTTGGGGTGCTTTCCAAGCCTTGACGACAACCTACGCAGCCGATGTCACGCCCATGGCCCTTCGACCGATCATGACAACTTATACCAACATGTGCTGGGTCATTGGGCAATTCATCGGTACTGGAGTCCTGCGAGGACTCCTTTCTCGCCCCGACGACTGGGCGTGGCGCATTCCCTACGCCATCCAATGGGTATTCCCTTTGCCGATCATGGTTGGCGTTGTACTCGCACCCGAGAGCCCGACCTGGCTGGTTCGTAAAGGCCGTCTGACCGATGCTCGTAACGCTCTGCGGCGACTAGCAAGTTCCTCGACAACTGATGCTGAACTCGATGTCAGCATCTCCATGATCGCCCATACGAACGAGATGGAGAGACTGAACTCGGAGGGAACATCATACATCGACTGCTTCCGCGGCACCAATCTTCGCCGTACGATGATTGCTTGCTTCGTGTGGGTGGGACAAGTTGCTTGTGGCATTTGGTTCGGCGGCAACGTCATTTACTTCCTACAACAAGCTGGCTTTGACTCAGATAACTCTTTCAGCTTTGGTCTGGGAACGAGCGCCATGGCCATTGTCGGCACTTTTCTCTCCTGGTTCCTCCTACCCCATGTCGGACGCCGCACGCTATATGTTGTTGGCCTTTGCATCATGTTCACCGTGCTAGTGACCGTCGGCGGCATGGGCATTCCGGCTCCTCGCCCGGACCTAGGCTGGGCATCGGGAGCCTTGTTGATGGTCTTCGTCATCACATATGACATGACAGTTGGACCGACTTGCTACTGCTTAGTCGCAGAGATCCCTTCCACCCGGCTCCGAATCAAGACGGTCGCCATTGCTCGCAACGCCTACCTTCTTGCTAGCATCGGCGCCAACTTCTTGAACCCACCCATCATCAACCCCAGCGCCTGGAACTTGAGAGGAAAGGGTGGATTCATCTGGGCAGGTATTTGCTTTTGCGAACTGGTTTGGGCGTACTTCTGTCTTCCCGAACCGAAGGGACGCTCCCCAGCTGAGCTTGAAATGCTGTTCGAAAACCGCGTGAGCGCCCGCAATTTTGCCCAGGCCAAGGTGGAAGTGTTTGCAGATAATGTGGAGAGTGATGAAAAGCACGATGGACCGATGGCGGTCAACGTTGAGGACCGGTGAGTAGGAATAGTAGCTAGAAAAAGCCGCGGTCAAATACATCATGAGCTTCACCGAGAAACTGTACGAACTCCTTCTTGCGTTTTCCGCCGATAGGATCTTTGAGAAATTGATCTCCTGTGTTCGTCAATGCAGCGAGAGACTAAATAGATCACTTAGTAGCTTTGATGATCATCGGGAGTGAGGATAGACACGGCAGCATTGTCTTGAAGGCCGTTTACGCACAATAAGTACCCAGTACAGGCATGATGTGTATCACATCCATCCTTGTTCGTATTTACAATCTAGTTGTCGTATACAGAAGCAACTTCTAATGCCTCAAACAATCATTGCGGCCGCAAAGTTCAATTGAGGTGTAGTAGGAAGCAGTGTCCTCCGATACCCAACCGGATGTGACAGAACCAAACGTCTTGGTTCCATGAAACAAGCAAAGATCTCAGACCATGTTACCAAACCAAGACTCCAACCCAATATCTCCGTTGGGTATCACAATCGAGAACCTCTTTAACGACAGACACTGCTCGTAAGCAAAAAGACACGGGCTCGACGCTTTAGAAGAGTGTCATCCGCGTCTATATACGCAGTGGGGTAGTCTGCGACTTCCACTTCTTCTGCCTTGAGGCCGGCGTCCAAAATGCACGATCTCTTCATCCGACAGCCAGCGCTGCGATTCCTGTTGCTGATGTTGTTGCAGGCTGGGACTGAGGGTCATCAGCTTCGTTCTCTTTGCAACATAGGGTTCATCCTCGCGTTCCCCAGCCTGTTCGCGTCTTCTCTTGACAGAAAGGAGAGATTTTGGCTCGGCACTCTTTGGTGTGGGTGTATTCTGCGTCAAACGCTGGGCTGGCCTCTCCGGAGAGTGAGAAGAAGCCGGCGTGTTGTTCTCTGAGTCTTTCTTGTTCGGGTCCACTTTAGATTGCTCGGGCACCAAGAAGAGAATCTCTGGCATGTGCCTTTTAATTTCTTCGAACCACTGAGAGCATCGTTTCATGACGAGTTTCTTCAATCACTGCTCACAGAGGTAAGAAGTGAAGTTGCTTGTACTGGAGTAGTGATCTTCGAGGAGGTCTTGGCGCTTGTTGCGCGGGATCTGGCGCCAGACAGAGTCTGGAGGCGCAACAAACTTCGAGAGAAAGAGAAAGAAATTGAATACACGTGAGTACGCGGCAACGAGGAAGTAGTATTTAGCCCCAGTTTCTGTTATTTTCTTGGCAAGCTGAGCCGTAAGGCAAATAAGACCAAGACGTTGTTCACCAAGTACAGTGTGTGAAAACTGAGTCGAAGACAGTTTGGTTGGTAAAGAGGTGGACTCGTGTTGTGAGAAAAAGGAGAGTCTAGTGTGAAAGAAGTGGTTGTATGAGGCGCAGAGAAGTATGGTATGTTCAAGAAGAGACTTTGCAGAACGTAGAGAAGTGTATGTAATGGAGAAGAGTGCGGTTGATGCCGAGCGAAGAGAATGAGGATCCATGGGAGATGAAGAGCGGTTTATATTAGTCTAGATAAACGAGGAGTAGAGTACCGCTACGGTCCAGGGCATCAACCTTGGTTCGTTCAACTGCAAAGGTTTGACCTAGATGTCGGAGTGAGCAAGCTGGACAACAGTGCCTCCTCGACAGAGTCTGCGATATCGAGCAAATTATTGGCTGACCGAGAACTTCAGCTGGTTGAGATCGAGGCTTTAGGGGTTCGCCGGCTGTGTAAAGTCTACAGATGTGCCAAACAGGTGTGGTGTGGACGTCGAGCAAGACCCTAGTCCGGGAAATCAGCTTGAAGATGTATCTCCGAGATCATTCTGACAGCTCTAAGCCGCGGCAGAGCGATTGAGATACGATGGGGACGACATCACGGTCCACGAAACTCGGTCGACCTGGAACTTCAGGTCTACGCCACCAAGCGTCATCCCGCGCCATTATAACCTTACCCAAGTGTTTGGGTAGGCACCCAGCAACGTACAAGATGCCATTCGTGTGTCCGTGGAGAGTAACTCTTGACCTGGAGAGACATTGATCATACCGCCCCCCCCCCCTCTCCCTCAAGTAAGGAAGAGAAAAGTCCTCAACTACAGTACACTACGGCATGCAATTTCGAGACGACGTAGCGTATGGGACCGATAGTAAGCAGGATCTGCTGTCATATAAATAGCTCGTTTGACTATGGCCTGTGACTCTCTGCAGATGAGTTTCTGGTTCGGAACTGACTGAGCAGTGAGAGTCGTCGAACTCAGTACGGATGATCAGTGAAATGAACTTGAAAGCTTTATTGTTGTGCCTCGTTTGAGGGCTTCGACGGCTAGTCTCTCGACAATCAGGGCACCTGGGCTCTGCTCTGGGTTTGGTCGGATGTCCTCGGTCGCTAAGCTATCATGGCATATACGAAGGCAGTGGGTTTCCCAGTATTCTAAAGTGTTATAGATGGCCAGGCTCAGAAAAATACGGACGTCAAGTTTGCCATGGGGATAAAATAGAAAATGCCTTGCAAATAGCAATCCAAAAGATTCCTGCCTCAGTGAATGATCGATCGCTATATTCACCTCTGCCTGAGAAAACTTCTCCATACGAACTGGAAGATCGGGTAGAGGGGCGATTGGAGGCGTATCCTGCTTTTGACAGAAGAGCTTTCTGTTAATGTCAACTTATCAAGTTCAGTTGTGTTGGAGGTCCCGTACTAGCACTGACTTTCCCATATCAAGCCGAGTTTTTGGCGGTAGGCCGGCTCCGAAATCTGCGGCTCCGAGATTATTCTCTTTCGTGAACTGCATTAGATGAAGGATACTCTCCTGAGCCGCGCGAGTGACTCGTTGAAGCCACCTGTGTAAGTTGGCTTCTTGTTGCACCAACTCGAAGACCGTAAAGATGAAAGTCCGCGAAGATGAATTGAGATTTTGCTTGCGGGAGCTGAGCGTTGATATAGAACCGGATAGACTCAGGAAGCTAAAGGCTTTGTACTGGATGTCATCCGAGCTGTGGGGGCTAACGGACTTAGACGCGGCCTTTAGCAGTGGCTGACACCCCTGCACATGGAGCCGAACGTCATAACCTCTATTACGATGACTCGCTAGTTTCAAAAATGAAGCCATAGAGGCAGAATAAGTCAAACAATTCGCGGATCTGGCATTCGGATGTATCTGTTATGGCCAGTAAATCTGCGGTTTGCTTACATCTCTAGAGAAAGTTTCCGGGCTAAAGCTGTAAGACATGGATCCGCTTTGCGACAACGACTGATGACGACCCTGCACGAGAAGTTATATAAATTCACCTAGTCTGTCCCTCAATATCTATCAAAGGATGTATCACTTGCAATTCTACAAAATCATCATCTTACTACTCGCTGTCCCTACACATCCACCCTCTCTGCTCACCAATCGCGGTCATCCAATCCACATATGTATCGACAACACCAGCGTTATACAAGGCATCCGCGGCAAGGCGCCGGACTCGTCACAAGACGCGTTCCTCGAAATCCAAGAAGCGGCCAGGATATTTGATATACGGACGCACTGGTCCCCGGGACACCAGGGCATCGAAGGAAACGAGGCCGCGGACCGGCTGGCCAAAGAAGGAACGACACTGCCGGCGCGGATGGGTCAAATGGCAACACTAGCGGGCATCAAGCGGCTTGCAAGGGAAAAATTACAAAGCCAGCACAGGAGATGGTGGTATAAAGAGCGAAGGCCGCGGTACGCGGACTTGGGGCTTGAGGCAGCTCTGTCCAGCCCTCCTGAACTGGCCTTGCCGCGGGCTACGTTACATCACCTGCTGGCGGCACGATCGGGTCACGGGGACTTCGAGCAATATCACCGACGTTTCAACCACGACGACGCTCTAATGATGTGCTCTTGTGGAGAGGCGAAAGACGTGGACCACCTGGTCTACTGTCGACTAACGCTGGCGAGGAGGCAACGGTGGCCGACCCTCCACTCTCGCAGTATGCCCGAGCCCATAGGTCCTATGGGATCTCTCGAGGCCTACTTCAAGAGATTAATCACCGACCCACGAGGCTTCGAGGCCTTTCTCCGCGTGACGGACTTCTTCCAGAAGATCTGTCTGCGGTAGCAGCATCCACACCTAGGTAGATGTGAGTGCGGACTACAAAGAACCTCCCGATTCCAAGGGACGATTTGGGAAAGAATGAAACTGGGGCACCAGCGGGAACCGGGGACAGACAGAACGCGTAGTGGCCACAAGGCATGATTTGGAGGACGATGTAAAGAGACGACGTACTGTAGAGTAGGTAGCCTTGGCTCACGGCCCTCCACGCCATATACCCTTCGGGAGGTCTGCGGTAAGGGCTCTAGCCCGGCCGCCACGGCGTTAAATACAACAACAACAACAACAACTACACATCCACCCTCGTCACTCCAATTCCATACCAAGATGGTCAAAACTCTCCCCATTGGCGGCATCCGCGTCCCAGTACCGGGATTCGGTGCCATGGGCATCACGTCGGCTATGGGCACTAGGCTCTCGGCCGAGCAGGCGGAGCCGGTGCTTCTGAAAGCCATCGAGCTGGGCTGTACCTTTTGGGACACTGCTGTGAGTCTGTCCTCACGTAGCAAGTCTTTTCATGGCATTTTCTCATGTGATATCAGGTTGCGTACGACGCAGGTCTCAACGAGAAGATTCTCGGGGACTTCATTCGCAAGCACAACGTCCGCGACAAGGTCTTTGGTAAGCTCTACTTGACTCGAGGCCTCGTGTTACGACCTAGTGCTGATCTTCACATGTCAAGTTGCTTCCAAGTGTGGCTTTGATGTCTTCAACGATCGCAGTGTCACCAACTCGAGATCTCACATCCGGTCTTACATCGATGGTACCATCGAAAGACTAGGCTTCGCACCAGACCTGTACTACTTGCACAGAATCGACCCGAGTATGGAATCCTCTTTATCCTGTTTCTACTCATCTAACAAAGATTATAGAGACACCTCTCTCGGAGTCCATCGCTGCTCTTGACGAGATCCGGAAGGAGGGAAAGACCAAGTACATTGGCCTGTCAGAGTGCTCTGCCAAGACACTTCGCGAGGCTAACTCGAGTATGTCCTATCCGCCACAACGGCAGCTCAATCTCTTCTGTGCTTGAACACTGACACTTGAAAGTCGCCAAGGTTGATGCAGTCCAAGCGGAATACTCTGCCTTTGAGACCCTCCACGAGGAGAGCGGTCTCATCCAAACGGCCAAGGAGCTGGACGTTGCCTTTGTAGCGTTTAGCCCATTGGGCCATGGTTGGCTGGTCGACAACTTCGATTACCAGAGTCCCGACGACTTTGCGCCCGATGACTTCCGTCGAACTGGTACGTAGTCATAAGCATTTGAAAGCCTTCTTTGCTCTCTCCTCTAGTGGACACATTTTCTGACCTGCACCACAGTCCCCAAATTCCAAGGAGAAAGCTTTTACAAGAATAAGGCCATCGTGGACGAGATGAAGAAGATCGCTGCCGAAAAGGGCTGTTCTCTTGCTCAGCTTGCTCTGGCCTGGGTGGCTGCCCAAGGTCTCATCACCATCCCAGGCACTACCAAGCCGAAGAGGCTGGAGGAGAACTGGGCCTCCCGGGATGTGGAGTTGTCGGAGAGTGAGGTTCTTGCCATCAGGAAGCTGGTGGAAGCCAACAAGCCTGAGGGAAAGAGATTCTCAGCAATGCATGAGGCCGCAGTCGGCCACTAGTATGGACCGTCTGGATCGTGGGCTGATGCTTCCAGCGCTGGCTGTAGATCGCCTGGAACTCAAGCTCGAGAGTAGAGATGCATATATAAATCAGGTGCAATCATCACGTACTCATTTCCGCCTTCCTGAATAACTTGCACTCATCCTGCCATACCCTCGGAGGAAAATTACGGAGTCGTTCCGGCATCTTCATACAAGAGCTCCGGACGGTGATCGGTGGCCGGCGGGGTTATCGGGTCCACAGTAAGCGGGTCAACCGGACCAGCTCCCTTACACCATGCCCCGCAAAACCGCGCTAAGCTCTGGAGCTGAGTACCTACCTCAGTATCCGGACGCAAAAGTTTGCCATGTGAATGCTGCATACGTTGCGGTAAGCAGCTTGTATTCATTGCCGGTCTGCGATAGAGCGAACTCAATTTGAATGCTTCTCCCGCCTTTACTGCGCCAATTGCCGTGTAGGGCACGGCGATGCAAGTTGTCTCGGCTGGCAGCCTACAAGGCGTACCGAGGCCACGGTGGCCGTTGATTGCAAAGGAATGTTAGAAGCCATGGAAAAAAGAGCTTCGCGCAGCTCGCCGTTTCTCCCTAGTGAGACAGGGTGTCAATGCCAGGGGTGGAAATCTATTTCATTCAGCACACGCGTCCAGCCACGTGTTCACGAGAGTTGCTGATAAGATATGATGTCGAGGCGGAAAAATGGATATCGCGATGTGAAACAGACAGGTCGACAACAAGACAAGAAATTGTGGATTGGATTGATCAAATAGACTTTGGCGGCTTGAGTCAAGACCGGCGAAGACGGGCAGTAATGTCGGCACCTGCGGAGCTCAATGCTACGATTTTAGCGGCGGAAATCAAACATGACGATGTCCCGGTGGTGCCCAATTGAAGAACGAAGAGCACGACAGCATCTCAGCGTACGGATACATGATACATGTGAAGAGCCAAATGGAGAGCTCTCAGTATGTAAGGTACGGGGCAACATCGTATTATTTACAGAAGATGCCTAGTCAGGGTCCACGAGCCGGGGGGAAAGGTCCCTCCCTCCCTTCCATCCACCGGGCTCATTGTGTCGTGCTTCAAGGTGGAGCCCAAGCCTCATGGCGCCACAAGAGCTCAACAGGCGCACCTGGCCCGTGCACCACAGCTGGGGCGGTGCAATTTCCACGCTGCGAGAAATTCCATTTACTGGCAGAAGGGGCCAAAACTTAGCCAACCAAGCAGGCCTTCGAGGAGATACAAGCAAAGGGCACACGACAGAAGCGTCAGATTTCTCCTCCGACACATTGCTTCAATCAACAGCTTGCTTCCATCGGCAGGATTGGATTGATTCTCGCCATATTTAGCCACCATCACAAAAGGGTGTCCCCAAACTCCTGACACATAACCCACAAGGCCCATTTCAGCCCGCGCAGCAGCTGTCAGCTCCCTGGCCCGATCGCCGAGATAGGGAGAGAAAGAAAGCGCCTCGACATCACGACCGAGCGCCCGCAGCCTTACGACCTGCAAGTAACTTTCCAACACCTTGCTGGCACGTCCTTCATCGCCTTGCTATCCGGTGACGACCTGCGCGACCTGCGACGAGTGCTTAGCGTCTCATCTGCGACCATTGCTTGACCGGGCCCGAATCTCAGGATAATCCCCGAGCCAGCCCTACCTCCCTTCCCCTTTGACGATATACCCACGACACCATCTCGACATCAGACACAATGTCAGCAGCGGCAGGAGGTCTTACCCGACGCCGTGGAGGCGGAGGTGCCGCCGGTGGTGATGGTGAGGCCAGCAATGGCGCCAGCCGGACCAACTCAACGCCCAACATCAAGGATAGCGCCCCCGAGACGAGCTACGAGAGCGGCGAGAACGGCCACAAGATCGCCTTCGACCCCCGCGATATCAGCGAGAGCGCCGAGCGCAGCAAACAACCTAAGCTGACGTTGATGGAGGAGGTACTGCTCCTCGGTCTCAAGGATAAGCAGGTATGCCGACAACGAGCGCTGCGCACCGATTTCCACAAATGAAGCCAGGTCGCTAATTGACTTTTTACACGGTGCAGGGTTACCTGTCATTCTGGAACGACAACATCTCATATGCTCTAAGAGGATGCATCGTCATCGAACTCGCATTCCGCGGTCGCATCAGCATGCAGAAGGATGCCTCGAGAAGACGCTTCCCTCTCGCGGACCGCGTCATTGAGGTTATCGACGACACCCTGACAGGCGAGGTCTTGCTTGATGAGGCATTGAAGATGATGAAGCAGAGCGAGAAGATGAGTGTCAGCTCTTGGATCGATCTGATGAGCGGTAAAGCTACCCCCTCTTCCCCCTCCCTGAAATGGAATGGAGCACTGCGCTGTCCACATCGCCCTTGGAAAGCACTCTGGCTGACGGATGTGGTCCACCTACAGGAGAGACCTGGAACCTGATGAAGATCGGATACCAATTAAAGCAGGTTCGCGAGCGCCTAGCCAAGGGTCTAGTCGACAAGGGCATCCTCCGCACCGAGAAGCGCAACTTCCTGCTGTTCGATATGGCGACCCACCCCGTCGCCGACGGAGGTGCCAAGGAGGAGATTCGCCGCCGCGTCCGCAACGTTTTGACCCAGCGTACTGTCGTCCTCCCCGCATCCCAATTCCTGCCCGAGAACCTCGAATTCCGTTACGTCCGTACTCTTGCCATGGTGTGCGCCGCCTACGCTGCCAACGTGCTCGAGAACGCCCTGAGCACCCTCGGCCACGAGGCCCGCGAGCGCGCCTTTGCCCAGACAGACGAGCTTCTCGCCGACTACAGCCAATGGCCTTTTGGAAAGAAGGCTACCGGCAACGGTATCGGTGCCAATCTGCCTCAAGTCATCGCAGATGTATGTTGAACACAATTTCCACATGTGGCTTAATGGCCTGGATCTAACACTTTTGCAGGAAATCAGCAAGGGCAAGGACAAGGAGCTGCAACTCGAAGTTGTGGCTGCCTGTCTTAGTGTCTTCACCCGTCTTGATTCCCTCTTGTAAACCTAATCGACTTCGACACCCTCGAAACCGATCATTCCGCTGCCTCGACTTTGTACAGGGCAGAGCACTGCGCGAGTTTCGGGAACACGACTTTCCCATTTCTCAATCCCATTCACAACCTAGACACATCGAAACGCCCCGGCATTGAGCTCTACCGACCTTCACCAAATTCGAACCCTCACGAGAAATGATAAAATAAAGCAACAGGGGAAAGCGACTTTCTTATGCTCCCCATTAAACCAAAAAATGTGCAGCATGTAAGGTGGCCGTGGGGAAGCAGGATATTGGGTTCGCAAACTTGGGGGCAAAATATCATGAAAGGGCGCTATATCCTTCTTTTTGCCTCATGGGAGAGAAAAAGGTTTCCAGCAAGGGAAAAAATGAAGGATGATGGGATGGCGAAAAATACACACGCGTGTAGTTGGTTGGGTTTCAACTACTTTTTTCTACCGTAAGCGATCGTTTTAATGCAGAACACACTCAGTCCACGTCCCGAGAAACGAGAGCGCAGAGGGAAAATGAGTGTGAGAGATATCAGTTTGAAAGATTTCGTGGGCTTGTTCTGCCATCCGTCTTCTTGCCTCGTGTTGTTGTCCTAGCCGAAGTGTTCAAGATGTGGACATATATCCGGCAGGCGTTAGTGAGAAACTTGAATCTGGAGTCTTTCTTCCTTATAAGTCGTACCAACATCGTGACGATAGCCGTAATAGCAACCAGCTATCCTCTGCGATGACATAGAGCAGTTTCAGTGCAAGTTCATGAAGCGATGGAGACCATCATGGCATGGCTAGAACGATTGAAATATGTATTCATGGGTTCCCTCCTACGCCGCCGTCCCCCTTTTTTTGTGCAAAAGAAGAAACAAAACAATGTACAGTAGTTCTCTTTTTGTTCCCAAAACGCCGTTTTCCATCCATAGTGATGATGCAAAAAAAACCACTGGTCGGTTTTGCTCGAACACACACAACTTGTGTCCTGCCTCCACTGCTCCGGGGGGATATCGATTAATCTCCTGTATCGCCAACCGCTCTCACACCTCTGCCCAATTCCTCACGATCGTCTTCTTATGCCTCACACTTATTTCTTCTTCTTACCACCGCCAAAGCTCCCCTCAAACCCAGGACGCGCCTTGGTCTTCTTCGCCCCGCCACCGCCAACCTTCTTCCCGCTCTTGCGACCGAGCTTATGCGCCAGCTTATCATCTTTGCGCTTCTTCAAATTATCCTCGCGCTTCTTCTGCTTCTCGCGAATCGACTTCGCCACGCCGTCGCTGCGCTCCTTCCACGCCTTTTCGCTCTTCTTCTTGGTCTGCTCCTTGCGCTTGACCGCCCTCTTCAGCGCCTGCTCGTCGTCCCGCACGCGCTCGCCCTCGGCGCGTTTCCGGGCGATGAGCCACTGCTCCTTTTCAGCGATGTCGGCCTGTTTCTCCTTATCGAGGGCCGCGAGGCGCTTCTTTTGGTTCTGGATCTTAATGAGCGCCGTCTTAGGGTCCGAGGGTCCGCGCTTCTTGTGCGTGTTGAGCGCGTGGGAGAGGTCGTGCGAGAGCTTTGTCCCGTCTTCAAAGGCGACGCGGCCGAACGCAAAGTTGGCGGGCTCGTCGCCGTCGTCGCCGCCGAGGCCGACGCGGGGCGACATGACGCTGGGGGAGTTTGACGCGAGCGTCTCCTCGCGCCGGGCGTCCTCCTCGAGCTTGGCCTTTGTGCGGAGCTCCTTCTTGTGCTCCTTGCGCTGGGCCTGCTTGAAGCGGCGCGCCTCGATGAGCTCCTGGCGGGTGCGGATCGGTTTGCCGTCGGGGCCGTCTGCCTTGCGGGCGGCGCGGAGGGCTTCTATGCGGGCTGCGAGGCGGGCGCGGAGGGCGGAGGTGTCGGCGGGGAGTTTGATGTGCTTTGGCTTCTCGGAGGGCGGGACTGTGGAGCTCGTTGAGGTTGTCGTGCTCGCGGTGGCGGCGGCGGTGTCAAAGGTGGGCGAGGCCGATGCCGAGGCGCCGCTGGACTCTGTGGCCTTTTGTTGTTGGGCGAGGCCGGAGAGGTCGAGGGGGTTGAGGTCAGCGGACTTGGACTTTGACTTTGTCGCGGGTTCGGCCTCGTCGTCGGACTCATCGACGGTCTCGTACTCCTCGTCCTCATCCTCGTCCTTGTCCACGTCCCTGTCGTGGTCGTTGCTGACGGGCTTGGCGTCCTTGGACTCGGCCTTTTTCTGTTGCTTCTTGCTAGACTCCTTCTTGGCGGCCGCCGGGGACTTTGCAGCCTTGGTGGCGGCGGGCTTGCTAAACTCCTTGGCCTCAGGCGCTTCAGCATCAGCATCAGCATCCGCAGCGGCAGCGGCGTCGCCACCAGAAGCCTCGAGCTTAGCAGCCTTCTTCTCAGCCTTCTTCGCCTTCTTGGTCGCGCGCTTCTCCAGCTTGGCCTCCTTCTTTGCCATCCTCATGAGCTGGTTCTGCGACATCTCGGCAGGGTTGGCGTCGTCAATCGTGTCGATCGGGAGGTCGGCCGTCTTCTGCTTCTTGTAGTCCTTGTTCATCCGCAGGCCCTGGCCGGGCAGCTCCCTCTGCACGCCCGGAATAGGCTCCTCGTCCTCCTTGTCCTCTTCCTCCTGCATCGCCTCCAGCTTGCGCTTGTTGCGCGCCGCCCTCTCGTCCATGACCTCCTTTGCGTTGCGGTTCAGCTCGCTGTCGGGGTCCAGCTTGGCCGTCTTTGCGGCTTTGGCTTCGGCTTTCGTCTGCTTCGTCCGCTTCCATTGTTCCTGTTGCAAGAAAGAAGCGTAAGCAAAGTGCGCTCTTTTATGAAAGGCACCGTGGTGCTGTGTAGCCAAGGCACGAGCGATGGGAGAGGAGGAGAGAGCAGACTGGGTTCCTGTCGGTCGCTTTGCGATTTTGCTTTGAAGGGCCATTGAGGGATGTAAGGTGCGGACTGGGGGGCAAACGTACAGAGTTGTCTTCTCCATAGTACATCTTTGCCGGAATCAGGGACAAGAGACCATCAAAGGCCTTTGAGTGCTCGCGCAGGCGATCCTACGAAGCATGTTAACGTTGTGCCTTTCGTGGCGATCTCACAGGATCATCACCGCCGCCAGCAGCCTCTCTTAATTTTTTTCTCTTCGGCCAGTGGCGGGGCACGGGCAATACAACGAACCTGCAAAGTAGATTCCGCCATATTCCCTTTGTTCTGTTTCTTGGCTTGTGAAATTCTTATTGAAAGAAGTAAAAAGGCCCTTCTATGTGTTGGCCGCAAAAGGTTGGTTGGACTGCTGCAGAGCCAGACGAAATTTAACGGCTAGGCGGGTGCAAGCAGACTCGGTGAACAGAGACAGAGCTTTGATACTGCGGCGGTTGCGGGCGGATTGGCTGCGAATTTTCGGGCGGTTCGAAATTTTTTGGGGTGTGGAGAAATCGCTTATGCGAAATCTTGGCGCTTTTCTGCCGCCGGATCCTCACCTGTTTTTTGAGGCGGTGAGCTGGATTTCCACCCCGCAATGACATAGCGCCCCGATACACGCATCTTATCAAGTTCTCTGGCTTCAAACCCAAGGGTCCAAACTGCAGACCCCATCACTAAACCTCTGGCTGGGATTCACTCATCTTGAAACATATGCTTATCTGACCACCAGTGTCGTGGTTCCCTGCAGTGCAGCACTCAAATACCGAAATCAAGTTAAAACCACCAATCGCATTAATCACTGCTTTGATTGGTAGCAAGTCTTTCTAAGCATACATCTCTACTCCGGAAAACCAGAACGCAATTCGCAAATCTATCACACGACTTTGGAAACCCCACCACCACGAGTGGGTGAGTGGAACCGCCCAATTGTAGGCCCATTTCGTCCAATGATCAGTCCTACAAGCCCCAACGCCGCATTCCGGGGATTCCCATGCCGTCCCATGCCGTCCGAGGAGCAGTGCCGCCCAGCCTAATCATGTCACCCTCAGCAAAGTCAATGACCAAGAGAAGGCCATCGACATCACAACGCCTGTTCCGATTGTTTCGTTCGGATAAGACAACCATCCCTCGCTAGTCTTTCTCAAGTCATAGCCGCAACAGTAGCCTTCCTAAGGACTGTTCTCTATCGATCCACTTCTCTCCATTGTATGTTCGTTTGTTGCAAGCAATGTCTTTAAAGACACCGTTCCTCTCGACGGGGATATATGCCGTGGTCATATGGCATCCATTGTGTCATAATAGAAGGGTTTCTAGGCGATCTACGCGCCTGCCATTCCAGCTGCAAAGGAGGGCGTCTGCGGCTGAAGTGAGTAGCCGTTCGTAGACTTGGCGCTTAGCTCAGCCTGTCGCTGGCGATCGGCCTTCTCGCGCTCGAGCTGCTCCTTTTCAGACTTGGTGATACGCGGTTTGCGAGTAAGAGAGCCGCCTCGGGATCCGCGACCACCTCGGGAGCCTGGTCCGCCCCCACGACCAGTGCCGCCTTCGCCTCGAGTCGTACCGCCACGGCCGCCAATACGGCCGCCTCTGCTTCCACGACCACGCTTAGGCAGTCCGTCAGGTCTGGAATATGTTAGTGACCTATGCAATATAGAAATGAGAGTGAACGCAACATACCTTGTATCCGCAGGCTTCTCAACCTCTGGCACCAAAGGTCCAGAGTACACGAAGAAGCCATCTCGGCTGGCAGCCGCCTGCTGCTCCCACAGAAGCTCGGAATCGTCGACAAAGTCATCATCCTTGTCGTACTCGTCTTCTTTGAAATTGCGCTTCTTCTTCTTCGGCTTCTCGGGAAGGTCGGCACCACTCGTCATACCGCCCATCTCCACGTTACTAGCTTCCTTGTCTGAGTCCTCGGACATTTCGTCGCCAGATTCCTGGCCTGACGCCGTTTTCTCCAAGGCAGCCGAGGCAGCAGCAATGCGGGCCTTGCGATCTCGCTTCTCGGCCAGGCGAGGGTGCAGAGCATCCCAGCCATACTTCTCCTCAGCCATACGCATCACGTTGACGTAGATATTCGTATCGCCGGGCTTGATAGGAATGTCCAGGACAATATCCGGGGCCTTGTACTCCTTACCAGTCTCGGCTCTGCCAAAGTCGAGAATTGAACGATCTCCGACTATATCACGAGAATCGTCCAAAGCATTCAGCTTCGGTGAAGAGACACCGGACTTCTGTGGCTTTTGCTTTGGTGAATGTTTCTTGCTGGCGACAGAACCAGCAGTTGACGCAGCATCCTTCAGCTTCGCGTCCGCCTTGATAGCTGGAACTGGCGGGGGTGCGAGGGCCTTCTTCGGTTCGGGGGCAGGTGGCTTTGAGATCGCTTGAGGAATTGATCTGGCAGGGTATGATGGAGATGCTGGCACAGAAACATTCTCAGTTCGTGACTGAGCAGTAGATGCAATGCGAAAATTCTGTGCGGAAGGCGACGTGACACTCTGCGTGGGCGGATCTACCAAGCTTGCGATAGAGGGAGACGCGCTAGGTCGGTTGACAGTTTGTGTTGCGGGTCTTGGAGATGAGGCACTACCAAAGATGCCTCTGACTGGATCGTAGCTCCCACGGATAGGATCGTAACCCTGTCCGCTAGTACGCGTGGGGAGAACGGTATTTTGTGGTTTCGGCTCGGGCTCGGGCTCTGCGTTCAAGATGCTTTGCATTGAACGCGGCATCTCCTCCCGCTTGGGTGCCTTTTGCGCTGTGTGTTCGGGCTGAGCAGAGCCAGGTCGGGAAGAGGAACTCATGCCAACGAGGTCTGTAATCTTGGTCTGTCGAGAGGGAGGCGGCGTGGAGGAAGATGCGGCTGCGGCGGCAAGGGACTTCGAATCTGAGCCTGCATCGGCATCCGCAGCAGGTGCCGACTTTCTCTTCCTTTGAATGGGCGGCGCATTGGGATCGCGAGGCTTTCGAGGTCGGCGCACCTTGGGCGGCTCGTCGGGGTTCTTAGGCTTGACGGTAGAGCCAGGTTTGCGACCAGGCTTCTTTCGTGGCAAACCAGCAGCGGTAAGGCGGACTTCCGGTTGAGGCGGTTGGTCTCCTGTGACGACACCGAAGCGAGGTTGGGAGGGATCTACTATGATCTCGTCCATATCCATATCGTTGTTGTTTGGCCGACCGAATAACGGCGAGCCGGGGTCTGAAATAGAGCCGGAAGGTGGTGATGAAAGTGCAGGTGAGGAGCTGTCGCGCATAGCTGGCTCTCCTCCACCACCAAAGTAACACCACGCCGAAAAGAGGTCTTCGGAGGCTACTTCGACAGACACCTGCACCGGGGAGAGGGTACTGAGGTTGAAAAAAGGCTCAAGGCAGTGTCTGATACCGTGGAATTACTGTTAACCACAGAAGGTAGAGTGCATCGAATAATTTTCGATTGTAGTCGCGTGGTGAGTTGCTTTGAGAGGTTCGTCCTGAATGACCTCACTTTTTCCCTTTTGACAGGGAGGTGGGTTCGCGTTTTGGTACGTTAAGGTTGCGTAGCTTCGGATTGGCTGAAAGTAGGTTGGGGCCAGACGCGGAATTATGTAAGGTAGACGGACTAGGTTGGCTAAGGCAGGAGACTGCTGCACCGATTGAGCAGTGGTCACCTGCGGTGTGGCCGTGCGGAGTTGGCAAAGGTGGGAACTCGTGAATAACCTCAATGATCGGTAGGCGTGTTTTTTTGACGACAATTGGCACCTTTGATCGACAAAAAAGGGTTGTTGTGTACAGAAAAGAGGAGTTTGGCGACTGTCAAAGAGTGCAGCTCGATGAGCCAAACAAAACAGTAGTCTTTTGAGGATGTCGACGATGGGGATTAATGTCGAGATTGATGGATTTGGCGATTCTGCAGTCGAATTTGCAGTGTCGTGGTAGTTGCAAAGAGGAAAAAGGAGGAGGAGAATGGGAGGTCGAAAGAGGAGATGGGGATGGCTACGTTTTTGGGGGGAACAACAATAATTTTTTGGGCCGACATTTGGCTGCTGCGCAAGACGAGAAAAACGGGGCACTGAACAGACGTGGATGGCCTCAGCAGGAGTGAATGGGAGGGAAATTTTATTATTAAAGCCGAATTAGAGATTCGGACTAGGCTGGGGGGCACATCGACGGGATCAGATGGCCTCAGGACCACGAGGAACGTGGACGGGGTGGGCAAGCACGGCGAGGAAAGAAGAACAGGACGCGGACGGGGCGGGTGAATGGATTATGGGGGGAGGGAACGGGAAAAGGATGGGAATGGATAGGATGGGATGGGCTGGGCGGTCAGTCACGGTCAAGCCAAGGTTAAAAGAGGGAAAAGGCATTAGGAAGAGAACAACTGGGAATGATGGGAATGGGAGCGGGAGAAGGGAAATGGGAATGGCAACAACATGGAAAGAGTGGACTACCGTGCTGAGCGAGAGCCAAAGGGGGGGCGTGAACCATGGGATGGCTTCGGCTGCACCTCACCTCAGCAAGTAATGGGAGTGGGGAGGCAGGAAAGGGAAGGGAAGGGAAGGGGGGGAAACACCAAGATGACAAGAAGCGATGGCACCTCGAGAACGGGCCGCCCAGGGAGGAAAGCACGAAAGGTCGAGACAGCCGGACCAAAGATGCAGAGAGATGTGTAAACCTCCAACGTGGGCCAGGCGCAGGAAGAAAAGATGGACGAACGGGATGACGGGATGGTATGGCAAGGAACCTCAGGTAAGGTAATATGAGAGACAGGCTGACTGACAATGGACGGGACGGGGTGGATGGGAATGGGAGCACGCCCACCCCCATCATTTGCCCATCACCGGGCAGGCAAGCACCATGAAAGAAAAAGAGAGAGAGACGGGAGAGAGAGCAACAACACACGTCGGCGGCTTTTTGGGGCTTTCTCCGCTTGACGATGGTGTCTCCTCTTCCTCCGTCAAGGGCCAAGGACGGACGGGATGCTCAACCACGGGCATGTCTCGCCAACAGCCGACAAGGGGGAAATAAACACCACTATGGCAGACCAGGGTACAAGAGGAAGGTACGCCGCCCGGAACCAGACCACGCAGGGCAAAAAGCAGGGCGAGCGGCCAACCCGATGCGAGGAAGTCGTAGCCTTCAGCTCAGGTAACTTTGGGGAAAGGGCGAACCTGGAAGTCAACTCGCTATCAACAGCCAGCAAGAACCGTCGTGGCCGATGAGACGGGATGGGATGGGAAGGGAAGTCTTGCCGCGGCAGGCACTCTCTAGTGTTGTAGGTTGTCTCCAGCAATGAGGTAGTAGTAACTACAATGGTGTAGTGCGGCACCTCATGCGGCGTGTGTGTTTGTATCCATACGGTACACCTTTTGGATGCAGTAACATGATTTGGGAAGACCCAAGACATGGAGGCACCGCGGCGATACGGGGATGCGAGGGGGGTGCAGGTGGTTGATGGTACCTCATCCAGCCCAGTGCGTGCAGCCGCGCGAGGAGGGGAGCAGGAGCCGAGCCGTGGGGAAAGGAAGGAAAGAAGGGGTCGTGGAATTTCTCCCATGGGCGGCCATCGGCAAGCGAACAGGAAAGGGGGACCGGTTGTGTGGTGCAGGTGCAAGTGCAAGGTGCAGGTGGTTGCAGCTTTTTTTTCGGAGCTAAGAAATGTCGCCAAAAAAGAGAAACACGGGTCCGGGCGCAGGTACCGAGTACAAAGATGTGCCACCTCTCGTTGTCCTAACAGCCTTTTTTCCTTTTGTTCCCGCCAATCTGAGGAGCGGTGCAACGTTCAAATGTGGGTAAAGGTGGATCCTGCGCGTCTGACGTTGAACCACGTCCGGCTTCCATTTCCGCCCTAGCGTCCCAGATAACCGCGGCCGGTGCAAGGATCTTTGTGCAAACCACCCAACACCCACCCTGCTGAGCCCGATGCAGAGGTATCCATACTCCGTACGCAGCACATAACATTTGGAGTACCTCGCGGATACCATGCATGCTTACCTAACGAGTCCGGTTTGGAGGGCAACAGCCAAGCCTGAACTTGGAAAGTAGCCAAGGGGGTGGGGTTGCGAAACGGAGAGATGATGGCCGGGGGCACACCTCACCTCATGGTCCAGCCAGATCTCCTCCAGGCTTTCACCCCACCGTCCAGGGGAGCGCACAACGGCGCAGGGCATCCTCTATAATCTGTACTATTTCGATCCCCCCTTCTGCATGTCTCGCTGATCATGGAGGAGAGCACTGCAGGCCCATGAGCCTCATTGACGATTCCTATGGGCGCAACTCATTATATCTACAGCTGGTGTACGAGCCCTCCTATTTTCTCTTCATTGACATCGTGCATTTCTCGGAACAAGCATATCATTGCAGCCAAAGCACTTCTTTTCGGGCAACACACAGATGCTGCTAGGTGGTGCGCTACGGACATGAAAGACATGTTGCAGATTCTGCAACACGCCACAAGTTCGAAAGAACGTGCATAATCCTTCCTTTTGTCACCCGAACATTCCTTTCCATCAGCGAGACATAAACGACAATTGTTTGTATCTCGTGTGGCATGGTTGGCTGAGGAAAAGAAGAAAGGAGGGGGTTCAGAAGGTACTGTACGCGCATTCTCCAGCCGAAATTCCTTTCGGATGCTCTAACCTAATTGTATGCAATAATCTCTCGTCAAGAGAGACACGGCAGCGCCGTCACGGAAACAAAACTAGGCATATCTGCAGATATACACATTTATCGTCGTGCACAATTGACGATGCATCTTCCGAATGAACTCTCAAACAAATCCAACGAGTTTCATCTATTTCATCAAGAAGCGACGCTGTGCCAATCAAACGGAAACACAATGCTGTGGTGCACAACGTATTCTTTCTGCACTGCACCCCAGGCATGGTCGCCCGCCAGTCCGCCTCTCCGCCCATCCAAAGTTTTCTGGAATTTTGCGGACGATCGACGCTAATGCAAAACTTGATGTGGCTCAGTCCCGCTTGTCAGCCACAACTCTAAAACGGCGCATTCTCGGGATTTAGGACGAGTTTCCCCCCCCCCCCCCTCCCTTCATGAGCCTCCATCTCTGGTAGCCAGCCGCCATCGCCGTTGCACTTCCTTCCCTGGTCGGGACAACTGAAGTAGTTATTGATTTCATACGGCACCTCTCCCACTTGCGACCGGAGTTGCACGCGCTCACAGAGACCCCGGAATTTTGATTTGCGGCAATTTTCGACCCCCAAATGCATCTGCCCCCTTGGCGCGGTGACCCTGGTTCCCCGTCGTACTCCCATCTGAAAATGAGCTTGTGTTCGGGGTGCCGCACGGGCAGTTCCGAAAAAGGCATGGAGCCTCTGAGCAGGGGGCCTGGGGGTGTGCAATCTGATAAGGCAGAGCTACAGCCCGATAAGAAGAAAAGGTACGTCACTCTGGACTGCGATCGAATGTAAAAAAAAATAATGATTGGTAAACCCACCACCACTTCAACTGGTGAATCGCCAACAACTCACAATCCTGCTCTCTCTTAAAGTCCCCCTTTCTCACCCCCCCCCCCAACAACGCAAACATGGGGCCGATGATGCTAGTCGGAGATATTGTCGAAAAGGAGACGGCACCTGCGAAACCTGTTGTCTTTGACGACATCGACGCCGCTCCGACAGGCTTCCCCGCACACAAGAAGCGCGCAGCCCGCGTCTCGGCCTTCAAGCAGCAACGGCAAGGCAAGCCCACGACAGGTGCGCAAGCTGCAGCCGCGACCTCGTCGATCCAGCCAAAGTCCAGCGACGATGTCGCCGCAGACTCACAAAAGTCTTTCGAGGCCGCCGAGCGACGGAGAATCGACCGCGAGAATAGGCAGAAGCTGGAAGATATGAGCCCGGAGGACATTGCACAGGAAAGGCAGGAACTGCTGAACTCTCTTGACCCGTCCCTCATCCAGCGTCTCCTCGGCAGGGCCAACATAGACGAGCAGCACGGCCCGAATCCTTTTGATCCGCCCGCGGACGATACCAAGAGGGAGCCGCCGGCCCCGGCACCAGAGATCAAGATCGAGGATACCTCTGCGCCGCCGAAACCCAAGCCAGCACCAAAGCCCACTTCGGCTCCGAAATCCGTCTCATTCGCAGACGAAGAAGACGAACCAACGGCAAAGGCACCACCAAAGCCTCCACACACACACGAAGACAAGGCCCCCGCCGCCCCTCCAGCCGACCTCTTCCCCCTAAACGACCAGCCCGACAAGACGCACTTCCCCCAGGCGCCCGCCCTCCCCGACCTCGACCCCTCGCACCCCGACTTCCTCCAGACCCTCCACGAAAAGTTCTTCCCCAACCTCCCCGCCGACCCGAGCAAGCTCGCCTGGATGGCGCCCATCCCGACGGTCGACTCCCCCGCCGACCGCGAATCCCCCTACTACCCGGGCCAGTCCTCCCTCCCCATCGCCGCCCTCCGCTTCGACTTCAAGGGCGGGCTGATCCCCCCTCGCCTGAGCAGGTCGATCCCCACGTCAAAGGGGCTGCACCACCACGGCCAGGCGCCCGAGGCGGCGGGCTACACGATCGAGGAGCTGGCTATCTATGCGCGGAGCGCCGTGCCCGCGCAGCGGTGCGTCGCGTTCCAGACACTGGGGCGGATTCTGTATAGGCTGGGGAAGGGCGAATGGGGCAACGGCGAAGAGGATAGCTTGGGGCGCGGCATCTGGAGCAGTGTGCAGGAGGGGCGCGTGCTTGAGAGCTTGTCCGAGGCGGCGATTGTGGATGGTGGGCATAGGGGGAGTCGGGCGTATGCGACGGAGGCGCTGTGGTTGTTTGAGAAGGGCGGGTGGAGGGAGCAGTGGTCTGGTAGATAGAGGCTGTTCTTGCGGATTCTTGAGAATATTCGCCGTGACGAGGCACTCGCCTCCCGAAATGATACCAATGTTTAGCAAGATCTCAAAGGTGACACGGCCTCTCTGATATGTCGTATCGAAATTGGTATTCGCTATGTAGCTCCTCCAACAACCGAAAATGCGAGGAACTGGATTTTGAATATCTGAGCAATGCCTTACTTCCATGGTCAATGGGAACCACTGCCAGAGTCTCCTCAACTTCTACAGCAAGATCACCATCGAATCACTCAACAAGCTGGGAACGAGTCACGTCCTGATCCCCATCACGACACGCGACGTCGTTAAAGCCTACGAGTAAATACGAAAGAAAGATCAAGCTTCGCAAACGAGTCAAGTCCCACACCCTACTAATCTTCTCATTGACAAACTTCATGAACTGCAGTAGAGGAGACTCCGATCCGAGCGGAGCCAACTCCGGCAAACCTTCACGATGCGTGTACATAGCTAGCTGCCATATGCGGAGAATCTAGGTCACGCTTTGACCTATTCGCGGGGCACGGGTATGGCGCGATCACTTGATGAGTTGGAGGTAGAGAAATTCGGATTCCTCTATCGTTTTACTTCAGTCTAGGCCGTTGAAGCTCCCTGACTCGTAGAGACACCTAGTCGTAGAGGGTTCATGACATAGGATACGGAGTCACGGGCGTACAGACAGCGGCGACGGGCACTTTCTTCAAAGTCCTCATTGCAGCTGCGGCCCAACGTCTCGAGAGTTGGACAAGCATCATATGAACAACATGCAAAGCTCAACGAGAAAGGCTAGAGGACATGACTCTTGATCCTTATGCCTTAGGTGCCCTAGATGAGTCAGCTTTACATAAAGATTCGTAGCTCTATCCAGAGAGCTCATAGTTCTCGAGTGATTGTTGCCTTAAAGCCTTCCTCCGGACCCTACCTCCCCGCTACTCGACACGTGCCATGCCCACCCCCACGAGCTTATCTGCCCAAACTCCGCGCCTTCCACGGCTAGATATTGTGGACTTTCATACTGGAAAGCAATCAAGAGTGCCCGGTGCCGGTGTGAACCTGTCGGCCGGATGCTTAGGTGATGCCACTCAGCCACAATGTGCTGATTCGAAGTTCGACGGCTGCTCTAGAAGCCAATTTTTGGGGAGCGATTCCGGCCTCGTCGTCTCTGGTTCCAGATCGGACGTATACAGCGGAAAGCTTCTGCCACCCCACGCAGGAGAAACCTACCAGACACCTTCTGCTGCTACGCCAACATTTCCTTACTTGGTCACGACGACACATTGCAGTCTGGCCGGAAGAGGTATACCAATAGCTTCATTTCGTGAACTGGTCCTAGTGGATAGTCTGTGACTAGCGGGACCAGAGTATGGCGAGAGTTACACCATCTCGTAACTTGAAAGTGGCTTCATAATGCCGTACGCTTCGCGGCTTCGTCGAAAAATTATCAGCTCGGCTCCTGATTATCTGATCAGATTCCTCGCTAGCTTGTCCCAAGCTGTGTAGATGCCGTGCAGCTGCTCAACGGCAGCTGTCGCTGTAAATCTCGGGCGGTTTGTCTTGGCACGGTTTCGAACCAGACTGCCGGGCTCTGTCTACGATGCATCGCACGCTGAGACGTCGTCCGGTCGAAAGATATCCCAACTCGAAAAACGCGCAAGATGCCAGACTGAGGCGGGCAAGTCCACCTCACTGTGCATGGCTCAACCTAGGTCCACCTGTCAGCCAGCATGATCTATTGCCTGTCCGCGCAGCTAAATGGTCCAACATTGCGAAAAAGACGTTTGACGACGGTGTTCCCGACCGAGAGAGGGTCCGTCCGTAGATAAAGTTTACCTCTGTTCCAGAACCTCTAAAGGTTGGGGTCGACGGGCCATTCATGGGTCTCAAGCATGAGACGAGACCTCTCCGCAGAGGATAAGGATTGGTCAATCCACCCGGTGTTGAAAGAAAGTTCTCTACCTCCCCTCCTCGTGGGAGTCGTTTCCAAGCTGCATCTCGAACTTCTGGCCGGAGAGTCCCTCCGACCGAGCCGAACGAGTTCTGGGCCGCGTTGGCTTACTCGTGCTCGTCGCGGAGACCTTACCCCGTCCCTTTCCTGTGCTATCGTCAGTATTTCGAAACTCAATGCTGAGATGTCATGTCAAAGAGCACATACCCCCTCTCCAAGCCTCCCTTGCGGCACGTGTTTACCAGGGGAAGGTGACCTCCTCTGATCTCTATATACACAGAGGGGTCCGCGGTTCTTCGGTCGGGTGGATGCAATCGTCTTTCGTTCTCGTCTTGGAAAAGTCTGCTCTCGTGGTAAGAAATTCTGCCGCTTGAGCTTCCTGTACCCGTCGCCGTCAACCAGCGCATCGATATGCACACAAAACGTTCCGTCATGGGCTGGAGCGAGCAGTGATGAGCACCAATACAGGCTCGATCGGAGCGGCGCCACCACCCCCCGGAGAGACGCCCAATTTTGACAACCCGCGTGACGCTGGACATATGCTCCACACGGTTTACATGGTTCTCATCCAGATCGTTGTCGTGATTTTCTTTGCGTTGAGGGTCTACGTCAAGCTGTTAGTGAATGGAAAGTTTCGACTGGAGGATTGTAGGTCTTGACCTGAAGTACCTAGTTTGACTTGTGCTGATATGTGAGACAGGGAGTTGCCTAGTTGGATGGGTGAGCTCACGACGTCTGAGCTAAATGGCTTGCAGATGTTGACTGTGTTAGATCTTCACCGTGCTCTTGAACTCGACCGTTTTCATCAGTAAGAACAGCTCGTGTGTTTTGGAGCAAAACGAGCATCCGCTGACGAGATGAAAAGAACTCCATTTCGGCGAAGGATTCCACATTTGGGAAATTACTGCTGGCAACTTTACTGAGCTCCAGAAGGTAAAAACTCCTGGAACACGATGGCGATTTTCGTACTAAGAGCAAAATCTCCAGTGGCTGTATATCAGCTCCCTCCTGTATTCGCCGGCAGCTTTTTTCACCAAAACGGCTCTTCTACTTCTCACCGTCCGCGTTTTCTCCGTTGATAGAAACGTAGCTCGGACGCTTCACGCTCTTTTGGCATTCTTTCTTCTGTGCTATATACCGGCACAAGTCGCGAAGACTCTCGTTTGTATCCCGGTTCAGGCATTTTGGGACACGACTGTTGTCAACTTCAAGTGCATCAACCAAACTAAGCTTTTCTTATACGACGGCTCCATCTCGATTGTGTCGGATCTTATGATCCTGGTTGTTCCTATACCTTTGACCTGGGCTCTGCGGGTGTCGTTCGCCAGAAAGGTGAAGGTTGTGGCACTTCTAGGCGCAGGTGGTGTAGCATTCGCCGTGACGGTGTATCGTGTATACCTCACCATAAAATTCGCGGACACCATAGACCCGACTGTGGACTTCATCCCTCTTGACTGGACTGTGTGAGTCTTCGCCTTTTGAAGAAATTGTGAACAAGGTAACACTTTCAACTGACAACAATTCTGTTAGGACTGGAGAGCTCGCCATTGGCATAGTTTGCGCTTGCTTCCCTTCAATTAACCACCTGCTCGAGCGGCGCAGCGCGACAAGAGTATCGTCTAATTCTTCCACGGCAGGACTCTCTTGGTGGAGGAAGGCATCGAAAGATTGTCTAGACTCTCTGTCATCTTGGGGCATGAATCGCCAGTCCAAGCTAGCGGCGGGGAACAGGATAAGACTGCAAAACACTACAGCGGACTCGAATGCGAGGCTTGCATCGACCCCTGGAAGTACTCCCGGCACAGAAAGAGATGAGCCGCAGCAGTCAGATTATGATATTGAACTGGCTGTGATTTCGATGCCGCAAAGCGAGCCTCACCCGGGAGAGTTAGTAACAACGAGGGTGAGCAGCCGCAACGACGACCTGCTGAACCCTCTACCTGTCATTCGACGCAGCAGTCCTTTCAGAATCGAAGGCCCGTCTTGACCAAGATCTCCCATCCGCGCCAATGCGGTGATAAAGGAGCCAGACTTATACGACGTTAAGTCGTAGGAACGGGTCGTGCAAACCGGTTCGGCAGCGGGCTCGAAGGAGCATCTCGCTAATCTGAGAATTCTGAGGTGCAAGTCCATGAGCCATGTCGAAGCCTAACATGAGTTACGATTCCGACTAGGGCTGGATATTCTTGCGTCAGCGGGATGATTTTCGCGGCAAAAGTAGCCTCCTGCCTCACCAATCCCTAATTGCTGTCTTGGTCAGCCTCCTGCGATTGCAGGCACCGTGGGATGTGGGCCATGCTCAAGCTAGACAGAAACGATTGCCGATAGCTACAATGATCGATGGTGGCTGATTTGTCTACCGTCGCCAATACTATCGATGCACCCTTGTCGTCAATCGAAATGAGGTTATCGTGGCCAGTCTATCTAAGGTTCTATCCCAGCAAGGCAGTTGGTGCTGGGATCCCCGCAGCCAAAGGGTCGAGAACAAGGGCGAGGAGCATGAGTGGATCGCAATCTCCGTTGCTCTCATGCGGAGGAACAATCGACACGCCCAAACATGGGCAATTCATGCTGAAGTCTGAGCGGGATGGGGGGGGGGGGGATAGGACCAAAGGGCTTGACTCTTGACCCTGTCGTAGCTGCGGCGGCTTGGAACCGGAGGAGAGGGTAGTACTTGGCTCGAGCACGTAACCCTGTAATTAAATATCTTTTATTGAGACAGAATTCGAGGCCGGCAAGATGAAGAGACGGTAGATGGAAGAATGAGCAGACGGTGGTTTGTTGTTCAGGTCATTGGACACTGAGAGGGAATTGTTGTTTGCTGGAATTGGAACTGGTCAGATGTGGGACAAGAGGAAAACACAGCCAGCCAATAGACGAAGTCACGCAGCGATGAGTAAGACACGCCTTCCTGGAGATGCAGAATTGATACGGCAACGGCGCAGCATTTGGAGGTCTCAGTCTCACCTGCAAGTCCACTGGACCATTTCTGCCAGTGCCAATCAAGCCATTTTCTGGGGAGCAGTGGAAGGGTGGAAGGAACGCCCGTCTCTGCCGTGCCGGCGCCGTAAGCGGATGGAAAACATGTGATTGGCCACATGTCCACCTCACGTCTACTGCGTAGGTAATGCCTTAGGTAATTCAAAGCCCAAGTGAAGGAAAGCACACCTTAACTTCCAGCTCTCGCGGTGAGAGGGTGAGGGTGGGAGAGTCCACCGGCCACGGCTGGACCCGGGATTCATGGGGTTTGGGGACGGCACCATACGCCGCGCTGCCCTGTCCGGCTGCGGCCCGCATTGGGAGTGTGGAAGCGTGTGTGTGTGGCTTGGCTTCCAAGCTGCACCTTGTCGTTCCAGCTACTCAACTGCTGCATGCTAGGTAAGTAGCCAGCTGCATTGCCTACCTTATTGCAGAGGCTTCGATATACTCAATGCTTTAAGCAGCCTGATAGAGACATGGGCATCGAATAACTGCTCACGACCAAAGTATCGTGCCTGCCCTACCTCCTTCCACATTGGTTTTTGACAACAAACAGCAAACAATTTGATCCTTTTTGAAACTTGTGGGATTTGAGAGGTGCGCTGGCAGTATTACCTAAGACGCCTTATTCAGGCAAGATACGTATCCGTACGGAGTACCTTACTCCCATCTCTGAGTGGGCCGTCTGACCGTCGGGAGCCTAACATGATTGAGGACCGGGAGTGCTTGGGTGCCCTCCTGCCCATTAATCGTACAGCGTGACAGCTCTGGAGTACTTCCACAAGGCCCCCCAAGATGCCCTGAAGCCATGGTGAGGCGTGAAGTGAGCTCAGGCCGAAAAAAAGAAAAGGACAGAAAAAAGTGGCCAGGGTGTGCCAGCCAGACCCAAGGCGAACCCGCGCAGGCGACGGGACCAGGGGGCGCAACTGGCAAAGGCAGAAAAAAATATTCACAAAATCCCACTTTAGCATTCTCTCCCCTTCCTTTCCCTTTCCTTTCCTCTCCTCCAGCCCACACAACAACACGCACCGTTGCACGCCAATCTTCCCCCCTCAGGGTGCCTCCTCCCATTCCCTTTCTCCCCTCTTCCTCACGTTCTTCCCTATTTTTCTTCCTCGGGTCCCTATAGCCTCACGGCTCAAGCTCCAGCCAGTCGTCATTGCTGTCGTCTGCCTCTCCGTCCTCGTTGTCACTGCACGTGTGTTTGCATCTCGATTCCGACGCCGCTCTGAATCACGACTGCCTCGTCAGCCATCGACCATCGATTCACACGTCATCCGTCGACCAGCTTCAAAGCAAACATCCGACGCCAGCTCTGTGGTATACTCAAGTATCCATATCCGACGTTAGAACATCAACACAAACACCCTGCCACCGATTGCGAATCAGCAGATCAACAAAGCTTCCTTTGCTGCAAAGAAAAAACAAGACGTCGCCGGAATACCCGCCCCCCGGTTAATCCACGGTTTCCGTCCATCGCAAAGCAGCACAAGCAAAGCTCTCGAGCCATCGCCATCTGCCTTTGTCCGTCTACCTCGACGACTCCGATCTCGACGACCACCTCTGATCTCTGAGCCCACTGAAGAAGAACCATCAATTCCACCCAAGAACGTCAACCTTCCGACCCGGCACTCTCTGCTCTTGATACACACTGTGACTTTCACTAGTTATGGCGTCCTCACAATTGCAGTTTGCCTACCGCACCCAGAAGGGCATCGGCCTGTTTGATGCTGCGCCGTCTTACCAGCCTGTCTCTGGGTTCACCAATCCTGAAGGGAACCTCCGGTGTTGTGCATACTCACCCTGTGGCCGTTACTTTGCCTGGGCGAGCCCCGAAGTTGTTACCGTTGTCGACGCTTCCACTGGCCAGCAGGTTCTTGCCCTTCCCATCCTCAATGTTCTTGAGCTCGGTTTCTCCCCTCTCGGCACCTTCCTCGTCACCTGGGAGCGACCCGGCAAGGACGAGAACGGAGATGCGACCAAGAACCTGAAGGTTTGGCGCACTGTCGAAGATGGCGTTGCCGGAGCCGACAAGCTGCCCTTGGGCAAGTACGTCCAAAAGTCGCAGGGAGGCTGGAACCTTCAGTACACAGCCGACGAGAAGTTCTGTGCCCGCCAAGTCACCAATGAAGTCCAGTTCTACGAAAGTCACGATCTCGGCACCGTCTGGAACAAGCTGAGAGTCGAGGGCGTCGCCGACTTTGCCCTGGCTCCCGGCCGTTCCCACTCCGTTGCTGTCTTCATTCCTGAACGCAAGGTAAGCAGTCTAGCGTTGGGCCATTGAGCTCCTCAACATGCTAACAAGCACTCCTCAGGGACAACCCGCTGCCGTCAAGGTCTACAACGTGCCCCAGTTTAACGCTCCCATTTCTCAAAAGACCTTTTTCAAGGGCGACAAGGTCCAGCTCAAGTGGAACCAATTGGGAACCAGCATTCTCGTTCTGGCCCAGACCGATGTCGACAAGTCCAACAAGAGTTACTACGGCGAAACCACACTCTACCTGCTTAGTGTCAATGGCTCTTTCGACGCCCGCGTCAGCCTCGACAAGGAGGGTCCAATTCACGATGTGACCTGGTCCCCGAACTCCAAGGAGTTTGGTGTCGTCTATGGCTACATGCCTGCGAAGACTACCATCTTCAACCACCGCGCCGTTGCCCAGCACTCGTTCCCCCTGGGACCTCGCAATACCATCATCTTCTCGCCCACGGGACGATTTGCGCTTGTTGCTGGATTCGGAAATCTGGCTGGCCAGATCGATGTCATTGATCTCGAGAAGGATTTCCGCAAGCTCCACACCATCGAGAGTGGCAACCCCAGCGTCTGCACGTGGAGTCCCGACAGCCGTTATATCATGACGGCTACCACTTCTCCTCGTCTCCGTGTCGACAACGGCATCAAGCTCTGGCACGTCAGCGGTCCTCTCATGTACAACGAGGACAAGGTTGAGCTTTACCACGTTGTCTGGAGGCCCCTGGCTGTTGAGAAGGTTGCGGGCGGAGATCCTCTGAACCCGGTTCCCACTCCCCACGCCTCCGCGGCCACTTACTTGGGTTCCGTAAAGACGCCCAGCAAGCCCGCGGGAGCTTACCGCCCCCCTGGCGCTCGTGGCCTCGCCACCCCGCTTCATTTCAAGCGAGAGGATGAGGGCGGCGCGGCCCACATCAGCATGAACAACGGATCTGCGCCCATTGGACCTAACGGGTTCGGACGCCCCCGCCGTGGTGTGCCTGGTGCAGAATTTGCAGTCCCTGGTGCTGCTCCTAAGGTTCCCGGAGCCGACCCGAATGACGATGAAAACTTGTCGAAGGCGGCGCTCAAGAACAAGAAGAAGCGCAACAACAGAAAGAAGGACGGAGAAATCAACCCCGAGGGCCAGAATGGCGGCGGTGCCTCGCTCGCTCCGCCTCCCCGAGACTTCGGCGCGGGTTCTGGTCACGAGGGTCGCAGCCCTGAGCGCCGTGGCGGTGCCGGAGGTAACCACAGACACCGCAGCCACTCTCGCAACCCCGGTGCGGGTCAGCATCGTAACAGGAGCAACACCCACCGAGGCCAGAATGGCGCACCGCAGGTGCCTAACGCGCAGCCTCAGCAGGCCACACCGGTGACTGTGACTAGCCCCGGCGCCGACAACTCGCAAAACCCGAACGCGAAGAAGATTCGCAGTTTGCAGAAGAAGGTCCGCGCGATCGAGGATCTCGAGATGAGACTGGCCGGAGGCGAAAAGCTTGAGGACACGCAGATGAAGAAGATCGGCACTAAGTCTTCTGTGCTCAAGGAGTTGGATGGTCTCGGTGGCGAGGGTCACTAGAGTCATCATAACCGCCTAGCGAGAAAGACTAAGGATGCAAAGAGTTCTGTAGGAAAAGGGACCACCTAAGTAATACTGGAATACTGAAGGGACCACAGCCCAGATGATACAGGTCCCATGGATCCCTAGCATTTGGACGAGTAGAGTCAGGATTACGTGTAGAGGATCAGGAAAATGGAAAATGCAAAATGCTATTAGCACGGCGCTTACACTACTTCGTATTGAGTTCGTGCGCTCCTTTAGACCACGTGAACGCCAATGAGCAAATCCCTTGAAGAGAAGGGATACCACCTTACGAGGGTTCCCGCTGAATGCGTGGAAGTGCGGCTTACGATGAGCATCCGAGAACATTAAACCTTGTGAGTGAGAAGTAAGCTTGGGAAGTCTGGAAACCTGGGGCATACTAGAACGAAGCTGTGCAGGGGCAAAGAGGTCGAGACCACAGGGGCTTGTGAGAGGATAGAAAGCTCGCAGTCTTTCTCTTGACGAGCTTCTCCTGCTCTTCTGCCTCTCGTCTACTGCTCTTTGGGGTATCAGCTCCAGCATGGGAAGTTGGCGATGAACAATTTGGGTACGCGTATTCATAAGGCGGAAGATAGAGGCGAGCTAAGCTCGCGCTAGGCGGGCACGCGGGGTGGGGAGGAGCCGGACTGATCGGCACGGCAGCCCGGGCGTTTGTGGGGGTATAGGCTGACTAAGTCATGATCGTGGACTGGGGTCTTTGGTTGACATCGCGAGAAGGAGGAATGTCGTCGACCCTGGTTTGCTCTTCCTGAATGACGGGAAAATATGAAGATAAATGGAATTATCAATTCATTTTGCCTTGATTAGATAAGTCTTGAAGTGAAACACCGGAATCCACACGTCCGTGAGTACTTCTTCATGAGGGATGCTGTAAGGTGAAGGTCCAGTGTTCTACCTATACCCGTTCAACGTCGAATCTGTCACCAGCACCCATCCGGCCAATTGGCCGGGTGGTTAGACTCTGAAGCAGAGTCGATAGTAAATGAAATACTCCAATGACTTCCGTGCTGGAAACGAGGGGCGCGCTGTTCGAATCCGAATAGGGGCGTGAATTATAAGGTTGATATTCCTCCTCCTCCGTTCCTTCCTTTTTTTTGTTTTTTTGAAAATTGATTCAGAATAGCCAGTGGGAAATATTCTTGATAACCTATTTTATACTGAGCTGAATATGATTGTTGATTGTGAAGCTTCTGTTAAGCCAATTCATGACACAAAGGCCCAGCTTGGAGGAGCATTTCATGAAAATGGAAATTCGAGCTCACCCAATTGAGATAAGGTTTCAAGATACGGATTGAATGTGAGACCAAATCTACCGCGGCGCAGAGCATGACTTCTAGAGTGCAAGGAAAGTAATGAGTCCGAGGTCGAGATGATGATTGATTATCGACGAATCCGAAACTAATGTTTGTTGTCTTCTCTGTTACTGTGCTACTCTTAATGATGCCGAAGACTTTCTTCTTCAGCAACGTTGACGCTTTGCCCTCGTCTCCCCACCATCAGCAACAAACCCATCGTCACTTTTCCCATCCCGATCCCGCTGCCCCTTCAATATAGCATTCATTTCATTCTGCCTCCTCAACAGCACAACATCATACCCCCTCAGCCTCCTCTCCGAAGCCTTTTCCATCCGAAACTTCTGCATTCTCACACCCAACACACTCCGAATCTTGCGGACAGTCTGGTACTCAGCCAGCTCATTACTCGAAAGACACGCCTGCCCGCCCGAAAGATTCCTCCTCGCCCTCTTGATCCTCAAATAAAACTTGACGAGCGGCAGCACAACCTCCCTATTCTCCACGATCCACGCCACATTTTCTTTCGTCGCGCCCGTTGTGCCGCACACCTCGTCGACGCAGGACGCCATGTCCTCGTACCGCGCCGCCGTCTTCTTGTTCTCCCTGTCGAGCGGCTTCACGTCCTTGAGCACGTCGAGCTTCATCCAGAGCTGCGGCTGGCAGCCGATCTGCTCGAAGCGGTCGTACATTTCGAGCTCGCGCACGTCGGCTTCCCTCTTTGCGATGGCGACGGGGTCGCGCTTGGGGTTGGGCGTTGCTGCGAAGGCGGTATAGACGGCTAGGCTGCGGTTGTGGGAGACTACGTCGGCGAGGGCGCTTGTTTTCTCGAGGAGGGTTTCGACTTCGTCTTCATTTTTGGGTAAAGAGATGATTGTGGTGGGGTGTGGTGGTCTGTCGTTGAAGTTGATGGAAGCTAGTGTCGTCTTGCAGGTGGTGGTATTGGTGGTGTTGGTGGTATCTGATCCGGGCCTTGATCTCTTGCGACTCGCGGCCATTGTTGCGGTGATTGACTCCGCCATGTTTGTGTAACTTTTGTGTTGCCGCGCGGATCACTATGTACGGGGAAAAGAAAATGGAGGGTTGAGGCTACCTTGGGGGAGAATGTAACCATAAGGGTAACGCGCCGATCTCATGGGAGAGTGAGAGTGAGATAAGGTGGCTCGGCATCGCACGTGTCCAACCTTCTTCATCTGATAATTATCACGGGCGGGGGAAGCTAAATGCAAACAAACCCGGGGTCTTAGCACCACCACAGGAATGATCGCTGAAACGTTCCCGAAGGGTGGGACACAATGGGTTGGAAACATTGTTTAAGCGCAGTGACTCGGGTTCTGTAGGGCTTGGCGTCGTTCCTCGGTTTCGCGATGAATCGGTCTTTGCCCTATGGAAATCGTCATTGCCCCCCCAGTGGTTTGGTGTTTGCACAAACAGAAGCTGGCTTTGCAAATGTCTTTATGGATTCATTGTTTGTCTTCTTTGATCTCTGTGTTTTGATGATGTAGGGCTTGACATCAATCTCAAAGCCGTGTACTTCGTGCATTTGCTGGAAACATCTTGTACTCTATCCCTTTATTAAGGTACCGGAATCTATCAGCTAAGGCTGCTCCGACGACTCAATGCAAGCCACTTTGCTCAAATACTGAATTTTGCCCCAACTGGTTTGTATCAAGAATCCCAAGTCTCCTCTATTCAGGCATGAGGACTCCTGTCCATTCTCTTAGTCATGGCCATCTTGCTCATTCTCTTCATCCGCTTCCCGATCTCTTTCAATTGACGATCCGCCTGCTCCCACTCCTCTCCCGTGAACTGATCACGGGATCTATCGACGGAATCAAAAAGGTCCTCGAGGGCCGCAACACAGTTATGTTTCTCCTTGGGCGCTTCGACCGGCTCGGTAGTTGCGACGGTCCGGATGGGCGAGAGACCGAGTGGCGACAGACGTTCCATCAAATGCTTGGGCGATTCTTTGCGTTCAAAAAGAAGACGACGACCTCGACGTCTTCCCATTGAAAGAGGTTCCTGGTCGTCGATATCGGAGTCGATCAGAATCGTGGGTGAAGATCCGTCGCTTTGAGGAGGTGTAATGAGCGCATCGGCGGGCAATACTCTAGGAAGACCTGCAGACTCCGTCAGAGGTCTTCGGCGTCTCACAACGATGTCGTTGTCGGAGTCCTCGAAGTCGTAGACGGACTTGTCGACAGACTGATGGTGCTTCGCTCTCTTCGGTGTGATGACTGGGCTCAATGGGCTGACCGCCTTTCTTTTGCTACTTGGAGCAGGGCGTTCTGCAACGAAAATGACGTCTTCAGTGTCTTCTTCTGTATCGCTCTGGTCGTTCATTCCACGCTGCTGCAGGGAGCGGGAAAGAATCCGGATATCCCCGTCCACTTCGACAGAGTCTTCCTCTGTCTCATCCTCTCTTTCTTCAACAAGTGTGTTCCCAAGCTCTTCGTTGCTGACCTCATCAAATGGTAAGAGGCGGGCAGCGTCTTTGCGCCAAGTTCTGAGGATATCGCTAGCCTGGATCCTGTTATTCTTCCAATAGTTCTTCTTGAGCAAGGGATGCATCTCAAGGAGAAGTATAGAAGTGGCTATATTGGCGTTTTCTCCATTCCACCAGAAGGAACGTGCCGTCGGCATCAAGTGAGCCTCGTAGCATCTGGATATGAGGCATTGGTCTTTGTCGTCCAGCAGCTGAGTAGCGAGCCGGGGACACTGAGAGTTCCAGTTATCGATTGCATTGGTCAATGCCAAGAACGCAAGCTGCTGATGCAGAGACGTGCGGTTGCCTCTTTCGACGTTGAAGCTATGCATCCTTTAGACGCGCCGCGTATTAGCTCGGCCGAGAATCGGGATTGGGAGCTGTGATATTTTCGATAGACTTAGGTACCTGAACGCGATTCACAGAAGTAGCTCAATACATGTCTGAATAAAGCTGACGGGCTTCTAATGACCGAGAAGCTAGACAAATAGTAGTTGGCAAAGTCAGGTTTGAGCGACCCTCAGAATAATGTGGATGGTATTTCTTACCTCAGATTAGGATAGAGTCATCGATAACCTCAAGTAACGATTGACTGCTGAGGGCCCCTGGAGTTAGATTGAACCGGGCTCATAAAATGAAGTTACAGCGAGAGTCGTGGAAAAATATGGTAGGCCTAAAGAGCGAGGGCCGTCGAGGTGAGTGGGTGAGTTGAAGAAATGAGGGAGGATAGGGGGCGCTCTTTTTTTTCTGAAATGGAAAAGCAAGAGATCAAATCTGCCGTTCTACTTTTCTTTTTTTTGTACCTCACCTTTTTCTGGGAAGGAGCGACGATTTCGTGGGGCTCCTGCCTTCCTTCAACCTGAGATGCCTTGAATTCTTGATGGTTTGGAAACGTCCCTTGCTCTAAGTTCTTCACCACTTCCACCGGCCATCAATAAGCAAGGTGTGTGAACATTCTAAAAGAATTAGGAAGAAATAGTTGCCATGAAGGTGCTAAAAGGTGGAGGCTTTGGAAAGCACTAATTGGGACATGACACGCTTTCCAATCACATCATGTACCGTATCTCGATAAGGCAAAGAAAAAAGTGGCTTAGACGTTGTCTTCACAGACTTGCTTAGTAGACATTGACCATTGCCTTCTAGGGTGGCTTTTGTTTCTACTCTGAGTTCAAAGGGTCGTCGCTTTGTCGCTAGCCACATCCCATTGGCTACTTGCATTTTCTATACCTTCTACAACATCTGCTCTTGCTTTGCCATCATGACAATCTACACGTGCAGTATAGGGATGAATACAGCATTAGGCTACACGATGATCATAGTGCTGCCAGTGTAAGGCAGTTTAACAGTGGCTGAGACCAAGCAGGCGTAAAATGGCAACTCTCACTACCCGCACATAGCGAAGCCCCCCTGCAAAACAGGACAGAGCCAGACAAGATTACCGAAGTCTCCAAGAAGCACAAGGTCATCATGCACCTCGACGGTGTACTTCTTGGCGTATCAATGTCTACGGAGGGGTGTGATGCTACACTCGAGGAAATTGGCCGCCTGATGGACATCTTCTAGATAGACGCAGTGAATCAAAGTATATTACGCATCAATGAAGGTGCGAAAAGACTCAAGCATCATACCCTCCTATCAAAGCTAGCGTTTGTTCTGTGCTTGAAAACACTAAGAGTGCTCCCAGCCTCTGCTTACTACATGAAGTGCTAGTCCCAAGACCCGGTGCCGCCAGTTACCCCAGTGGACCATCCCACGTTACCAGCCTGGAACGACATCTTGAGTGTATTATTCCGGAAGAATTGAACCGAGTACCATGGCTGTAATAACACATCTGTTAGTGTACTGCGTTCTATGCCCCGACGAAGCGAGGATTCGGCCAGAGCTTTGTGATGCAGATAAATACTCACTCCGATGGAGCCAGCTTGAACGGTGTAGTCGCCACCGACATCATTAATATCATCGTAGTAGAGGTCTCCACTATGAAAGCGTTCGCCGCACAATCAGTGAATCATGCTTCGTGGCAGGTATCATGTCCAATGATGTTGATGATTTTCAACTCACAAAAGAGCACCACCCGGAAAGCCCGGCGAGAGCCCGCCAAGGTTTGCGGTAAACTGTCTATCCCTCCCGTTGACATTGACTTTGACGGTTACGCGCTGGTAGAACCAGAGGTTAATCAGAGAGCCTGTAGCGCTCATCTTGGATTTGAATGCGCCAGCACCGTTTGTGGCCATGGTTGTAACAGGCGAGCTGACGCTTTCAGCCAGAAGCCGAAGCTTTCCCTCTCCTCCTGGCTGGGTGAGAATGTGGTCGTGTAGTCCCTGAATGTCGGACTCCAGGACTGCTTGCTGCTGGGTCTTGGCAACGGCATCCTGCAAAAGGCTGAAGGTCTGAGTTTGAGCCATTCTGGAATGGAATAGACAAGATTGAAAATGGAAAAAAATAAGATTCGTTTGAAGTATTCGGATTTGCTGTTGAGAGTTGTATCTTATAGGTAGTCAAAAAGCATTTGCTCATGGGGAAACTCTTCGTCTAGTTATACTTCTCACACGTCCGCTTCTTTACCTCTAATTTACGAATAGAAAGTCAATTGAACCACGCAAACCTGAAGCTGGAGGTTGTGGCTGGCTGTGGTGAACCCATCTAGAGTGTGATAAGAAACTCGAAAGTCGAATCATATCTTCAGAACATGATGTGTGGAAGAAACGTGGGTGATGAAGTTGCGGCTGGACTGCTTTAGTCTTCAGAGAGTTTCCACTACGACCCTGTAGCGAGTTGGGACTAAAAGCACAGCATATGTTCAAGTGTGACAGCGCGGAAGAAGCGGCATGGAGGAACATTCAGCTGGGAATTGGGCTCCCCTATTGGTCAAAACCCGAGCAGCTTCTGGATTACCCGTTTGCATCCACACAACGAATCACGCCCGAGGCTGGCTGTGGTGTATTCGAAAACGGAAGCATGCAAGAAAGCCTTAACGTCCCAGAACAAGACTGTGCGTGTTATCAGCATTTCGAGCTGAATACAGTAAAGACTGAGCGAAGACATCGTATCTTAGTAATCTTGTGAATGTATTTGTGCATCTTGCATAAAAGATCCATGCCTTGTAACTACTCATAAAGCTCTCGTAACTAATAAGTAGTGAACTTGTCAACGTGTGTCATTTTGTTGAAAGTTTCCTGTTGTGTTAGATTATAGTCCTGCATTTCCTTTTTCTCTTCTTTCTTTCTGTTGGTATGCCTATCACAGGGATTTTGGTTCGAACCGTGGGGTGACGAAGAGGTCAATTGATCTGTATTAACTTCTGCGTAATGTGGAAAAGGGAGGTTCCAACCGCAGGTTGGGCAGGCCGCGATTATCGTAAGGACGGCCCGTAAGTGGCCCCTGCGCGGGCCCCTTGCCTCGAGGTCGAATTGGACTTCCAATCCGACACTTTCTTAGAATGCTGCTTTGATAGTTTATACATGTTTCTGTTTCTTGAAAAAGAGAAAGGATAAGGGAACTACTATGTACTATGGAATTTGCAAACTCATGAGGAGAACCAAGAAATCTATAGAAGTAAGTATAGATTATTGTTGACAAGAGTCCTGCTTTCAACTTCCCTCTCGCCTAATTTTTCTTGGCATCTGCTGTTAGTGAATGAGTGAGCCTACCACCAAATTACTAACAGCCGAAAACTCTTCACCTCCCCTTGCCGGAGCCCGCATCCGCGATGGCCTCACAGCCGCCGTCGGGCACCGGACTGATGTCGGCCGACCAAGCCGACCCCGAACCAGGCTCCGGGACACCTCCGGAGCCGAACCCCACCTCAAGAGCTAAGCGACGCCGCGACGCCGAGGCACAGCCGACCCGGCCCAGCCTAACGGGAAGC